CTAGTTGGCCGGTTAAACCAAGTCAGCGAGACTTTTGGCCGCTCTTCCCCTTTGTTATTTTTGAGCAACGGAGAAGAATGGCGACGTTCTGGAATACTTTCTGATCGACTAATCATACCCTGGCCGGTTGCTTTTTCCGTCTCGGGTACCAGGCTCGTCGTCCTGGCTGGCCGATTTTTTAACGTCAATTCCACCTTCCTTCCTTCCTTTGCTTTCTCTTGTATCGACAGCAGTGAGTTTCATCCTTAACATGCCCATCTGAACCTTGCGTTCAGGTTTCATAATGAATTTTCTGGTATATACATCCGCCACGGTCGCAGTCCCGGGCTGAAGCTCATCCCTGCGCGAGTCGCCTATGTTTTGAATCACAAGTTCCCCTCACCAGCACTGAAAACAGCTGGTTACCAAGCGACGAGAATGAGATATCTCCAGTGTTGGCTGCAACCAACCCGTTTGGATGTTCTCAGCGCTTCACAGTGCCGGCATAAATGCCGAATGTTCTCCATAACGGGCGCAGAATGGATAGCGACTTCGGCTGCTAGTGCGAATCACACATCCTATGACGTTAATGGTGGCGTTAACATCCAACAATATCCGCATTCATGCGCCTTTTGCCATAGAATGGATGCCGCGAGGTGCTTGCTTTGTCCCTCTTGAATCTCTGCTCCGCGGAGAAGCAGGCTGTGCCAGTCCGGGTTTATACGAATATTCCATGCCGAGAAAGTCACTCAACCCTGATGGTATTGGAAGACCTCGAGATATGCATTGACGGTCTCTGGTCTGTCTGGGCTGGGATGACTAGGACGGTGAATCCAGCGCCGCTACGCTTCGCAGCCCTGTTTCGCAGTCATATCCTGTCCTGGCATCGGGATTGCCACGGCTCGAATCCCACATGGGTGGGCCTGTCAAAACTTCATGCTATGCCTTCGAGGATCGATTCTGTGCCATTTCCATGTCCAACAGGCTCGGTTTCGTCGTGTACGCGGTGGAGGGTGCTAAAGAACGTCTCGCGGACATGGGCGATCGAGCGATCCTGTGATTCGAGTCCATCTCTTTCAGAGTCTTCTGCCGGCATGTTGATGGACTCACTGATTCTCTGCAGATGGGGAGTGATCTTCGAGATACGACTCTCCTTGCCGCCAAATTGCTCATTTCATTGTCAGAGGTCAGCGCCAAGGAACCAAACCATGCTTCGCCTTCTCCCAAGCAACAAGACCACCAGGTATTCTGAGAGATTGTGTTTTTGCACTTTTGCGACACAATGAGTAGACATGCTACTTCATAAATTGAAGTTTTGGCCAGCAACTTGTCACTCGACTCTTTGCACAAAATAATACAGGGTTCGCCAAAGGGGGAAAAGGCAACGATCTGCCTGTGACAAATCCGGTTTTACACGAAAAACACGCCCTGTTTACTTTACTAACTCAGCGCCCTCTACGCAATTCCAAGGAAACGCCCCTCAGAGCCACCAGAGCCATAAATGGACTAAACTAGGACCACCAACCGGGTGGCCAGGCACCAGACGTCCTATACCACAGTGGTATTATACCTTTTGCGCACGGTTCGACACATTCATTAGCATTATTTGTTTTGTATAGATGATCATAGAGTGTGTCTTTTAGGTATGTTTTGCTGAGATTGCCGTACGGAGCATGGTGAGGGCGCCGTTGTGGGCGACCCGACGCAGGCTAAACGACGGCTCGAAGTTCCAGCATACCACAGGGCGCCATTGCGCGGGCTAAGACAAAAACCCACATACGAGGATTTTTATTAGTACCGTCGAAGGAGGCTCACCCTGCCGACTCCTGCTCTTTTCCTTCTTTCTATTTTTGACTTATTTGCCTCTAGCGTGGGGTCATGAGTGAGAATCATCACCCTCGTCAGCCCCCTACCGACCATGTGGAGTGGCTGGAACCTGAGTCGGCGCTATTCTTTGGCGGTGACTGGGATGTTCCTGAAGTCCAATTCGCACCGGTTAGCTTTTCCGCCAATACCGATGCCCTATCTGGCCGCGACGAGCTGGCCGATCTCAGTGCTGGGCCGATGGCTAAAGTGGCTATCCCGCGAACGACCCAGTCCAGTTCTTCAAACAGCAGCGGCCGAGTTAGTCACGCATGCGAAAACTGCCGCGATGCCAAAGCAAAATGCAGCGGCCACCGGCCGTGCAACCGCTGCCAGGACAATGGGCAGCTTTGCTCTTACGGCGATCGCAAGCGCGAGAAGATGGTCAAGTGTGTACCATGTCACGGGATCGTAATTATTTTCTAACGCTCAAACAGACAATTGAACGATCTCACCTCCCAGGTTGAAACATACGAGGGTCTCCTGCGCGACCTATATCCCCGGCTTGACGCAACTTGCGCCCGCCATGTCGACCAGACGCTGCCCGCCTTCTCCTCTCTTGTGGTCCGCCCGTCAGAACCTGTACGACTCTCAAGTCCGCGGCCATCTGCACCTAGGGTTGCTGAAAATATCCCTACTCCATTAGGAGTTGTAGACCACACCAAAGAAGACTTCATCCGCGATGAACAACTGCAAGCCATGGGGTTTGTCGGCGAGCATTCGGAGATGGCATGGCTGTTCCGACTCAAACGCGACCTCAACCAAGCTAGCAACTCGGCACCCAGCGGCAATCCCACCGATGCGCCGTCCATCATCTCCGTGAACTATTTCCAAGACGAATCGGACATTTCTGTACTTACCGATGTGGATCCATTCGTCGGGCCGCCGTATCCCGTTGCGAAACTGCTCACCGATCGTTATTTCGATAAAGTGCACCATGCCTTTCCAGTGATCGGGAAAAAGTTCTTTCTGAACCAGTGGGAAAGCGTCTATTCGAATCCAAACTTGCGGCCTTGGAAACCTTGGCTGGGTGTGATGAATATGGTGCTCGCCATTGCCAGCAGGCATTTACTACTCGTCGACGATCAACCTCCGAGTGACCCTAATGAACATATGGTGTACTTCTCCAGGGCATGGCGACTCAGCATGGGCCATACTGCATTGCTGGACCATCCCAACGTGATGAAGGTGCAGTTTGAAGGGCTAACAGCATTCTACTTGCTATCTATCGGTCAAGTTAATAGGTATAGTCATTCTTACTCGTGTCTTATAATGCTCAAGTTCTCTAACGATTGGAAACCCCTTGGTGCAGAGCATGGCGAATGATTGGCATTGCGATCCGATCGGCCATTACAATGGGTCTCCACCTCCGCAGCGAGACTAACAGTATTCCACACGAATCGAAAGAGACTGTGTATCGAGTGTGGTGGGCTCTTTTCATGTTGGATACTGTACTGTGTGAGATGACGGGGCGTCCCCCAAGTAAGATATTCAGCACCACGCCTCTCCCCACCCCGTTCAGAGAGGAGGATCTGAACGATCAGCATGTCGCGCGCTTCATTATGGATAAGGCAAACCGGGATAACCTGGTGTTATCGCTTTTGTCCAGGGGTCAAGGGTTCTGGCCGAACGAAAGCATGGCAGATCGCATAAATCGGGTGCGCTTAGAACTAAACGGGGAGGAACAAGGCGAACATTGCACAGATCTTTTGACCGAGACCCTCACCTCCAACATCTCTCTGTACTTCTTGTACGCAGTGGATCTGGCTTTTCTCATGCGGGAGGCCATTGATAAACTGTACGCCCCAGCAGCAAACCGACAGTCATGGCTTGAGATCGAAAACACCGTCTCTACACTCATCTCCAAGGCCGACAATTGGCACTCACGGCTGCCATTGGAATTCCAGTTTACGAACATGGACACCGGCCGACCCCTGGCGCGCCAGCGCGTCAGCCTGGCCTTCCGCTTCTACACCACCAAGCTCATGATCTCCCAGCCCTGTCTCCGCCGCCGCGTGGCTCACTCCCAAGCCGAAGCCCAACCTCCCAGTGCCCGGTGCGACACCATCGCATCCACGTGCATCGAAATGGCAAGCCGAATGCTCGGGATTCTTCCCGACGAGCCAACCGATCAAAACATGGCTCTCTTCTACGACTTTAGCCCCTGGTGGTGTGTTCTCCACTATGTAGTGCAGTCAATGACCGTCTTCTTGGTCAAGCTATCCCGCACTATGCCTGGAAGCGAGGAATCGACCAGCCTCGTGGATAAAGTCATGAAGGCCACCCGGTGGATTCGCAAGATGTCTTTCAAAGACCCCTTTTCACAGCGAGCCTGGGTTGTCTGTGAGGAGCTTCTTTCCCAGCTCGGCCTGACACTAGAGTCGGATGTTGACGTCGGAATTTAGGCACCGGATTTACCGCTCCTGCATTCACGTCATGCTTTCCCAGACCTTTCTTAATGGCTGAATATCGGACTGTACACGAGTCTCATGATATTGCATCTTTCTCCTTTTGTCATATCTCTTGCGTCCTAGCCCACATTGGTTTCATTTCCTTTCTTATTAATTTAATCTTCCTAAAGACTATATGTATGCCACCTTTAAGGTTCAGCTTACAGTACCGGCCCCTATGATGGGATATCAACCCCACTTTCAACCTGCCACGGCACACATTCTCCTTCTTCCGGGCTCTCGGATGCTACTTGCTTTTTGATCCAGTTATACCGCAGCTTGGCATATCTATAGTAAGTTTTAATTAAAGTCACTAATACAAAGCCGGCTCATTTCTGTCGTTGGATCATCTCCTGCCTCGGGATTCAGTCGCGCATCAAATGCATCTTCGGTATTCTGCCCTAGTAATCCTATTAATTATATACAAGAATATCGGAGACTCAGTATGAAACTATAGTTACATGCCGCTTTTGACTATTGATTCCGAACATAATTCACGAAGAATGACGAACAGCCGCTCCGACCTGAAGGGAGAGCGGGCATAGCCACTTTACTTGAACAGCTTCCTCAAATGGGCAGCACAGTTTCGGCCTAGAACCACATAGAGAAAAGACAACAGAAAGTGGGATTGTCCTGAGTACGACGTTTGGTATTCCCAATATTAAAAGCTCGAGAATTTTCTCTTTTGTGTGCTGCCTTTTTTCCGGGTCATGTCCAGTTCGAGTGCGAGCCCACTGCCGAGTCGCTTCCTTCCAATTCCACCGGCGCTGATCCATGCAATTCGAAAACAGGCTTCGGACGAGCGTCACTAGTATGGTAATGGCGTCCGCTTGCCGAAGAACTTGCGACCTGCTTTCTCTTTCTTCTCTCCCACAGAGCCCATGCAATAGAAAGGAGAGTAATAACTCCCAGTGGGACGGCGACGCCAACCCCTATTGCGATCTCTTTGGATGAGTCTCCACTAGAGGTCGCAGTGTTCGCACTTGTATTGTTCATGCTGACGCTGGTGTCGTTTCCATCGGCATTCATCCCAGACGTCTTCATATAGCCCGTCAGCTCGGCGGCGCCCCATATCATGTCTCCGTCCGGAACAGTAAAAGACGCTTGATTGTTGTCGCAGATTGGATTGCCGTCACTGCCGGCGAGGATCGAGTTACAGCAGTAATATGACCCTTCGTTGGTGAAGTTTAATAAAACAAGAGAGACTCCACCGTCGGGAGCAATAGATTCTGTGTTTTCGTACTGGTCTTAGCATACTCGCTCTCTTCATCTCTCCTCCAGATTTGGGGCTGAAACTTACGACAGTATTTCGGACAGTTGTTGGAAGTCCATGACTTATCGGTGCAGCTCCCGCGCGATAGTACATATGGTTGCTGCAAATTCAAGCACAGGCCGTTGGTCAGACAGATCGCATCCTGTCCACAGCACGCGCTGCCTTCTTCCGACGTACAAGGGAATCCGAGCGTATCCTGCACATTTTCTCCGGGAAACCAGCATTTCCTCGAGGCGCTGGATGCTGCCGCAAAGGTGGCCAGAAGTACTAGTGGCCAGCCCACCATCTTCGATGGGGTCTGGGCCGTGAGAAGTAGAAGCGTCTGGATGCGATCGGGTTAGAAGGGCTCAAAACTCGGCGATTGGTGTTTTGATATCGAGACGCGAACAACCGGCAATGATGTCGATAATGAGCGACTTCGAAGTTGTGGGACCCTGCCAACACTCTCAGGGGTAGTTGAATGCAGATGATTATGGTGATCGCTAATTTTTAACAAAGAAAAAAGGCAACATTCGGTGATGTCATTAATTGGGAGATGTATTTTGTGCTCATTCTTCCCATCGACGGGACTAACAAGGCCCCAAAGACCCCAAACACCCTTCGCCCCGATTGCTTTGTTCGGCCCAATCAGATGGATAGCAGGCCAAGCAGTGGATCTCATATCCAACACGAGCTTGCCTATCAATTCCTTCTTTGTTGTCGTTGGATAAATATAGCTCAGGATAAATATCGGGTTTTCAAATTGCGTGGCTCGCTATAAGCCTGCATGAAGATTCCAAGTTTAGTAGACGGCAGCCATAAATAATGCTATATACCACCTTGCTGTATATCTGCTCGTAAAAGATCTTTACCTATATTAATGATTGCATACAATAATATCTTTTCTTCTGTGGAACCAACTCATCTCCGTCCAATATCCAAGCGAGGTATGCCCCTTGGATTGCACTTTCTCAATTTGTCTGCCTGGCCAAATGTACATAAATAGGGGCTATTTATAGATAGCAGATCTCATCAATTTGAGAGCGAATACGGAGTAAGCAAGAAACGAATATCTAACAGACTTGCCACTTTTTCTGCATTGCTTTTTAATGCTGAATATGCGAATGCTCTGACCAACACAGCAGCACGGCAGTGGACCCACAATTTAAATATTCATACAGTACTCCAATTGGTGATTTTTGCGTTGTTCGCGCCCGAGGTGACGCGAAAGCGTGTCTCAGGTACTCGTTGATATCATTAAGTATTTTGCTATGTCGCAACAAATGTCTCGGGGAAATGGACTATAGATGCTTCTTCACCCATAACACAAAGAGGCGAATTTCTCAATTAATACATATCGACACTTTCCATCAAAACCAGACATTAGATGAGGTGATGGCCCATTTCTATAACTCATGCGATGTGTAAAGATTCTCTGCCTCGTTCAACAATGTGTCGACAGGATGCAGCAGTCCCAGATCGATATCTGACTGTGCCAGGAAATCTTGCATAGTCGGCTCCAAAAAGGCCATCTCAGTCGTATACCCGCAGATCGTGTCTCTGACAGGAAGAGTATACGTGTACGCCTCGGCATCGTTGGCTGTCTGGGTCTGACCAGCGAGCAGTTCGTTCTCCGCGGGGATCAGGGGTATTGCAGGGGCTATTGTCCCTGGAACACCGGCTACGGAGGCTGGTGTCAATGCCGAGGAGAACCCCCCAGTCGGGCCAGGGCCGCTGACAGAAGCGGGATTTGTAGTGCCAACAGCAAAATCAGCGCGGGGTCGGCGGCCATCCCGGTAGCCATCCAGGCAGACTTTGACCTGTTCGAGGTTATGGTAGAACTCGGCCGCAGCAAGGTTGCCGTTCTCAGTCATGGAGCGTAATATATCCAAGGCAGAATCAAAACCACCCATGTCGTTTGGGTTGCCAATTGGGACGAAACTTGACATTGCTAAAATCAGAGCTGCGGAGAATAGGTAATGTGCATGAAAGTAGCCGAATGTGGGCATAGACCCACTGATCCAGCGGGTCAGGATCATCGAGAGTGAGTGCCGGGCTGCATGAATACAAGCCTCACCGAGGGTGAGAACGGGCTGGGAGACGGAATCAGAAGTAGCAGTGTGTTGGTTCGGTCTTGTGGCGCCGGCTTCACTCAGGGTCATGAGGAGATGGAGAAGAGTTGGTCGTGTAGCGAGAATAACACACTGGTGGAAATTGTAAGCATATAGCACAGAAAAGTCAAGAAAGGCTTGTTATTTACCTGATTGAAGGCCAGGTGCAATGAAAGAACTGGCTTCTTGCTCGATTCTATATCCTCCATGTTCAACCGCAGACTTTCAGGCAGCGTATCAACCCAGTTCTTCAGTGCCTTCATCAGCTTTTGAACTCGTTGCAAAAAAGTCTCCTGGTATTTTCGGCGGCTGTATAGCTTTGTAATTGTCTCCCCCACAATCCTTGCCAATTTGATATTGGCCGACATGAACTCTGTATCAGACAGCTCTTCGTCATGAAGCTGCTTGGGAGCAACTGGTGACGGCATATCAACGTGAATATCTTCGTCCTGAATCTGCATCGGAAGACCCATTTTCGATCCCCACATGCGGTCGAAGATGTAGATCGTCCACCAAATTTGAATGCGATGCTGCCTCTCGACCGGGTCAATGAGTTGGGATTCTGGAATGTTGTGGTTTAAGCCAATTGTGAGCCCCATTCGCATTGCGTGCCCAACCAGAACCTGTGAACAATGGCGCCTATTGAGATAATACGAGAATAGCGACTGCGATGGTTAGCTCGGATCAATAAGGGTGATTGTGAGCGGGTACCAATAACAACAAGGTCTCCAAGTGTGTGACACTCGTTCGTTCCGGTAGGATCTGGGCGAGACTCATGGCCCTCGCAAAGTATGGTGTACCCGGCACTCTCGATCCCGGTGTGAGCTCCGAGCGAACAGAATACGCCTCTCCGAAAGCAAACAGTGCAAAAAACTTGCACTTATTGGCGGTACAGTCAAAAGCAGCCGTCTGATAGATCTCTTCAAGCTTATCCATCGTGGATTTGCGCATCATCAGGTGATATATATGACCAATCTGATGGATGGCAATCCTGACCAGCAGCCGAGCATGGTGAAGACTGGGCCACTGCACATCAGCTTCATTTGCAGCCACGATCTTCTCCTCGCGAACATATTGTGTTCGTGGAATATGCGGGGTTGCATTGTTTCCGGTCAAGAAGCGACGAAATCGCGTGGCAAATGCCGAACAAGCGGCCTCGCCGATATAGATAGGCGGCAAAGACGGATCATAGCGTTGGAACCAAGCCCGATCGCCGATCAACGGGTTCTGGATACTCGTACTGCCCGCGTCCGGAAGGGTTTCTGCTGGCCGAGACGGCCGGTTTACCGAGTCGGCTACTTCGGTCGCCGTGGCCGACTGCTCCTTCAGGCGTCGGTTTTCCGATAGGAGCTGGTCGAGGTAGTTCTCGCTCACTTTCACTTGCCGATCTCGGGTAGCAAATTTGCATTCGTCTGCACATCCGACAGCGCGGCATTTGCTACACGGCAGGTCGCCGGAGCATTTGATCTTATGCGCATGGCATCTTTCACAGGCGACAAATTTCCTTGGGCTTTTGGGATTTTCAAAATCCTCTTCGTTCCATACAGAGCGTCTTTTCAGCCCTGTGCCTCGTGCCATTTTAGCCCATTGCCCTCGGGTGAAATGTCAGTCTCGGTAGCAAAATGAGGAGAATTCACTGACCGTCTCGGCATCCTACCAGGTCGCCGAGAATGACGGATCCGCTGATTGGATGATTGAGTGATGACTCAGCGGTCCCATCGTAGGGTCTAACTAGCGTAGAAGGCTGCAGGGCTAGATTGAAAGAAACAAGCAAGATATCAATGATGACGATTGGCAATAGTTACTATAAATTCTATAGACGGCTTTAATGAGACCTAGTGGCTATTTAATAACAAAGTGAAACTGGATAATATGTCGTAGAAGTCTTATTTATCAATCGTAACTCTAGTTAATCGTAACTCTAGTTAACTGTCTATTAGTTTTATCATCTGTATCATGCAGGAATCTGTAGCCCGTCTCTTTGAGTGGGTATGAATGCAGCAAAATCATTCTCTCAGTCGTTCTCACTGTGCTGGACTGATTCCAAGCTTCCCCTCGGTCCATCGTTGCATGTCGATGCCCCATTTCGTGATAATCAGGACAAGGAAACCACTAATTATGGCGAAGAAGACACCTGGAAAGAGTATTAGAATATAAGAAAACAAGTGTCAAGTAATTGGGCAAGTCTCACAGATGGTAAATGTCCAGCCCACGCCGATAGAGTGAATCAAAGGGTCAACAGCGGCCGACGCAGCCGCAGCAAAGATATATTGCACGACATACTTGCCACTGATGACCTCGGTACGGATACGAGGCATGACCTCTAGAAAGGGTAATCAGTTGAAGACCCCACAGTCCTTAAATGTAGCACTCACCAGCAGAATATGTATTCAATCCATTAAATGCACCCAAGAGGCCTACGCCGGAAAAGAATGCACTTATAATGGGCAGAGGCATTCCCCCTTTTTTCTCCTGCAAGGACCAGCCGTATATGAGAATTGCAGCTGGCAAAACACCAAACAGCGTAGCAAGCCCGCTGTTGAGTCTGTCCTGAGGCAGTCGCACGCCGTCGCGTTTGCGGATCCATCGTCTCACAGCGCGGTCGGATAACTTCCCGCCAATTACGCTGCCAAGTAGAAAGCCAATTCCTGGAGCAAGATAGAACAAGCCACTGACGAGAGGTGTGGTCAAGTGGAACCGTGGGTTGAAGATGGAACGAGCAGAAGTGAGGAGGCCATACTGGAAGGTGGAGAGGAGGCCGCAAGTTAGATTCTGGCTTCGTGTCAGTGGAATATCAGATAATACTCCCGGGTTCAAAACATACACAGAGAAGTACGTTTGGGTATATGAATTGACGGAAGATGCGAAGTGGGTTAAACAGGTGCAAGATAGCGGAAAGTCTTTCACGCTTGGTGAGCCCGTGGGTAGACTTCAGGGTTCGAAGTTCTGGCACCAAGAGCAGAGAAAGAATCAAGCCAAGGCAAGTCATGGCAAACTGAAGCCAGTAGATGACACGCCAGTGAGCGAAGGTGACAATGATGCCGCCGATACACGGGCCTAAATAGACAGTTAGATAGTCATAAGCTGGAACAAACAAGTCGATACTCACCAATTGCTGGTCCGCTGACAGATCCAATCATGAAGACTCCCACGGCTGTTCCGCGCACCACCTAGACAAAATATCTCCGTCAATCGACCGTCGAGAAACACAAGGACTAAAATAACTTACCGGCTCGAAAATATCCGCCAAAATGGTCTGGCCAGCCACCATAAAGAAGGTTCCAGTAAAGCCGCCTATCAAACGCATTCCAATAAACATGTGCAGATTGATCGCTGCGGCAGTGCCAGCTGAAGAGCCGCATAGCACGAGGATAGCCGCGTTATAGGCATTTCGGCGGCCGAAGATATTACTGATCGGGCCCCATATGAAAGACGAGAACCCCATGGCAATTAGCACGCCGGCATTAGTCACATTGAGAATCTCCGTGGTTGTGGAGAAATCAGACGCGATCTCCGGTGTGGCGGGGAGTAGCGAGGTACTGGAGAAAGTGACGGCGAGAGTCATCCAACTGACCGTGAAGAGAATGAGGCATTTGCGCCATAGTGGAAGATGATATGAGTTTGACTGTTGAGGTTTGAGCTCTAAATCTTCCTTATCGGTGTCGTTGAGAGAATCACTCTGCGGGGACGATTTTTGCGATTCGATGGCCGGGCCAGATTCCATTATTGGAGCAGTTCACGAAGGTCTTCGAGATGAAATAATTCATGTGCTCCAGTTTGTCGCATGTCTATTTGGTATATAGTCTGTAAAGCGCTCATCCAGACACAGAATGTACAATAATAATGAAAACTCGGCGTCTGCAATGCGCACATTTTGTAGCGCTGCTCCTTCGGCGTTTGTGCTGCATTGCCGAAGTAGCATTTTGCACCGATTCTCGGACTTTTTCCCGTGCACGAATGGAATTCTCCACAGTGGGAATCGCGCCGCCTTGGCTGTCCTCTTAGTCATGCATAGGAAGTGACAAAGCAGCCCAGCTGTCACAGTTTATTTGCAGGTTGCCTGATCGGGCAATTCTTTTTAGTTATCTTCACATGCAAATGGTTGTTCTTATTTTGCACAAGTCTTGTGTTTTCCGGAAGTAAGAAAGCCGAAGAGCGTCGCGTTGGCGAATGCGTCCTGTTCCAAAGCTTCACAACAGCTACGGACTTGGGCAACTTGCAATTTTCGGACCGATCCGGCCATGTCAGCGAGTTCCATATAACACTGAAGTCTCTCTCCTTCTGTATCTATGTGGTGTGAGTTGTGTGATCCTGAGATGAATCCCCCAGAGCAGGTCAACAGAGAAGGTAGTGCCTCAAAGAGTGTTTTCAGGACGAATTCGAAAATGTGCAAAGGAAAACCGAGTTTGAGGAAGGGATGGGCTCAAGGACAGAAGATAGAAGACTTGAAAACAGGCGCTCGATTAACTGAGCGCTCGGCAATAGCCGAAATAAACACAGCCTCACATACTTTAGGTTCAGTATGCAGATCAGTAGCACCTGTTTGGTTCTATCGTAGCGACAGGCACACGAGAGGTAAGACATTCAATTCTAAACTGAACCCAACTGTCAAGGATTGGAATTCTTACTGGTCACATATAGAGTTTTCACCTCACCGCATTTTCTATTTTGTAAGTTACTCGTCGATTATTAGTTAGTTCCGCGCCTTAAATGGTTGGTCATTCCCTGGTTTAGTCAATCAGATTCGTGATTTGCACTTACATGCTGGAACGCCGTCCATGCTATATGTAACCTCAGCTACTGCTTCAGCCGTGATCAGCTACTGATTCAGCCGCGACGTGTCCGCGGTGGCTACATTAGCGCGTCGACGTGTTTGGCAACGCTAGTTATTTAGGCCAAACTCAGGCCCCCCACCCGGTTGACCGCCAAGAGACCCAGGGATATAACAAGCATCGGGGGGCTGAGAATTGAGAATCAATTCTGTACACGCCTCGGGTTCGCCTACAACCAACAAAAGATGGACTCAAAGGACCTGACAGATGTCGAGTCGTCGTCTCCTGCGGCCCCTGAAATCCATGACGGGCATCTCGTCCTGATCCCCCAGCCGAGCACCCATCCTCGGGATCCCCTGGTATGATACCATCGCACGAGCTCAATATTATTGATACATGGAGATTTCTAACCTAATGCTTCCAGAATTGGTCCAGCCGGCGAAAATATGTCATCCTGGCCGTGCTCTGTCTGGCGTCGTTCGCCGGAGCCATTGCGCCGCTTTCGGGCCAGCTGAACCTCGGCCAGCAGGAGATTATTTACGGCAAAACAAAAATCCAAGAATCCTATGCGGTATGTATAACTAACTTCTATATCATCGCGAATCCATCCCTGACACTAAATAGAACTCCGCCGCCTTGGCTGGGATGGCTGCAGGGCCATTCTTCTTTGCGCCCATCTCTCACATTCTGGGCCGCAGCTCGGTCATTTTCTGGTGTATCCTGTTCACCCTGGTCTGCCAGATCTGGGGTGCTGTCATGACCCATCCGAATGATTACATCGCGTATGTGATGTCGCGACTGTTCGCCGGCTTCTTTGGTGCGGTGCCCACGGTCATGGGCCCGCGCATCGTCACCGACTTGTTCTTCCTGCACCAGCGTGGGCGGGCCTTCACGGCGCTCCATATGTCCTTCCTGTTCGGAACGATCGCGGGCCCGACTTTCTCGGGTTTTATCTCGGCCGGCGCATTCTTCCCCGTTGAGTTCTGGTGGACGGTCGGCCTGCTGGGCTTCACGCTCATCTGCTGCGTCGCGTTCCTGGAAGAGACCGGGTTCAATCGCGAGTCTCTGGACAAGAACCCGGAAATCCCGCGCGGCCTGGTCGCCAATCGTTTTGCAACATTTTTCTTTGGACACAGCGTTGTGCAGCCGACTACTTTGAGCGAAACGGTATGTCATTTTGGTCCCTTACTAGCGCAGCGATTGTCTGATTATTCTCCATAAAAATAGGTCAGGATTGGAATCACGCCCTTCCTCATCGGTATCTGCCCAGTCACGATCATCATGGGCACCTTCACACTGATCTCCTTCGGATTCTACGTCGGGGTCAATGCTCTCACGCCCGTGTTTCTCCAGATGCCCGTCGCGGAGGGCGGCTACGGTTTCTCGCTGGAGCAAAATGCGGCTTTCACCTTCTCCCACTGGATCGGTATCATCGTCGTGCAGTTCTTCGGCCACTACCTGAACGACAAAATTCCGCTGGCGCTGGCGCGCCGCTGGAATGGCGGTGTCTGGAAACCTGAGTATAGATTGCATGTGCTGTGGCTCCCGAGTCTAGTGATCAACCCAATCGGCCTGGGCATCTTCGGTGCTGCCATGCAGTACCACCTGCACTATATGGTACTGGCACTAGGTGTGTTCCTCGTCACAATCGGCTCGCTCTCTAGTGTACCCGTCACGGTCAACTATGTCGTCGAGAGCTTCACCAAATATCCCGCCGAAGCTGGCATTGTCATTGGCGCGTACCGCATCGTTTATGGCCTCACCATCACCTTCTATATCGACCCGTGGGTCGAGGCGGTTGGTGTTGGCTGGGTGTATGGCATGATGGCTTTCTTTGCCGTTTTCTCATTCTTCTTCGTCATGCTTCTTATGTGGAAGGGGCATGCGATTCGCGGGATCCAGTTTGCCCATCTTGCGTCTAGTGAAGAGGGTAAGAAGGTGCTGGATGAATAAAGCGTTTGTTTGAATGAGACGGTTTGGACCTCTCTGCCCGGACGGATACCCTGCTTCGCTCGATAAACATAACCTATTATAGTAGTCAATATACTGTTCAGTGCTCAACTCAATCTCTCCGATTGGGCATACCTGAGTGTGCTAGTTCTGTTTTAAATTTCTCAATACCATTTTCCCAAACAAAGAAATAACATAAAGACAAGTGCAAGATTCTCTATAGTACTCCACCGACTACAGAGATACCATCTTTTGCCTCATCGGGCCCCATCATCAATGACGGCAACATGGCCGCCACAGTCTGCACATCCTTATCTCCCCTTCCACTCAAACACAAAACGACATCTTTCCCTGGGCCAAGTTCTCTCGCAATACGCACCGCCCCAGCCACGGCATGGGCGCTCTCCAAAGCAGGCGTGATGCCCTCCGTCTCACTCAACAACCGGAACGCATCGAGCGCATCATTATCATCAGCAGCGATGAACCTTGCCCTCCCAGCATCTTTCCAGCTAGCCAACTCCGGCCCAACACCCGGGTAATCCAGACCCGCAGAGATGGAATGCGTAGACGTGATCTGCCCGTCTTCATCCTGAAGAACGTACGTACGCACACCGTGTAGAACACCAACAGACCCACGCCCCAGCGTCGCAGAATGACAGCCCGGCTCGGATCCCGAGCCACCAGCTTCGACACCAATGAGTGCCACGGAAGGATCCTCCAGGAAAGGAGCAAACATGCCCGATGCATTCGAGCCGCCGCCGACACACGCAACCACGGCATCGGGCAGCCGGCCTGCACCAGCCTGTTCCTGGAACTGAGCGCGCGTCTCCGTCCCAATAACAGACTGGAATGTGCGCACGATAGTCGGATAAGGATACGGACCGAAGGCAGAGCCGATGACAAAATGCGTCGTTTCTAGCTCCGTCACCCACGTCCGGAAAGCCTGGTTCACAGCGTCGCGGAGGGTGCCGCCCTCGCCGGGATGGGCGCCCGCCACTGGAACGACGGTGGCTCCCAGCAGGCGTATGCGAAAGACGTTCAGTGCCTGCCGCCGGACATCTTCAGCACCCATGAAGATGGTGCATTTCAGCCCGAGCCGCGCGCATAGCGTTGCGGTTGCTACGCCGTGTTGGCCCGCGCCTGTCTCGGCGATGATGGCCGTTTTGCCCAGTCGGCGTGCCAGTATAATCTGACCTAGGGCGTTGTTGATCTTGTGGCTGCCTGTGTGATTCAAGTCCTCGCGTTTGAGCCAGATGCGTGCTCCGCCTGCGTGCTCCGTCAGACGGGGGGCTAGATGCAGCGAGGATGGTCGATTCGTGTATGCTGCGTAGGATTGAATCTCGTCCCAGAAAGCCGGGTCTGCCTGTGCTGCTTGGAAGCCGTTTTCGAGCTCGGTGAGACACTCCATCAGAGCTTCGGGAACATATTGGCCGCCGAACTGCCCGAATCGTGTATGCATATCTGTCAAACTACCAGTGGTGGTGATATCGTCTGATCCTCCGTCGGTAGTAAAAGACGGTGCAGCAGAAGATGCTGGTGAGAATGCTGCTGGTGTACCTAATAGACTCTTTTCCAATAAGATAGACTCGGTAGGCCTGTCCTCTTTGCGCCCGGTTACATGAAGACAATACTCTTTGACTCTCTCAGCTCCGGTCCCAGCAGCCGCCTTCTCCAGGACATTGATAATCTGACTGCCGATAACCACACCCTCGGCAATCTGAGACACCTGCACAAAGTGCTCGCGCGTACTGATTCCAAACCCAACAGCGGCAGGAACGTCATTGCCTGAGTATTTATGCACACGGTCGAGAAGGTGGCTCAAGCCCTGATCCAGTGTCTTTGAAGCACCACTAACCCCCATCCGGGACACAACGTAAACAAAGGAGTCTGCGATGCCACAGAGCTTCTTCATGCGCGCGTCTGTGGTAGAGGGTGCCACGAGCGGGATGTATGATAGTCTATTTTTGCTTGTCAGCTTCTATTCCATACATAAAAATCCGTGATCGGGGGATATATATACCCTTCCCGCTTACACAGATTTCGAAAACGCACTGCCTCCTCCGGCGGAAGATCAACGACAATGAAACCATTCACATCTGAAGAACGACAGTCACGCAATAGCTTCTCCTCGCCATACGCAAGGATGGGGTTATAATAGCCCATGAAGAGAACGGGTATGCGCAGCCCCTGTTTCCGTGCATCTTGAACCATCTGCAGCATAGAGGGGATACGAACGCCGTTTTGTAGGGCCTGAGAATTTGAGCGTTGGATGGTGATGCCGTCGGTCATGGGGTCGGTAAATGGAATGCCAAGCTCGATTATATCTATTGTTGGGGCTCTATAAGTCTGGGTTTCCAAAATACAGATGGATGGAGAGTGTGGAAAATGGATATTCTTAAGATAGGGTCATACCTGCACCACCAGCTTGCATCGCTAGCATGATCTCTGGTGTCTCTTCCATGGTAGGATATCCGGCAGTGACATACGTCACTAGTGCTGCACGGTGTTGTTCTTTGCATTTTGCAAAGACTTGCTTGATTGCTTCCATGGTGGGCGAGGTAAGGTCGGAGAATAATGTGTACACCGAATGGAAGGGGAAAGGTTAAAAAGAAGAAGAAACCGGCAAAGAAGGGATCAGGGTTGCAAGGTAAAGAACACGAGACGGGCTTAAGACCTGTTATGTAGAGGAAAGGAGAAGCTTAGCCAAGGTGACGGAGGGAGCCATGATGCTGTGAGTCAGAAAGAGGCTCGATATCCACAGTGGGAAACTAGAGAAGTTGGGCATTGAAAGCGAGGGCGTTAGCGCCATTTCTAGGTGTTGGACAGACCTTCTAGACCCAGGTTAATTATGATGTTGGCTAAAGTTGGATGTAGTGAACAACATAACCCTAAATAAAGTCGTCTAGGCAAGTATGCATGCCATATACGCACATTATCTACAGTATTCAACCCTAAATTGTTGATCAATGCAGAGTATATCGCAACCACTGTTCTTTGAGAGTCAATTGAAACCTTGCCAAACATTTATGCGTAGACAAGAATCCAGTTCTATCCGTTATTCTTTGTTGGGCTTACGTAGGACTCCGATCTAGGGTGTGGTTCCGCTCGAGGGCTCAATTGAGTCACATCAGGTTATCCAACTCTAGCGGGGCAGTTTTTGTATGAAGGAATTAAATTTTAATACGATTGATCAAATCTATAGGGCTGTCTTGCTTCATATGTCATTTCCCCCACTCAAATCTCATATGTAAGACTCCTCCCAGGCCGAATCGCTATACTACTGAGAAAGAAAGCAAGTACAGAATGAGCGGATTTTAACGTTGACCCCGAAAGAAAAGGAAAAATTTGTTTGCAGGCCAACAAGACAGGATTATGTACGCACAAATACTAAAAAATTCAACAGGAATACAGAATAGAAGGGGGCATTGGCTGAGACAGCCGACGCCTGCTCCCATCACCGTAGAGAGAGAGAGAGAACGCCACACACAGCCTCTAGACTGGCTTACAGAACGATCATACCGAGACCAGCAAAGAGAGCGGTGACAATGTAGGCACCGAGCTGCCAGTTGCCGACGTGGACGGCCTGGGGGGTAGCGCCGGGGATACCAACACCCGAGGTGGTGGTGGAAGCAGGGCCGCTGCCACCACCGGAGCTGGGGTTCAGGGTGCCAGCGATGCTGTTCGTGCCTTTGGGGCCAATCTTGCTCATTTGCGTAGCGCAAGTGCCGGAAGCGGTAGTAGCGGCCTTGGTGCTGCCAACGCCGCTGAAGCCACAAGCATTGGCGTGCTCGTTGTGCTGCTCGTAGTAGTTGTTCATGGCCCAAGCCAGCTGCTGCTCCAGAGAGCACATGCTGTAGGCGCCGTAGTTACTCAGAGTTCCGTTGTGCGCGACACCGGACATGTATTTCGAACCGTCAAGGCCATAGAGGTAGCTGATGGTATTGATCATCGTCTTTTGCGAGGTACCCGACTTGGGCACACATTTGAGGCTGTCGTACATGCACGAGCACAGGTTCGCGTCAGGCATCGGCGGAAGGCCGGTGGGGTTAGCGAGCCAGTTGGATGTGGTGGCGGGGCAGCTGGCGCCGGCGGCGGTCGTGGGGGTGTAGTCAGCGCTGTTTATGCCAGTCGGGGTGGCCGACTTGATCTCTTGCGACAGGAATGTGTAGTCTGGCAGCTCGCTGATCTTACCGTCCTCCACTTGCACGAGACCGTAGTTGTTGTCGGTCTGGTAGTACATGTACACGATACCACCACTCCATACGTTCTCCATCTGAGGACCGTACAGAGTCGGGATGTCGTAGAAGTGACGGGGAGGGTCAGAGTTGCAGCCGTATTCCGAGAAGAAGGCAGGGACGGGATAGTCCTTGAACTCCTCGGTACGTGCCTGGTAGCCAGACTGTTGGTAGGACGATTGTCCGCACCACTCGTAGATGTTGTATCCGAACATGTCAATAGAGTCAGACGGGTCATCGCAGACGAGGTACTTGGCAACATTGTCGCGAATTGCCGAATTGTCATCAGTGGCGTAACCGACCGCCAAGGAGGATCGATAGCCCTGCTCCTTGATATAGGCCTTCATATCACGAACAGCAGCCTTGACGAACGGCATGGCGTCCGTGTTACCGACATTGTTAGCCACCTCGTTTCCGGCGAAGAAACCAATGACGTTGGTGTAGTTGGCGAATGCATCGACGACCTGGGAGTAACGGGTGAAGAGGTCGGTCGTCCACTCGGGGCTGCTCTGGTCGATCGACTGCGAGGGCGACGCAAGATCGGTGATGACATAGATGCCGGCGTCTGCTAGAGCCGACATACATTCATCGTGGTTCTCGTCGGGGTTGACGGCGTAGGTACGGACGACGTTGGTGCGTAGCGCGGTCAGGTAAGGGATGTCACGCTTGCAGCTCGTCACATCGGCCAGGGGATCGGTATAGTCGGTGGAGCTAGAAGTTGCACCATTGCGGGCGCTGTAGTCGGGCTGGTAGGCAACACCACGGATGTAGAACTCGGTGCCGTTGTTGGAATAGAAGAATTTCTTGCCCTTGATCTCAATCTCGGGCACGTCGGCCAAGGCGGTTCCGGCCAAGGCGAGGCCGGCAAGGAGAGTATACTTCATTGTGGAAAGGGACGCTCTAGATGAGCCAAGCGAATGTCACACAAACAAAAAAATCCAAGAGAATGACTGGAGAAAAATAAACGAAGGATGATGGAAAGAGAGAAGAGGGAGAGACGGAGGAAAGAAAGGAAGAGAGAGAGAGAGAGAGAGAGTTGAACAGAGCAGGGGTTAGCGAGTAACGTGATTGGGCCGAGGGTGGGTTGTTCCCCTGGGACACCAATTGTACAGAACTGACGCATCATCAGCCAGGCTGTGCTCTGCATTTGATTGGCATTCGATCCACCGGGCCATTGTGCTTGACCCTCTGTGGATCAATTCCTCCTGAGACAGACCCTCCACTGGGTATTCGCTAGTACTCGCCCGGACAAACCCACAACTCGGGCGCTCTCTAACTGGCCAGGGCTCCCGTCTCCACTGCGGTAAATACGGCTTCGATTCTTTTTTTTTTCCTTTCTGTCGATGCCTGCACTCCGCGCATGGCCCTCCCCTGAGCAGCGCGCATTCACAAAAAAGCTTGTCTCTTGCGCTAGCGACGATCATTATTATTCCTCCGGCGATGCATCATTATGTATTGGCCGCTAGTAGCATGCAGGCAGTAGCGACCTTGCTGATAACTACCCACTCTACCACTCGGCGTTGAATTGCTTACTTCCAAGTGAGTCGCCTAGGCTTGGGGTTGACTGGCGCGTCTTGGGCCTACGCCTCCTTTGGGTCCGTGCCCCGGATACTACTCCGTCTCAAACATCCCCAGTCAGCAGAAAGTGAGACCCTTTGTGCAAGTGGACGGGTAGACAGGCAGAAACTTTTTATGCTCCAATCCCCCCGGTAGCATGTCTACAGCCGACCCCACTTCGCATTGATTACTGCATTGCGTCGGTGCTACGGGTCAAGATGGTGAACCTTGCCTATTCATAGACGGGGCCTGGCATTCATGACCTGCCGGACAAAATAACTAAATGTAAGGATGTCTCATACAAGGCGACCCAAGGTTCAGGGGCTGCAAAAATAGATCGCTGCAGTCCAGACTAACCCCTGGCTATCAAAATACGTCAGAAAGGAATTGGATCGTCTCGGGTTCATGGGCCTGGTTGGATAATGGGAGTGGGGAGAGTCTCCGTCAATAATTTCCTGCCCGCGACCAAGCTTTTTAGACCGAGCGGGCAGAACTCTACTATTCTTCTCGGATTTACCTTGTTATGGAGATGGACCAACTCCTTTTATTCCGCTGTGGATCCAGGGCCATTCTTTGCGATTTGAATATGTCGAATCTCTGCCCCCAGTCTCTACGGGCGCGCCCATGGGTCGCCATGAGATATTGCGAGACGCTTTGAAGTCGCAGTTGCGGTTTCTTCGGTTCCAGACCTGGCATCTTTCGGACACTGTTCTTTCGGTGGCGTTTTATTCGGCAGCAAATGGATCAACCAACTCCTGCATCCTTCTCCTGGGGCATTTCTGCTACCCTGCGCCCCGTAGCCCTTCTCAAAATGACTACAGCACAGAGTAAAGCTAACCATCTAGAGATGTATAACTACTAGCTGTGTTTGAAACTTCAGAGATAACAAAAGTGGAGGAGATAACAGAAAAGCTGCTGCGTGGGAATATATAAAGCCAGGCGGCTGTTAGTGATGCCCAGCTTTCGTGTTTACATTCGTGGCGCAGCTTTTTTAACCACCGCAACCTCGCCTCAGCCGCTGGAATTTATGTATACAGCCGGCTTTGATGGTGTCCAAGTGCGACGGCACTTGGCCCCAGGCGTCTACCCGGAGCTGACCCAGTCGGGCTGATATCTGATACAGCGGCTACTCGCCGAATGACGGGCGACGAATCGCCAACAAAAGCGCAGCAGAGATATTACCAACGGCTTTGTGGCAGATCCATTCACGAGCCAGCGAACCATGACGTCGAGCTGAAGAAACAGCCACAGCGTGTATCCGATAGCTGTCTGTGCGTTTGCCTCGTGTTTAACGATGACAAGCCACCGACGTGGCAGCGATATGCTGCCTAACGCCCCCGCCCCATGCGAGCCTCATCTCGTTAGGGAGGAATATTGAGCAAGGCTGCAGTCCAACAACAATGACTATGCACCAACATCTAGGCCTCTGGTAGCCAAACACGTGACTAAACCCGGATGCGCCACCCCTGGGTGGTGGCTTGGTCGGAGATTGAAGGAGTAAAGATGAAAGGGGGTGACGGTGCCAAGAGCGGGCTATGGCAAATAGTTACCCACTAATGCGCATCCAATTATTGTTGATTTCATCGATCAAAGGGTGCTCGTCAGTACTACCACCGACGCCCCAATCCATGATCCTCGACGTCAATCATGCGGTGTGACCATAACCAATCCAGGTTGGAGCGGACAAAGCGAACAGAGTTCATGGACGCCAAGAGATGATGATTCATTCCTGTTTGGCGCGTTGAATCCCCAACATCGAGCCGGATGGCGGTTTCATGATCTATGATCGTTATTATTCCAACAGGAGAACGAAAGATTCGAACAATAATGGACCGGGCGCCTGGTTTCTTTCTTATGCCCTTCAAACAACCCCCTGTCCAACGCAGTGTTTCTTTGCGGGCTGCCAAGCTTATAGTGCTCCACTCGCTCTTGAGATCGGCCCCGGGGAGAGTGGCTGTGCACTTGTGGTCCTTGGGTGGTTAATCGATTGGACCTCGACGCCTGGAAGAACTAATCAAAATCCATCTGCGGATACTCGTCACTTTCTCTCTTACTCTCACTTTCCTGTTTTCCATCCATTGTTCCCCTACAGACAAGGAATTGCTGGAGTCAGGGTTCATTCAACTCCATTCCTCTTCCTCCCTTGCTAGTCGTCCACCCCTTTTTGGGCACATGAACCATCCCGCGTCTCGCAAAAAAGCCCTCCTAGCTGCCTCACATACGCGCCGCGCTCTGTGCTCGCAACTCCTCGTGTGGCTTAATTGAGGCTGACACTCCGCCTCGAATTCGTTCCTTTTGTGTGTAGCCATCGCTCTGACCGCCGCCGGAGAATCTCATCTGATTCCATTTGAAACTCAACTCTTACAGTGGCCCAATGTCGTACGTGTTCCCTGCTCAATGGCATCTGGACGAGCCTCCCTGGCGTACTCCAACAGAGCGCCTACCCTAACCAAACCCGGTTTAAAATGTCGAGAAAATACTCATGGACGTCCTACAGAATTAATTGACACTACCACCCACCCACCCGCCCACTAACTCACCATGCGTAAGTCGGAGCTGTTTTCTTGAACTTGTTTTGGGGGTTCGGCTATACTAAACGCGACACGATCTAGACATCTACCGGCGTCACGCTCGCGAGCTGGCATGGTACGACGAGGAAGGCGAGCAGCCGTCGCATAACCCGTTCAAAAAGATCCGCGCTCGCCGCCGTCGCAACCGTCCGCAACGCTCGGATACCATCCCGCTCGAGGACCGGCCTCGCGAACTGGACCTGGGCGGCGGCGATTCTAGCGCGTTCCCGCCCCCATCTGCAGGCAGTGGGATGCCTCCTTCGGAATCGATGCGCAGCCAAGAACCTATCAACAATACCTCGCGTTCTTTGAACGACGAGTCTGCGGACTCCCAGCCGCGTCAGCGCGGAGGAATCTTCAGCAAATTTGGGCACCACGATAACAAGGATGATGTCTCGTCGTCTGAGGTGGATAAGCCTGAGCCTCAAAAGTTTACTTTTGGGAGTCAGTTGAAGGCGACCATCTTTAACTCCTGGATCAACGTTCTGTTTATCGCGGCGCCTGTTGGCAGTATGTTACCTGCGTTGCGCTCTTCAGTGATGTGTCTATGTGTGCTGACTGCTGGCCCTGATAGTTGCGCTGAATTACGTCAATGTCAACCCCATCGCTGTCTTCGTGGTAAACTTTATTGCCATCATGTATGTTAAACCACTGTGCTATGGCTAAATCAAAGGCTGACTTTTACAAAGCCCCCTCGCAGCCATGCTTAGTTATGCGACAGAAGAGATTGCCATGCGGTATGCTCTTCCTCAGTGCGACTCAATATATCAAGGCAGACTAACTAACGAGGCTATAGAACCGGGGAAACGATCGGTGGTCTCCTGAACGCCTCATTCGGGTATGTTTCGCGCTCTCGGTCCTTCACACTGCGTGCATCATACTAACTCCCGCAGCAACGCCGTTGAACTGATCGTTGCCATCATCGCCCTGGTCCACAAGCAAGTCCTCATCGTCCAGACTTCTCTCATCGGCAGCATGCTTTCCAATCTGCTGCTGGTCATGGGCATGTGTTTCTTCTTTGGTGGCGTCAACCGTCTGGAACAACACTTCAACCCCGTCGTCGCGCAGACCGCAGCCAGTCTGCTCGCTCTGGCGGTAGCTAGTCTGATCATCCCGACTGCGTTCCACTGGTCCGCAAACTCTGCCAAAGACCAAGTCACTCCTCTCTCGCGAGGTATGTATTTTATCACCAATGCGATTTTACCTCCAGATTGGAGCAACGCTCACGCATATATCCCGAAAACATAGGCACCGCCATCCTCCTCCTAGTTGTCTACGGCTGCTACCTCTTCTTCCAGCTCAAGTCCCACACAGAGATCTACAACCAAACCAGTCCCAAGGTGGAGAAGCGCGGGAAACGCGTCAGCGAGGGTGACGCCAGCCGCGGCATTGCGCAGATGGGCAAATTGAGCGCCACCATGGGCGGCCAGGAAGCGCAGAACATGACGCTTATGGATCCCGACGACGAAGAGGAGCAGCCGCAGCTTAGTGTGTTGACGGCCGTTTTGACACTGTGCATTTCCACTGCTTTTGTGGGCGTGTGCGCCGAGTTCATGGTGAGTATTTACCTAACTGTCCTGCCCTGTTCTTTTTCGTAGGCGATTTGACAGGCAGCGCGTGATATTAATGTCATCTGGTCCAGGTCGGTTCGATTGACGCTTTGACTAAAACGACTTCCATTCAAGAAACCTTCGTTGGGTTGATTCTGCTGCCTATTGTCGGTAATGCGGCTGAGCATGCCACCGCCGTGACGGTTGCTTGCAAGGATAAGATGGATCTCGCGATCGGCGTGGCAGTTGGATCGAGCATGCAGATTGCGCTGCTGGTTTTGCCTCTGATTGTTGTGCTCGGCTGGATTCTTGGTATGTCACTCTCGTTCTTGTTCGTTCTGGTGCTGTGGGTGACTAGGGCTAACTGTTTCGTCTACAGGTATTGATACAATGGTACGAACTCGCTGCGTCGGATTCGATTTGATTCGATCCGACTTGGACCCTATAACTAAGCTAATTACTGTTACAGACTCTCCAATTCGATGCGTTCCAGGTGGTCCTGCTGTTCGTCTCTGTTCTTCTCGTCAACTACCTCATCTCCGACGGCAAGTCGCACTGGCTGGAGGGTGTGCTGTTGATGACCATGTATCTGATCATCGCCGTTGCTGCCTGGTAAGCCGACCATCCTTGATTCAAAGTTTGTCCTGCATCTTGATTCTGATCGTCTGCTAGGTTCTACGAGTAATCACCGGCTGGACTCGGTGCTGGAATTGACGGCAGTTATCTCCGTTTGCACAGATCTAAAAGCCGCTGGTGGTCTGTGGTGGCTCGATCTTATTTACGGCCTACTTTTTCTTATTCTCGATCCCAATCCTCATTCGCTCTACTCTTCTCGACATTGTATTATGTCCCTTTATTGGCTGCTTTACTTGATGACTACCTATATCCCCTTGGGGCGGTTATGTTGTGTTGTGCTGCAGGTCGAATACATAACAAGATCCAGTAGTGTCCATAGTATATTGAGTTTTCCATGAATTCTTTATTTTAATATTATTCTACAAAATACAGATAGCCGTAGCCGGTAATAATAATGCAAAATGTAGACATTCGTTGCGAGGTTCCTCCCGATCAGGCTAAATGCAAGGCCAGCGCCCGACCGAAAGAATACCCCAGGTCCAAAACCCCGAAGATAGCCTCAAATCGCAGGCGGAAAACCCATCAAATGATTAATACTGTCCATCTGAATGGCCAGAGACAAAGGGCTAAATGTTCACGCCCCGGCGAGCCCTATTCCGACCCGGTCTCGGGATCCCTAGCGACTGCTTTTTAACCGAACCGATGTGGGGATCCGGGCGGAATTTGCTTCTTGGGCCGGGCCATCATCATCACGAGCGCCTCCAGTTAGATCAATACCAGGACGGTCCTGCTTAAATGCGTCTACTATTCCAGCCGGGCTGAATGTTTTAGCCTAATTATTTGCCAACTACTTGATTGGCGGACGGGTCACGTCCCGTTGAATATCGGTCGGCCCTTTTTCCGCGGCGCGGAGGGTAAGGCTCCGGGTGACGTCGACCGAGAGATCCAGTGTGGCCGGGAGATTAGTTAGTACCCATACGGGAGGCCCGGAAAGTCGAATTGGCGACACATCTACTTCTGTATTGATTTGCCTGTGGATGGCTTCAGAATCAGCCGGCCTGGATGCACACAATACCGATTCGGTAATCCGGATCGCGGCACGGCAGCCGAGTGGTGATTGATGTGATCGGGTAAATGAGAGGCGCAAAGGGGATCGGACGGAAAGGGGGAAGGAGAAAGAGAAAGGTCCGTGAGGAGGTGTGGACGAAGGTTTCTATCAGAACCAGAGGGTCAGGTCTCGGGCTCCTCTCGCCCAGGCCCGACTTTACTGAATATTAATTCCCCGTCGGCGAGTGGCTCGCTCCCAGGGGAGGGAGAGTTAAAGCCAAGGCCCGGAGATGACGCCGTCGCACTGGAAGGTGGTACGGACTTGGACAGGAAAGTCTGCTAGGGCTTCCCTTTTAAGCTTCTCCACATGGCACACTCGGCGTGGATGTCTTTTTACTGTGCCGGATATCCACCGAGGACGACTCCACTGCCCGTCTGACACGAGGCAAAAGGAATTGCCCTGAGATCTGGGGCACCTCAATCAGACTAATCACGTCAACCGTGCCCTGCCAGAGCCAAGGAGTTCATCCATAGGTTGCTGTACGGTGATGTGATGCTGCAGATGTCTTGGACTTGCCCTGTCGGACCTGCGCTCTGACCAGCCACGGTACGGAATCGGGCGATTTACCTAACGAAAAGCGAATGCGGGGTTGGCCGTCGGTTCGCCTTCCTCGGAGCCCAATCAGGGCCAGAGTCGGACGGGGCCGAACGCCCAGACGGAATGCTGGGGGCAGGGAAAAACTCGGTGTGCGACTTGCCCGGGTGCATGTGCTGGTGACCGTCCAGATGCGGGAGACTTGGGCTGGCTGGCTGGGCTGGACGGTTCGTTCGCGAACACAGGCCAGATCACGATGGTGGTGGGCAGGACGATCGAGAATATTCAATATGCATTAGGACGGAGTATATTGATCTCTGTTGTTCCCCCGCGGGGAGCCCCGGGGGGCGCATTCAGGGACTGGCGATTGGACCGATGGGCTGGTGGAATACCCGAGGCGCGCCCTCGCCCCCATGTGCACCGGCGGACAGGTCGTCCTTTTTGCCTATTCTGGCGTTCCCGAAAAGATGAAAGATCGGGAGGGAGCCGACTGAGGGATGGGCCAGACTGGAACCGTGTGTTGGTGACACCTGTATGTAGAGCAGCGTGTAGGGTAAAACAGACATGCCTACCGTAGGTTACTTACTGCCTTCTCGGCACCCGGAACCCACTCCCCACGCCCTCCGCACTTTTTACCCTCTCCAGCGGCTCTTTTGCTCGGCCTGCCACTTGCTCGGCGTCTGGCCACACTCCGTTCCTTCCCGACTACTCAACTCTCTGTCTTGTCGCTCGCATTCCCGGTCCGGTGCCCCGTCTATGCGTTCCCCCACACTTTTCGCTCTTTCCTCCCTTTTTCCCTTGTCTTGTTCTTCTTTCCCCAGACTCTCTCCCCTCTCTACTCTCTCACTCTCTCTTCCCTTCCTCCCCATCCATGCGATTCATCTTTCCGGTATGTTTCTTTTTTTCCCCTTTGAATCCTTTCAGCCCCATTCAGGCCAAATGCTGACCAGCTCGGTTCTTAGACCAGAGCACCACCGTAACCTTCTCCTTCTTTCGCGGAACCCCGTCGACATTCAGGCGTTAGATGGGCTTTGCAGCGCGCTCCCAGCGAACGACCCGAACCTTCGCACTGAATTAGTACACACCCGCGTCTACCTAAACACTACACATACATCCACACCCACGATGCGGTCCAGCATCGCCTGTGCCCGCTGCCGGCGCAGCAAGATCAAATGCGTCAATGCCGGCATCGACACCACCTGTCGCGCGTGCGAGTCCTCCGGCCGAGACTGTTCCTACCCGACCCCGGCCATCGGTGTGAGCGGCGGCGCCAAACGAGACCTGGCGGCATTAGCAGACGGCGAGGACCGGAATGGCGAGTGGGATGGCCCGAAGCGACAGCGCTCGCGCAAGACGATCGGCATGTCGGGCGCCTCGGGCTCCAAGGCCGGCCTGGATGCGCTGGACTCGTCCATTCTCACGACCAAGGTCTGGGAAGCCGTCTTTGATCTCTTCCAGTCGCATTTCGCTACACTCCTCCCTTTCCTTCACCCTGCGACGTTCCTCGGCCAGATCCGCCAGCTGTCTGCGCCAGCTCCTCTACCCTCGGTCCCGGTGGTCGATGGGCAAGAGCCCTCGCGAACCGTAGGATCCAAGTCAGATCCTTCGGCTTCACTGATCCCGTTGGGAGTGCTGGCGCTCACCGCGCGCTTTCACCCGCCGCTGGTCTCCTACCACTCGCCAGCATCACCGGGTCATTCTCCCAATCCTCTTGCCGCATCCGAGTATTATGCGACGGCATTGCGCAGCCGGCTGGCCGGCGTTGACGGCGCAAGTCTTGCCATCCCCGATCTCGCGCGCGTGCAGGCTCTCTTGATGCTGGCGCTGCACGAATGGGGCATGTGCCGCGGCAAGAGCGCCTGGGTTTACGTGGGAATGGCCATCCGAGTGGCGCAGGCCATGGGTCTCCCTTTTGAGTTGGAAAACGAACTCCCACCGCGTGATGCGCCGCGCTTCTCGCCCGCCCTCAAAGCCGAAATCGACCACTTTGGTATGCCGCGGCGCGTTGAGCCCAAGGAGCAAACCTCCGACGATATCATTGCCTTGGAGACCAAGCGCCGCACTTTCTGGGCTTGTTTCCTGCTTGACCGATGCCTCAGCAGCGGCAAGTACCGTCCACGCATGATCGAAGTCAAGGAACTTGGCATTCAACTCCCCAGCGACAACGCATTTGCCTTTGGAGAGCGTGTACGAACCGCACGACTCAATGAGCCGACCGCGCGCCGTCCCCAGAGCTTTGGATCTCAGGGAGTTCAAATTCCCAGCATCCGACAAAGTTTGGGATTTGGTGATGAGAAACTCCCCGTTGGGAACGGTACGCCTGATGGCAAGGCATGGTCACCCATTTCGCGTCGCAAGGATTCGAGCGAGGACGAGGTTGACCGGTGGGAGGTCGGCGCCGAAGAGTCGGTGCTCAGTCGAGTGATCCGGATCATTCGCATTTGGGGTAGCATCACCAAGTGGTCCTGCGCTGGTGGCCGCCGGACCGAACAGTACCCGCCCTGGCATCCCGAGTCCCGTTTTGCATCTATTCGCACACAATTGAATGAGTTCCAGGATGGCCTCTCCCGCAATCTGCAGTATTCGCTGCGGAATACTGACACACACATCATGTACAAGACCACGCTGGCGTCATACACGGTCATGCATGTTGTCTACTTTCTGTGTGTGATTGTCCTCCATCGCGCCTACGTCCCGTTTCTGCCTCTCCGCTGCAACGAACCAGTCGGCCCATTGGATGAGCCCCTGCTTCCAAATGACAGTATGAGCGGTCCACCTGAGGGCTTCTGGCACGATAGCGCTCGCGAGCTCTTCAAGGCGGCGCGCCAGATGATCGACCTTGTGACCACCTGCCAAAGCCGCGGCGCGCTCGTCGACACTCCCCTGATTGGTTTTGCTATTTACAACGCTGCGTTCATCGGTGTTTACGGCACTCACTTCCCGCAACTGGATCCGGACGGGCTCATGGGAGCCAAGCCGCCCCCTGCGAACCACGATAGTCACCAACCCGGGGCCGCGCAGGTTCGCAAATCCCTAGATATCCTGCGAGAGATGCGCCCGCGCCTGAAGATGGCTACGGGCTGGTTCCGCACCCTGAACCGTCTTAACAGCTACTTCTCGAAGGCGAAGCGGGATCTCCGTCGACACTCACGCAATCGTGGTGACAGCATGTCCGATGCGTCGGATCACCCTGTCACCAACGGGTTCCGACAGGGCGGTGGCGGACCAGAAGAATTCAAGCTGCTCGAAAAACTCTTCCATGATTTTGGGACTACGGAAGATCAGCTGCCAGATTCGGGATTCGACGACGATAGCACTGTGGCTCTCGCGGCCGGGGAGCCGATGCCGGACCGGGCCAACAACCTCAGCGATGCTGGCAGCAATGCTGTCAAGAGCGAAACGGGTGACGCTGGAGATCAGCTGGACGGTGCTGGTGGACGCCGCGAGTCCTGGGTGCCAATCAACAGTCCTGGGATGCCTCCTCCGGGCCATGAGGGAGACCGTCGCCCAAGCCTGCCGCTCCCTACTAGCCGTCCCATGCCGTCTCAATCCCCTTACTCGCTCCCATCATTGCAGCAGCACCATCCCGACGGGCCTCTGTATACCTCGTCTCCCAGTTTACCCTCGCTGTCTGCAACGAGTAACCGCCTGCAGCCCATCAACTCGTGGCTCCCTTCGCGCCCACAGGCGCCGCCACCACCGTACTCCCAGGCGCTCCCACCCATCAACGCAACGACCTCGCACAGCGGCCCTCTTCTCCCACCGCCAGGGTCTGTAGCCCAGCTCGCTCCCTCACCCCCTCTGACATCAATGGAGGGTCCTGACACAAGTGCGTGGTCAACCAGCCTTGGCGGAGACGATATCCTCGCCTTCCTGGATGCAGGTAACTGGAAACAGCTGTCCTCAAATCTGCCAACGGAAGTTGGCATCCCCTCTGGCTGGCTGAGCATGGTGTGGACCGAGTTCAGCCGGTAAAAAGCTCGCGCTGGGCCGGATCGGAGTGGAGCGTTGCACGCTCCCTCCCTTCTCTGTATCATTATTCTTATCGCCTTTTTTTGTTACCCCTCGTCCTCTACGTGCTTACGTACTGTACGACTACATATGGCCGCCGGCGACCACAAAAAAAGCGTGATTCTGGGTTGGGTTGCGGAGTGCCAGCGGATCTGGGACCGGACTGGCCTCGCTAGTCGACGGACATGATACCAGCATCATTGCATTGCGTGCCTCTTCCCCTCTCATTATGTAGCTGGTTTTGTTTGTTTGTTTGTTTATGCTTATCTGCCATCCGGCGCATTGGTCTTTGTCTTTGTGATTGAGTGTGTGTATGTCTTTTTCCAGCGAGCGACTATGGGAATGGGCGGCATGGAATTATTCTTCCTTTGGGCCGGTGATTATTTATGGTTGTTTTTGATTCTGCTCCGGTTCGTTGTTCGGGCGATGCGTTTATGACCGGCCATGGCGTTGCACTTGACTGCCAATTATCTGTTCCTCCTTGTTGTCAACTTATCAACCTAGGAAGCTATTTCTGCCAATATTGATTCCTGCGTTTGGATATCTTCATCCTTCCATCCTTCTATCCAAAATAGGAACCCGAATACTATGATCCATGCGTAACGCCCATAGTCGACTGCTTTCGACAGGGATATCAAGAGTTGGAGCCCACGTCATTCATTGCTTTGCCGAGTTGGTCTTGGCGTGAGGGGAAGTAACTGTGCCGCATCGCATCGTACTTGCGCCGAAAACCCAAGCCCATTAGTGATGATGGCCCGGTAGGGTCCAATAGTGATCTAGATCCCTCAGCTATGGCGCAGCTGCAGTGCGTCGCATCGAGGATCACCATGCTCGTTCGCATGGAAAATCATATACTTATTCCGGCTAATCCGGCGGATTTTCTGTTTAAATTAATGGGCAGATCCCGTCATCGTAGCGCGTTTGTGACCACTCGCTTAGCGCCCTTTCAATCACTTCGAGGTGACGATCGTCTCTGATCCCTGCTTGCCGCCAGCCATCGTGAATTCGCCCGGGTTCTTGAAAAGAATGGTTGTTTTCTTGGTTAGCTGCATGACTAGTTTACTTACTGCGACTTTGTTTGTAAATGTATTACCAGAGCTCACTAGCATCATGTTGCAGGGGTGTTCCCAAAATCTGAAACCCTCGAAGTACGGGCTTCGGGCTGCGGGAACACCACTGTAGGTAACTGTAGACGGTGAAAAAGAGAGAAAACTTGAGTAAGATTCGAACTTCGGAAACACCACTGTAGGCAACTGTAGACGGTAACAAAAGATACTTGGGTAGGGTTCGAACTTGGGTACACCACTGTAGGCAACTAACTTCTCAGCCGCAGCACAGCCAGTGCATATATGCAGCAGCTGAGATAGCGGTGTGAAACAACACAGATGAAATGGTGCGCCTGCCCCCGGGTGATCGAGGCTGGTATGTTGGCTATGTGCTGGCCTTGGTCGGGTTAATGGATGAGGCTCTCGGTGTAGCAGAGTGGGCTTGCAGCCCATGTCACGGTAGAACCAACACGGCAATGAAAGAAAGGTTGATTGTGAGATCCTTGGGCTAAATTAAAAGGATACTTGACGATATTATCTATTAGACTGTCTCATTTATTTAATAACGGAATACGCGCGTAATTTGACATCTGAGGATCCATGCACTTCGCAACTTTCATATAAACTACGTATATTGACCTCCCACGGTTTCATTGCCCCATGACCTTATTTGGACTTATTATGGCCTGGTCTTGGTACATCCAATGTATTTGATGCATTGGGTATATGCCGTGTGTGTCGGCAATGGGGACATCAGGAGATGTAAACTGCCACGGCTAAATAAAAGCCAAATTAGCGCTTAATTCAAAATATGAAGACAGCCTGGGTGTAAACATACTTCCTGTAGTGGTAGTTGCCTCGACTCTTGCAAAGGTGCCAGTTCTGACTTCATCTGATGCATGATAGCTGAGTTGACGTCCTGAAAGGAAGAGATGGTCGTTGAGCCTTCTGGGCTGTAGCAGATGTCCTGCACCTGACCAGCAAAGGCAAAGGATGTTTGATCCACTAGCTCCGGAAAAGCATTGGGCGGGGGCGTCAAGGGAGCAGGCTGCATCGCAACCTGTGAGAAACTGGCCTCGTGTACTGGAATTCCAGTGGCATAAATTTGATTGTTGATCCATTCAGCAGTGGCGATGGTCGGCGCATCGGCTTCATTGCTTCTGGTCGTGGTAATCTTAGGATGCGAGGTGGATGGTAAAGAAGCCGACTCAGATCGTGCTTCGGAATTGGTATGGCTTGATCTCACGTAAGAAGATGCGTCCGTAGACTGGCTTTCTAGAGATTCATGCTCACTGTAATTAATGTGAGATTGGTATGTAAGACGAGGAGGGGAGGTTAACGGGAATCACTCACTTCACATGCCGTATAAAGCTCCGGGGGTGTTCGAAAGCGACTTTGCATCCGGTATGGGTACAGTGGTAAAGCTTCTTAGCACTATGGCGCATCTCATGTCGCCTCTTGTGTTCTGCTCTGGTAAAGACCTATATGTAGGACTGGTCAGAACGTTGGTTGAATGTGCGAGTGCTAAGAAACTTGCCTTGTCGCAATCCGGATATTTACATGGATGAACTCGCTTCCCCTTCTTTGCTTTGCTGACGCGTCGAGTTCTGGGGGTATAACTGACAGAAAGGGAATTTTCACTCCAATCTTCCGCGTCACAATCCTCCTTGCAGACCATCCCGGTCATGGTAGCGTGCTGGAGTTACTGGCTGGAGGCAGGGCCTTGATAGAGTATTGTGGAAGAATAAGGTATGAAAGAATCTCCTTGGAAGATTGGCAGAGGCCGCCTGTCACAAAATGGGTTGAGATTCGAAGCTTGAAGAGGAAAACAAGCTTAAGAGGCTTGGTCCCACCCTTTCTTATAGAAGCGCCTGAAACATTGCATTTCTTAATAAGGGTCTAGTCCTGATCGTCCTGTTGGATAATCTTGGTCAGATGTTGGCTGTGAGATCGACCACACCTTTCGACACCCAATGATTCCATTTGTGCTAGGATAGTTGCCCCGTGCCGTGTCTTAACCGTTTAGGAGAGATCAATACAGATTACACACCGGATGGGGGCCATTCCCCTGTCATAACGCCCCAGGCAATGAAGGGCAGATCCACCCACATGCAGGGATTATCAGCTAATCAGATAGAGGCGGTAGGCAGATACGTCAAAACTCCGCAAACACCACACACATGGCTTGCAGGGATCGTGAAATACCCCAGCAGACATTACGCAGGTAGCCAACTTACACACTGATCGGTCGCACACGACGGGATCGATCACACAGCAGGACCCTTAACAAATTATACGAAGGCTTGTAGATGATCTGTAGACAGCACAAAAGATATAGCAAATACTTGGCCGAATAATTTTTAGCGACTTAATCCCTTTGATTGTAAAAGCCGCCAGAGAGTAAATAAATGCTCGATGAACGTTTTAAGGCTAGTCTCAAGGAAGAATGCCGTTGGCAAGCTTTTGCCTACTTAGTATTTTGGCGGAGTGGGGGCGGTTGGGGGCGAGTGGAAATTGACTGCGCCGTATCACGCCGTGCGTAAAGTATTGTCCCTGGGGTAATTCACTAGCGGTGATCACGAACATCTTGATGTCAGCACACGTTCGTCTTCCTAGAGGGAGACGGCTGCGTCTATCGCAGTCCAATGTTCAAGCTGAATGAATCGTAATGGTCCCCACTGGATGACTTTTTAAAACTGAGGCTCTTCTCCGTTATTTTTATGGTCGCGTGTGATTCAGCCCTACCTACATACAGTGATGTTTCATAAGTCTAATAGCTTCTATCTACGGCTTTGACTGGGTAACGGGTTTTCGAATTTATGGAACTCCGCTGTATGCTGTTGGAAACGAACCTTCAAACTGGTTGTGATTGGCGGCTATGCGGGCAGAAGGATCAAGTGCCTTCTTATTCAGATAGGTACATGTAACTGCAGGTAACTTACGTAGTATTCGTCTTAGTGAAATACATCGCGTAGAGAACTATTACTACGGCTCAAGTGGGGAATGACTGCGCCGCATTTTATGCAAAGCCAACCAGGTACAAATTGCCTACACGAAGACCGCGGAAAAGGTTGAGGCTTGCAGATTCAGCCCCACATCATACTTCTGGTAGGATTTGATACCCTGCGACTTCTGTTTAGTGTCTTCCTCCTTCGATCACCCGATACTCAATTCCAGGGCGCCCGTGCTTTGGCCCCTAACGCTGTGTGCATCTTAATCGCTCCTATCACAAGTTGCAACATTCTGAAACAACCGACTTGAAAGTAGATCATGCATATCATTCCGGCACGTGGCACGTGGGATTGTCATTCGGCTTGAACGGCATTACAGTCGCATGTCTTCCTCGTGGCTATTCCGAGCTAGCCATACCTGGCCAAGAAATTCTTGAGCTCATCTGTTCATGCAAGACTGAGCGCTTTGCCGCTGGGCTCTTTTAACCAAAGTTTACTTTTTTGTTGGCTCGACCCTGTAGCTGAAGTACCCTGCAAGTCTAAACAGGTCCCAGACACTGACAAGGCGATCGCTCTTAATAATATCTGTAACCAATTGGTGGGTCAAGCCTCTCCCTAACTTCCCCGCGTGCTTTCAGTCGGCGCAGTCAATCGTCATAGGTTTGGGGAATTTCGGGAAATTTCCGTGAGCCAGGGTTACACCGCTGTGGCTGCTACGCCCGACCAACATGCAAGGGCAAGGAACCAATCGTCAATTCTTGTATCGGTACACGTGCCAGTGTATGATCAATGAGATGAAAAAGGCGCTTGTGAGACTTCGATGATCAAAACCAAGTTCTATGTCGAACGTTACTGATCAGGTGATTTTGTTTTGGGTCGCAATTGCTTGTAGTGCAGAGAACGCTAAAAGCCACAACGGACCGCCGTGCTCGGCGGCAAGCTCATGGGCTGGCGCATCGCGTGCGTCTTCGTCGCAGCCGGATACAACGTGCACATCCGCGGTCTATCACAGGACGCTTTGAGAGAAGCCATAGCATATGTCGACATGCACAAAGTAGAGTTTACATTGATGCCGCGGAACAGCAAGTTCAAAGAAATTAGCTACGGAGAGAACGAAATCGCCGAGCAGACACACTCTAATTCAAGATCGAGCTGGAGATCTCGCCCGCTCGCCTTATGGTAATTACAAGGCCTTCAGGGAGATGGAGCTCATGGAGCTCATGAGCGATGGAGAGACAGAACAGACCCCGAGATCCTCCCATATCTGGAAGCAAGGTTTTGGTTCAGGACCTTTTCTCCCCTGGACGGGGATGCTTTATACCGCATGATCCTGTGTTTCATGGGCGTTGCCATCGGCTGAATGTGGCTGGGTCTAGTGGACTCAAAGGGACCTCACAAGGGGGGGGGGGGTGGGGAGAGAATTCTTCGCGCTGCCATTGAGATCCTCGCCGGAGAACCGCCCGACACGCGGCCAGATATCGAGTTACTGTTTGACAAGCAGCCTGAGCCAATCGATCCCGAGCTTGATTGCACGACTCACACGCGGTACTGGACAGATAAGCGCGAGCATCCCACTGGATGTGCATTGTATCGCTCATACGTTGGTGGCGAAGCTAGCGACATGCAGAGGATTGCCCTGGCGCGCCAATTCCATGAGCCTATTGGTCTCAAACTGATTACCATCAATCGTGTACGTGACGGATTGGGTGGAAGCTTGTACTCGGTGTCGTTAGATGATGGGGTAAAGACGTAGCTGATGCACAATTATGGGTGTTATATGGGGATCTCATTGGTTTAGATGACTTGAATTTAATAGATATAGACGATAGTATTATTGTTGAGATTATCCAATGCAGTTCTTCAAACGAGGCGTAGCTCCAAGCTCTGTAGCCTTGTATTCTTGACCGAGCTGCCCGTTGCCGAGCTATTGCTCGCTTAGAGAGCTGCATTAGATAGTCCTAACCTTGCGGCCCACTGTTAGTTCCGCTACTTCCCGCCTAACATTTATGGATTTGTCTTTCCCAAGTAGTTGTTGTCAAATGGATCTCACATGACATCGCGAGCCCTATCTGGTTCCCATCTGCGGAAGCAATGCCCATCTTTCCGATGTGACTATTTTGCCTAAACTATTCAAGCTTTTTTTCTGTTCTTTTCGCAAGGACGAACTAACTAACGGCTGTACAACGGCCCAACTCAATAACAAAGAACCCCCTTGAGTTCCCAACCCCGCCCAGTCACTCCACCTCCTCTCCACAATAATGGAGCGCGGTTGTTGATCCATTCCGTACATCCCACGGGCACGGACCGAGTTGCATTGCAAGCCAAGCAAGCATGGAGACTCGAGCTGGCCGATCTGCATGTAACACTTGACCATCCCACTCAACAGCGCGTTCATGCATATCATTCATTTCATCCTACCCACTCTGCACGAGTAAATCACACACCCCTTCCAACCTGACTTCGGGCTTCTATCTCCGTCAATAACCCTACGCGCGACTGTTATCGGTCCTAATGCAGCTCCCTAGCCACCTGGTGTGGACTCTCACCGCAGCAACAATAACAACAACCGCGCTCGCAGCCCCATCCCGCCTCTGGGCAACACACTACAACGGCAATGTCTACACACTAACCCTCTCCGGTGATGACTTCGCCATCACCGACACCCGCAAGACCTGCGGCGACCTGCCAAGCTGGCTAACCTTCGACTCCCACACGCGCACGCTGTACTGCTCCGACGAGAGCGGCACGTCCGACCCCTCGACGCACGGCTCCCTCACGGCGTATCACGCAGCTCCTAATGGGGTTCTGCATGAGCTTGCTACAACAGAGACGATTGGAGGTGGTGTGAATAGTGTTATTTATGAAGGGGATAACGGGAGGAAGTTTATTGCTATTGCGCATTAGTATGTTTCTTTCTTTTCACTTACACCCCCACTGTCTCTCTAGGACATTCTTTTTGTTCTCGTCTGAGATGTATACATTGTTCGTCGAAGACAGTCTCGTACTAACTCCAACCAGCGAAGGCTCCGCCGTATCAACCTTCGCCCTCCCCCTCCACGCCAATGCACCCGCGCAGCAAGCCTTCCACTTCAACATGACACACCCGGGCGCAGTATCCCAACAAGACGCGCCGCACCCACACGAGGTGATCCTCGACCCAACAGGAACATTCCTGATCAGCCCGGATCTAGGTATGGACTTGCTGCACGTGTACGCAATCAACAGCGCGACGGGCCGTTTAAGCAGCTGCCCAAGCGTGAAGATACCCTTCGGCAGCGGGCCGCGCCACGGCGTCTTCTGGACTGACGGCACGGGCAAGGAGCCGTGGTGGACACCTGCGCGAGACGGCGAGGCGCGAAGACGCATGTGGGCGCCTGTCGGGAAGACGATGATGTATCTTGTCAATGAGATTGGGGGTACGATGATGGTGTTTGATGTTGCGTATTCGCGGTCTGGGTGTATGAGCTTTTACAAGAAACAGACGCTCGTGCCGTACACGGATGGTAAGATGCCGGAGGGTGCGACGCCGGCTGAGATCAGGCAGATCGGACATGCGTTTTATGTTTCTGTTCGGAGTGATGGCGGGTTCCCTGGGAAGAATGACTCGATGGTCACGCTGGACCGCTCGCCGCGCAGTGGACTGGTATCACTGCGCAATACAACGCCGGCGCACGGCAAGGTACCGCGTACGTTTGCGATCAATCGCGCGGGTGATCTGGTGGCTATTGGGAACCAGGCATCCGCGACGGTAGCCATCGTGCGGAGGGATCGGGAGTCTGGGAATCTGGGTGAGCAGGTTGCCATCCTACAAGTTGGTGAGCCTGGGAAGGTGGGTACTGCCGAGGGGCTAAGCAGTGTTATCTGGGATGAATAGGTAGACAAGATTGAGAAATCAAGAACTCGGATTGTGTGCGTGCAATGCTCTCACTTCTATAAAAACAGCACGATGAAAGCAAACCCCAACTTGCAAGTATACTTCGCGTCAGAATTGGGAAGCAAGTACATCCGGAATCAGCACGTAACTCATAGCATAACCAAAAAAAAAAAACATCCAGATAGACAAAAACCCCCCAATATGCTGCCACAAGGATAGATAAGAAATATATAAGAACCTTCCAACGAAAAAAGACCGGCTTGTTTCGTGAGTTTTGGACTGTCGGAGACCTGCACCGAGAAATAAATGTATAGGTAATTCCCTGTCGCAGCCTGGTTGAGACCATTGATCATGCCATATCGTCGAGATCGACGGATCAGAAAATAAATAAAATGAACGTATTTTTCTCAAACGTAAGTCATAACATCCGTAAAGGCGTAGTCCGTCTTGGGTCAGAATTATTTAAAGTCCAATTGAAAGGCTTTCCATTTGCCTCCGACCGTACGACATCGCGGACACCCACGTGCGGTTGGGTAGCTGGTTGGACCCAGTGGTGCCATGCTGTTCACGCCATTCCCCGGGCTTCGGAACGAAGCAGGCGGACTCGAAATGAACATGCTGACGCAGTCTCGACAAACGCCGCAGATACACTCCGTACATGCATAACACTCATTCAACGCCCAAGGGCGCTTGCAGTGTGCGCAGAAAATTTGGATTTCCCGGTTGTGGTAAGATGCTGGAGTCGGGTTTGAGAACCGATGGTGCTGTCGCTGGTTGATGGGGGGAATTAAATTCAACACCGGACTTGAATCGGAATTCGAGGACGGTGCGAGCCCAGATGTGAAATTCTTGCCGGACGCGCTAGACATGGAGTCGAGTGACGATTCAATGGACGGGAACGGTTCCAAGTCACTATCACGGCCCCTCTCAAACGGCGGCGGTGTCAATGATTTGTGCAGAGGCGAGGCAGCGTAAGAATGAGGAGGAAACGGTGGCCGGTGTGAGCCAAGAGGCGGTAGCCCAGTCGTCGGCTGGAAAGCCGGTGGGAGCGAGGACCGGTTCTTCGGCGCTGATGTCACGTTGGCAAACAGCGGCGCGATTGTGGGCGAACGGCCAGCCTGGGGGAGTTATATTAACACTATGAATTCATGGAATCCATGGACAGAAGGCTCACCTCTGAATGTCGCTCATCATCTACTTCGGTAGCCGAGGTCGCTGCTTCGATGAGGTCCTCCCAGCGCTTGCCCTGCGCCCAAGCAGCTGTTTGCGGCTCTGCGGAGAGAGCTTTGCGATCTCCCAAGCTCGGTCGTCGACCAAAATCCTTCGACCGTGGCCGCTCATGCTTTGGTTTTCGCGCCGATTGCGAGATGGACGACTTGCGCGGTCGGGTAACCTTGTCTTTCCGCTGGATGGGTGGTAGAGTGGATGAGCGACCGGGCGGGGAGTGGTTCAAGATAGATGGAAGAAGTTCCCGCGGGCGAGACGAAGCGAATGGCGGCAGAGATTCCTGTTTGAAATGGTCGCGCAGAGAGGGTAATTCAATCGACGAGCGCATGCCGGGTCGGGTCACGTCGGTATCGGAATGAGTATCCTGAAAGTTTTCCACCAGTTAGTGGACAAATAGCCGGCGCAGGGGAAGAAAAATAGGAAAAAAGAAACCAACCATATCGGTATCCCAGTCCGAAGCGAGTCGGTGGTGGTGCAGCTCTGCCAGAGCAACAGCCGCCGTAGCTGCGGATGGGTGGGGTTCGTCCAGAGCTCGAGGAGTGCCCGGGGAGCTGGCGTCCCGAACGTAGATGTCCCGCTCCACTTCTGTGGGTAGCCGTCAGTATCCCGGATCCGATTTCCCAAGAGCAAAGATTCAAAAGCACACTAACCATTTCGGCGTCGGGGCTGGGGTTGTTCTGGGGGAGAGAGGTGCGCACGTTGTTCGGGAGGGGTGGTGACCATCAGCAGGAAGCTCTCCTCGGTAGCCGGGAGCTTCGGGATGTAGTGGTTCGGGTGCGCACGTCGAATGTGCTCCTGCATGGACCGATAGCGTTTTTCCTGGAGGGAGCCGAGTCAGTTTCTGTGTGGTTTTGGTCGCTCTCCCGTCGTGCTAGGGGTTTGGTCGCCATGCGCCGTTGCAGGAAGTGGGGGCATGGGCTGTCACCCGGAAAGAGGGGGGAGGCAACTTACTCCCAGACATCGCTTGCGACAATTGGAGCCGTCGTTATTCTTCAAGGGACACACCACCTCATTATTGGCGTCGGTGACCGAGAAGGAGCCCGTCAGGGAGCTTCGGGGAGGCATGGTGTATAGAAGCCGGTCGGATCCCTGGGGGCGGGGAGAGGGGAGGGGGAGTGCCACAAAAAAGAGAGGAAGGGAGAGAGGGAAGACCAAAGCTGGAAAGTCTGGGTTAGAGCAGAGCACGAAGAAATCCAGAAAAGCCCATGCTCCGGAAGTGGGGGTGGAAAAGGGAAGATCCAAGCCGGGGGTGTTTGAGAGGATGTGAGAAGAAAGGAAGAAGAGAGGGCCATGAAGAACGACAAGTACTCGGCGCTGGTCGATGTACGATGCGGGTATTACGCGGTAATTTTACAAGCTTAGCTGTGCCGGCCCAGCTGGAGCTGAGCTCGAATCCTAGTGCTTATACTCTGTCCACCACTCGGTTCGGCAAAAAAATTAGTCGAGGTTCCTCTCGAGATATTTTCTTTTCCGGGCGCTTTCTGTCTGAAGGACACAGGGGAGAGTTGGATCACGGGTACGGTATGGTCCCATACAATTCCCCCCTACTAAACTCTGGAGCCAATTCCGAGGGTGGAACTACTAGGTCCAGGGAGGGAATTATGTATTCAGAAACTATAGAGAAAGAGCTACACATATCTTCCAGAAGCATTCTGTTTAGCCGAACCCCCAGCCGTGTAGGGCAGGCGACCACCTGCCCGCCCCAACGATAGGCGCTATCAGCGGCCCCTCCAAAGCTCTCCGCAGCTCCGAAGCTCCAGATCAAAGGGAGGGGAGCTCCGGGTGGCGAACGCCACGTTACGGTACAGTACAACTTGATCCCGTTGGGCAAAAATGAACCTTGGGAATGTCCCTAAGGAGTTAGGGGTAGATGCCTACGGGAGCGAAATGCTGTCAAGAGAGCTAGCTTTCACTCTGAAAAGGCCAGGAGTCCAAACGGCGCACTCCGGAGGCCGAGATATCCGTGACGTGCATGAGTGAGAGTCCGTCCAGCTCAATGTAACGCCCGCGCAGGCTGTAATACCTGGTCATGACAAAGGCATGAAGAGCAGCAGCAAAGCAGCCTGATTGGTCCTGGTGGAGACTCGGGTTTCCATTGTTGACGTTTTCATTGGCGTAGCGGCTGGGCGGCAACGGCGCCTTGCCGGATGAGGAGAGTCGTGCAGGCGAGGAAAAAGTCTGCCTGAGAGACGATAGGGCAGTGCGAGTAGTTACATATCGAGTTGTGTAGGTAAGTAGTAGTATGTATGTACATGAAACAGTGGTGTTACCCACGGACATGGAGTAGCTAGACTTGCATACCAGCGTCGTCACGGCCATGCAAGGTTTATGTTCAGCCGCTTCCACTCGGAGAGAGATGTCCAGGTTGGTCCCCTGGATAATGGGTCAGGAACCTCTGGTAGTAACCCGAAGCCAGGTTCAACCCGGGTGTCGGGACAGGATTATCGGTCTAGGATGTATATCTTCTCAACCCACCACATGCTCTTCCGCCGGAGGTGTGATCAGACCACTAGTCTCAACATGGTGCCCTACTGCACCCTTGGAAACGGTATCCTCGCCCGCAAAGAACAGTAGCACCGCCTCCGCCGCAGCCTTGGAGTCATCATCATCATCATCCTGGCCAGGGACAAAGGCACGGAAAATCCGCTCCAGATAAGAAGCCACCAGCTCCTCCGGCCAGTTAGCCCGCCGACCAAACTCCCGACTCAGCTCGCTGTTGACAAAAGTATCAAACTCGAAATGGCCCTGGTACGTCAGGACGCGGCCGGGGCAGTACAGACCCTGAATCGGGCACTGGGCACTGCTGCCGATATTCATCCATGGCGTCGGCAGGGACACCACGGAGCTCGTTCCTCCTGCGGCGGCCAGCGCCTCGGGAGTAGGCACCACCTGGTCGCCGTGGATGAGCTGGATCCGGAATGGGGACTGGGATGATGTTCGCGCCAGAGGTGGAAAGTGCGCCGTGAAAGACGGGTGTAGGGTGATCGGTTCGATGCCCATTTCGTACCCCGTCTGCGCGTGCTCCACGTGGAACGCTGAGGATGGAGCAGTAAATTTGGCTGAGAGTAACGCCTGAGCGATGATCTGGTGGCCGAAGCAAGATCCGAAGATCCTGACGTGCGGGAAGTCCGTATGCACCGTTTGAATGAAAGATTCTAGGCCATGAATCCAGGGCTGGTCTTCGTACGCCGACGCCGCCGAGCCCGTGATCAAGATTGCATCGATCTGTCCCAAGGGCCCGCCAGCATGAGGTTCATTGAATGATCGTGGACTGGTGCGCAAAGACTCGAGAGGTGGCAGCGATCTTCCCACGGCGTCAAAGGCTGTGATATGCACGGCAAGCGGCCCTTTCTGGAGCTGGTTGGCCGGATTCTGGTTCAGACGCTCGGCAGCAGCCTGGAGAAGATTACGGAATTGAGAACTGTAGAGTCCACGTGCTTTGTAGACGGACAGACATGGGATATCGGCGTCCAGGACGGCAACGTGGATCTTGTGTGGTGCCATATGCTTTTTCGGATGCCGCAATAATCGAAATGAGTGGTGATTTAAAAGAGAGTAAGAAAGAGAAGACTTTTTCAGAAAGAGAGGTTGTAGAAAGATATGCTGAACTCTACAGGCGGAGTCATTGATGGCAGAAAAGAAACTGCATCTTTGATGCCAACGATAGGGCGCGGAACCGGATCCAAATTCCCGATAAGGGTTTTCGTTAATAATGCGATGGAGACACTCCCCCCCCAAATCAGGCAGCTGAATCCTTGTCTGTATGAAGCGGTTTATTCATTCCATATGACTGCTGAAGTGGGAATAGAAGATGTCGAAGATTGGTTTATAAAAGGTTATCATTTTCTGCGAGTGCTGCGCGCCCCCTGTCATCTCTTTTTCCGGGACTTGTTTCGGGAGTGCGCTGGAGAAAGTGACCAGACGAGGCGCAATGCCCCAAACCCATTAGAATTGAGGTAAAGTAGTTAGTACTGCATCAGACGTCTGTTATTGAATCAATGTTCAGTTGTGTTGAGGTGGTTGTTATAAAAGGCGAGAGAAGAACCGATTCCGTGGCCTGATCGAGCAATGCGAAGATTATTGACCGAACATTGACGGGCCAGCCACCCGGCCGAGACAACTGCTTCTAAATAACTGACACCATATTGAATTGCCTCACTATATGAACTGATCTGCCTGAAGTATTGCTCTTTTGGGCTAAAATGGATCCCTCGTGGCGGTTTCTTGATGCAGGACCGACAGGCCTAGAAGACCCCTGCATCCTGGTTAAGATCCTGGAGATATGCAAGATGTGGAACTGTCGGCCGAGTGAAGAACTGGGTTCACGTATGATGGAACAATGATAAAGATGGTACTGTCATGGCAGTGCGACTCCACAGCCGAATTGCAACTACCGATATACAAATAGCCGTTACTATACCCAGTCCCCCTACCAAGTATAACTAGCATGTTCTTTCCTCGGTCGCATCGTGCATACAATGGCACCATCCTGTACCTCAGAGAAAGATAGTTAAAGATCTTGCAGTGACGTACAAGTGCTTTCATGAGCAAAAAATTGTGCCAAGTCGCGATCGGCCAAGGCGGCCATCACAACATCACCCCCCGCAAATTGCGCCATCCTAGCCACGACCCCCCAATTAGCCCGCTACAGGCACTCCGAACTTCAGAATTAGCGATAGTCCGTGCCACGGCCTTCATTCCGCCCTTTATGCCCCTCACTGAAGCTCGGGTCGTCGCCAACGACTCCTATCGCCTATAGGATTGCGAATCACGGCCCTCGCACGCCATTTAGCCCACTCGTTTCCTCACTCTGGATATCAGGCACTAGGACCTTCTTTTTTTGTGTCGCAATGGCGATCTTGAATTTCCGCCTAACAACATAAATAGAGCCATGTAACCCTGCTTTTGTGGATAGTGTTCAATTAAGCAAAAGTTTTCCTATCTAGGTCTCATCCAGCACCTATACACACCATGGCCCCCGCACTCACCGAATCCGCTCCTACCGCATCCCACAGGCTCGATGCGCCGCTGGAAATCTTCCCCGATGGTCTGAGGACCACCGGCCAGCACCCTCCTCTATACGAGCACCTCCAGCCCTTTGACCGCTTCCCGCGCCAGATCACCGGCCCTACCGTTTGGAAAGCCGAGGACTACCGCGATAACCCGGAGAAGTGGACGCATGTCTTCACCCCATCGCAGATTGAGGAACTCAGCGCGTCATCGGATGCTTTCCTTGCGTCCAAGACCCCGCTGACTGGCATTTCCAAGGTGAGCTTATCCCCCAGGAAGCCTCGTTTCTACGGACAGTATTAACCAGAAACAGAGAAACTTCCCTCTCCCCACTCTAGCGCCGTTCCTGGAGGTACTGCGCAAAGACCTGATTGACGGCAAGGGCTTTATCCTCTTCAAGGGCTTCCCCGTCGAGAAATGGGGCAACCACAAGTGTGCTGTTGCATACATGGGTCTGGGCACGTACCTCGGCTACTTCGTCAGCCAGAACAGCCGCGGGCACGTTCTCGGCCATGTCAAGGATCTCGGCGAGGATGCAGAGCAGATTGATAAAGTGCGCATCTACCGGACCAATGCTCGGTATGTTGATTATCTTTCATCTTCATAAAGCAGACAACCTAACGAAGGAAATCTACAGCCAATTCTTCCACGCCGACGACTCCGACATTGTCGGTCTGCTCTGCATCGCCAAGGCCCTCGAGGGCGGCGAGTCTGACCTCGTCTCCTCGCATCATGTCTACAACACCCTCGCCATCGAGCGGCCCGATGTTCTGAAGACCTTGACCGAGCCGATCTGGTACTTCGACCGCAAGGGCGAGACCAGCAAGGGCGAGGACGAGTACATCCGCACGAGCGTGGTGTACCTCGAGCGTGGCGAGAACGGCCGCGTATACACCAAATGGGATCCCTACTACGTGCGCTCATTGAACCGCTTCTCTGACGCGGGCATCATCCCGCCCCTGTCTGACGCGCAGCACGAAGCCCTGAAGGTGCTGGAGGAGACCTGCGTCCGCCTCTCGCTGCACATGGTCCTGGACGTCGGCGATATCCAGTTCCTTGCCAACTCGCATATTTTCCACGCTCGCACTGCGTACACGGACCACGCGCCCCCTACGCCCCGCCGCCACTTGATGCGTCTGTGGCTTGCGACTCCAGAGCATGAAGGTGGCTGGAAGCTGCCTTTCTGGGATAGCAATGAGAAGAAGCGCGGTGGTATCCAGGTCGATGACCAGCCGCCTGTGGCGCCGCTGGATGCGGAGTAAAAATATGCTTTCTGGTGGAGTAATGAGCTTATGTGCTAGATAGATATCCATGATTGTTTAGTTGTTAATGATTTCTTTTGTTCTGCTCCTATATCAATGTTCTAGGTCGAGTCCGAAGCAACGTAGCCAAGAGTTGTCTGAGACAATATGACCCCAAGGAGAAAGAATGTGGTACGTAGCTATTTATGACCAGCATAACCAGCCGAGATGATGTTTTTCGCGATTGGTCAGATTAAATGCCGAGGGTCAGTCAGCCACGCTCTGACAAGGACCCGCTTCCAGAAGTTTAGCGATGCTTATGTTTGCTGGGCTGCGCGTTCAGCCTTATGAGCTGAATTATATCATTCATTGAAGCACCTGCTTTCCTCTATCGAAGATGAATGTGCGGCATGAACAGAGATACGAGCAATACAACTACAAAAGAGCGGGTTGAAAGACTACTACACATTAGTGATCTGGAATGCGTCTATCAGTGATTGCAACGCTCTAGGTGTGGTTCTGCCGTGGAGTGACGCTTTCCACTAGGTGCAGCATTATTTTGGTGGCCAATTTTTCAGTTGCGTTTTTCTCGGAGGCATTCATATATTCATTCTTTCTTTCATTAGTCGTACCGAAATAACAGTATAATCAAACCAATGTAAACCCTCACGCTGTTAAATGCAGGTTTTAAAACAATCAGGCCTCGTTTGATCCCCTTCAATAATGCGCTTACTACTCACCTGCCGACTCGGCCGTCGTGGTTTATGTATTCTGTCTTCACCTAGGTCAAACAGACTCCATGGTCTTCCTTGTGGAGAAGCTCATTGTTCTGGTGGACATATTTGATTCACCCAGCGCGGGGTTCCGGCTTGAACTCGCAACAACCTTAGCCTGGAGTGCGGCACGGATGTCCTCCTTGCTCCGGCCCTTCCAAGCGGGATAGCCATCCTGGCTGAGCGGGAACAGAACTAGGTTTTCTGGGCGGGCAGTGAAGTGGTCCACATTTGGAGGCGGAGTAGCTGTGATGATATCAAGCTCCTGGGCAATCTGGCGACAATATGTGGTGAGTTGGAGATCGTTAACGTCCTGGCCGAAGGGGTTCTCAATTTCACTGCCAATGGCGAGTAGACCGAGGATAATGTACGCGGCGACTTTGGAAAGGTACTATCAGCGACATTGCTTCCTGTTTGACGCTCCGGCGTGCCTACCCATAGAAGCTGGGATGGTAATCCAGCTCAGGAAACCATACAGCTGGAAGGGGAGGACCATAACATAGATCCAAGAAATCTGGGCAATGGCGATGCTATATGCGGCTGGGAGAGGGGTGTCTAGCACCCGCTCCGTCCCAGTCAAGATCTCGGTTAGCGAGGTCATCATAGTCACTACATGATCTAGTCAGCACAGCATTTCGGCCTCGAGTGACTTCCTTCACTGACTCGACTGCCCCTGATATTGGGCCAGAGAGAGCGTGCCATTCTTCGTACACGAATGGATATAGGCAGATAAATGGTGGAGGATCTCAAGCGGAAGATGTCCTAGCGGCTTCTTGGACCGCTTCACCAGCTTGCGCGGATTGGACTTTGCGAATGAAAGACCCAAGTACTCTCCTACGGACTTCCATCGGGTTTTCGACCGGGGATGCATAGAGTCATGGTCATGGGCGTCGAGGGCAAAGGTATCTAGATGGGCGATGAGGCCCGCCAAGTCCTCATATGCGACATCAGGCTCAAAGCGGAGCTTGTGTTTTAGAGCCACGGCGAATGCGAGGATCAGGTTCATGGCAGTCCTATGGTATGCTGTTATTATTCATCGATCTCGTATGGTCTCGATGGACTGCACGTACAGTTTTCTCAAAAGATCCACCTTGCCCTCCTCTCCCTCCCGTTCGCCGAAGTGTACCCAAATGATGCGGGCCAGATTGCGCGACGTCTGAACCAGCGAGGCCCAATACTTGCGTCCATCTGCCCATCTTGATTCGTGTCAACCCTTGCCAGCAGCTACTCCGTTCAGACTCCTTGTGATAACAGGATCCTACCTTTCATATGCAGTCGAACCGCGGAACGACAATGACAGGCCCACCACGAAACCCAGAACTGTAAGCAGTATATTGTTGATACCAACTACTCCACCCCATAAGATGCATCTCGGTCAATCTGAGCTAGTATCATGCTCACGGGAGAAGACTTACGGTTATGATAAAAATGAGAAATGCAGGTAATCAGTGTCGCCCAGGCCCCCACGATCAATAGAGGTATGATCATTTGGGGCATTATACTCCCCCTGAACTCGCATGACGATTGGCCATTTCGAGTGCTGGGTTATGTTGCGGGGCCCGTGCTATGGAGTTGTTGCCACGTCCAGTCAGCATTCAACTATTACTTGCCATCTTTCGTCTCAAGGTTCCCATACAAAGTATCGCTCCAGCTCGCTGCGATCCTGCACGTGAAATTGTGACTCTCGCGAGTCCGCCAGATGTCCCATGAAGCTCGCCCGCCGCGATAACGGCTCGATAAAGTCCCGCTCCTGCAAGCTGGAGAGGGGTGGGGTCGGATCCATCTTCTCGTCAGGATGGTATACATCGGCTGGGACGGGAACACGACTGCCGCTATTGGCTATGGCCGCTGGAGATGCGCTATGGACCGAAGCGGGGCCCTCGTCGTCCGACATGGTCAGCGAAAGAAGTAAAGAGTGAGAACAAGAAAATGTAAGAACGAATGAATGCAGAAAAAAAATGGAGAAGTACTAGATGGGGTAGAGTGTTGAAACTACGTCACGCTACCCCGTTTTGCCGTTTCTCTTCGATCTACAGTAGTGTGTGCAGATTGTTTCGACTGCCAAGTAGACCTGCAACGCCACTTGCCGTCCTGGGAAGCAACCAAGTCAAGGGACCTAATCTTTAAAAGAAGTTGACGGACATCTGACTGAAAGAATCACATATGCCTTCCGAACAGCCTCTTGATCCTTATCATGTACTGACCTATTGATTCAACATGAAGATAACTAATGCAGTTGGGCAAGTTCCGCTGGTTGTTTCTGTCCTGGCAGGCTTGTTGGTTGCCACTCTTGTACTGCTGTTCTAGAATCATAAATTTAGCGCCCTCGTTTAAGTTGCATTTTGGCTCAAGTCTTATCGATGGATCATTTGTAAGATTCAATATTCTTCCTAAACATTTATGTAACGTCCGTCAAGCACTATACTGTCTAATTCAAAACATATTCCCTTTGTACACTTGCGGATTGTTCCAAACCCCTATCTTGGAATCCCTTCTCCAAAATAAACCCGTCCGACTTGGGGTCGAATAAGTCCATACTTGTGTCCGATTGGCGGTGTGCCGTACAGGGGGTATCACATGCTAGGTCGAAGGCACAAAATATATTAACGGCTGGTTGGTCTCCTTGAATGCAACTGATATCGCCAGTGGACTTCAATTGCCAGACTTGGAGGGCAGATGCCTTGGAACGGTATCGAGATGACTATAAACTCCAAGTGGTTATCAGGTTGGACAAGGCTCATTAGGGATTTGCAGAAGATTCCGCTCGGCGTCCCGACTGTCTTTGCACCACAGGCGGCATGGGGTATATGGTTACGAAACACCGTCTTTGCGCTGATCTGCTGGACTAGAATTCTGGACTTCGTTCACTTATTCTTTGTTGGCTCTTTTTCTAATCCGGAAAAATACGCACTGCCGGATTGTCAATGGGTTAGATAGGAAATCTAAGACAGAATTTGTCGATGTATAGTATAAAGAAGAGTAGAGTCTGCTTATACATAGCCTCATGGGCTCAGATAATAGCACTGATAATGGTAGACAAGTTCAGGACAGGGACTGAGAATACTTCCTTCGAATGTCGAATCCAATATATGTAAAATACACTCCGTTTGGGCTTGGTTTGGATCTTGTTGCGTTCTTTCTGCTGCACTTTATCCACATCACCTCGGACGGAGCTCACATCAGCCGTTCATCCAAAAGCGCAGCATTATTACATTTCTTATCCAGTTTTATCCATTTGGACATTACTTCTTGTTACACAAATACGCTCTTCTAATGAGTTCATAACCGGGTTTGACTATCAATCATCATTCTTCGGCCATTCAACTATGTTTAGAGTGGCAACCATGTTTAGAGTGACCAGTTTCCTGCCCCTCGCCTCCCAACGCACAGGTTAGTGGTTCTTATCATAAAATCTCTCTTGTTGATGTAGTGTTTGCCGCTCGCCAAGTCTTGGCCATTTCTACCACAAATAGTAAGGCGAATCCCATATCCCATGTCCAATTTTGTGCAAGGTCTTGTGTTTCATGGTTCCCTGGATTGGGGCTAAAATGGCCAGTCCCCTTGGCCGCTGCAACTATACGCACGGGAAAAGTGCACTAGCGGCAGATATGTAAGGAGTACTATTATTCAATACTACATAACTTGACCGGGGATTGATGGTGTAACGCTTATCGGTGGGGTCCATATGCACGTGCGTACTGGCGATATTTGCCAGATAGGTGCTAGGATACTCAGGCATATCGATCCCTTGGCCCCAGGTTACCATCGGTATAGCTGTCAACAGGAGCATCAGACGCGTCTTTTGAAGCGGGGGATCAGCCCTTTTTCCCGGATCATTGCATGCAGGGCCCTGGGGGGTCTAGGGTTGCTCAGAACCATGGACGGGATCTTTGCCACCTGTTGGATGATTCTCTTGGTTCAATGTTTGATGTTCAAAAATGTATTCGTTTTGATTGGTTTCGACAGGTTTTGGCCTCACCTATAGCTTCTTTGTATGTACTCTACTCGAGTCAGCATGCCGCTAACCAACATGGAGAATGCCAATTAGATATATCGCCATCCAACACGGAGAACGCCGATTAGATCTGCATCTGCAGCCTTACCACGAGGCTCATCAAACTATCACGATAGCTAACTTATTGTGAGGACCAACAAATACTCATTTTGCCTCTGTAGATCCTGTTTGAGGTTGCTTGCGATCCACGAGATGCGCTTCATGATGTTAGTTTCGGTTTCAAAAGCAGTCTCGCGTTAGTTATAAAACCCAAGAGAATTCCACGTAGCCACTGGACTTTCATTAAAGACAAGACTTAAAGATTTCTTTTACTCTACCTCTAAGAACAAAGTCCCTTCTGCAAGATGTTTTTTTCAAAAACCATTCACGCCGCCTCACTCATCTTCTTCGGCCTCGCTCGAGCAGACTTCTATCTCGGCACTGCCTCTGGTCTAAATGAAGATGGAGGCATCAACACCCCCAGCCTTGACTCCTACACCACCTACATCCTCCAAATCGGAGATCAGGATATCTGCGACTCGACGACTGTTGGCGGTGATCCCGACCAGCCCTCGACGGATCCTTCTGCCCCTTGGACCAATTTCTGTGGAGAGACCTTTAGCAACAATGGGTGGAATGTGCAACTAAATTCGGACGATCCTGTGAGTTTCTAGAAACAAAACTTAGCACCTCTATAAATCATACTAATCTGATTGGTTCATATATAGTGCGGTTCGAACATGCCAGGCAACCAAAACATCCCAGATGGCGAGTTCTACGCGGACGTGATCGACCTCGACGCAGCGGCCAGCGGCTCTGCTGTCGTCGTCGGCCGCTGCGTTAGCGAGTACGGCGGTACAACGGATTGCGCCTCGTGGGGATCGACTGAAGCCGAGACTTATATCCACTGCTACACAGACGCACTTTCGAGCCCGAGGTCTTCCTCTACTGCGCCTCACCTCCCGGATCCCATTCCCTCATACTCATCTACTCCGACACCTTCACCTGCTTCGCGCCGTCGTATTAGACGCAGCTTCTAATTGTTATGTTTGCGGCAGTGTATATTTGTGATGAAATTGTGAAATGGGGACATTGTCATGATGGGGATGCAACATATTTGGTGGGGTTTTTCTGTCTATGCGTCTTCACCATAAACGGCAACGCGTTGTGCAGTAGACATTTGTTTTTGTATATAAAGAATTGAGAAGTATATTTGTTCAAGTACTTTACTTCATTTATCTGTACGTCTCTTCATAGCATCTAAAGTCAAATATCCAACACTTCAAAAAGAAAGACCCCAAGTATATACCCAGAATGGCAAAAGTTATCCAATAGACCGAAACATCCCCCGGCCCCAGGGAGCAAACATGCCAATTCACACGATGCCCTAAGCCATATATTCCACTATATCCTTGGCATTACCTCATACGGTCTCATCGTGTGTACCAGCAGTAGAAGGCTTCTCTGCATGTTGACTAGGTCAGTCAACTCGTTACTTCACTACTGAAGGGCTATTTACGTACTTAATATTATATATTCCCTAGGATCCATAATGCTTACAGTATGTATTGTCTGTATTCCTGGCCGCCAGGATCAGAGTTACGCACCTCCTTCGGACGTAGCAATGACTCGTAAGACCTTGGCATGCAGGAGTGTGGCAACCGGTTTCACACTACGTACCCTTCCGATTCTAATCTGAATTGCAAAAGCACGATCTAACTACTCCATTGTTTTTCACGACCCTAGGCCATGTCTCGAAACAACAACAGCGGCTGGAGGCGGCAGTGGAGGTGCTTTAGGAAGCACGACGCTTCGGGCCAATGAAAAACACAGCGTATGTATCCACACTCTCATATACAGATGAAAGGTGTCTAGCATGAAGCTTATGCCGGATGGTCGAGTGAGCTAGTTATCACCCTGGTCAATGGGTATGGCAATGGGATGCCATGCAAGACACAGGCCTAGGAATCAATCCTTCTTCCACTCATCTACAATACCGAAGAACCGGAAGAATTTTCTGAAATTAGCTTCATGTTTATCACAGATCATTCATTTCCTAGGGTATACATCGCACGTGGGAAGTTCAAAGTAACCTAACGCCCGCCAGCCTGCCAAAAGAAATGCTCCGCCAAAATGCACCCTTATCTAACTAATCAATGCACGATTTTGTAATTGCCACCACTCACAATCTCCAATTTTCCCCGAGAAACCATCCCAGCCAGGAACTCGCGCAGCTCCTCATTGCTATAAGGAAACCCGCCGGGAACGACCACTTTTAACATCATGACAATGCGCGGCAGAGGGAGCGCGCCCTGGTTCGTGAGCATGCCAACGATGAACTGCCAGTAGAGATTCATTTTCTCCATCGTAGCGGCTTCGGCGGACTCCTTCGCGGCAGCTGCTGCCGCTGCTGCTGCCGCGGCCGCGGCGTCGTCCGAGGAATTGCCTGCCCCTTCGTTACCGGGTGCGTCAAAACCGCTGGGATCCCCGGGCTGCTGCTCGTCTTCGGAGGGTAGGACTTCCAGCACGCGGAAGGTGTCGCGGTGGGGTTCTGTGAGGATGCGCTTGCTCACCCAGAACAAGCACGCGCTGCGGACTAGCGTGGCTGCCATGTGGAGTTGGTCGGAGAGATCGGAGACAGTTTTTGTGACTTCTGGCTCTGATTCGGTCTGGAAGGCGTAGATCACCGTGGCCTGCCACGTTGTCACTTCGTCTACGAAGACTCGGTCTTCCAGGTCTAGCTCGACGGTGACTTGGCCCAATCCGTTCCTCCACGTGAGCTTGCGGGATTGCTTGAGGGCCTCGAAACCGGCCGAATATCGCTGTTGCAGAGATATGATTTCGTCGGGGACGTTGAATTCTTGGTCTTGGATCTCTGGCCAGAAGAACCGCGATAGGATCTTTGCGTGGATCTCGGGCACATTCTGTTTGGTGGTTGCCTTGGCCGCCTTGCGAGGCTTGGATAAGCCTTGGTCGTTTCGCACGACGTGGTCGACACGTCGAGAATCGAAGATATCCCGGAGCATAACTTCGCACGCCTGCAATGCTGAATCGCCGAATCGCACCTTCAGAAGCTCTAGAACCGACATTTCCTGGTCAAAGTCGGTGCGTTTCAGGAGCAGGCGGTCAGCCAGTAGAGTCTGCATCTCCTTGACAAACATCTCCTTCGAGTCGAAAAGACTGACCAGACTGTCGATGACATCTGAGCTCTTTGATTTGCGATAATCTGGCGCGGCGTCGACCGGATCTGGTGCCCAGTTCATATCGTCCCAGTCCAGTTCACCCCGTTGATTTCTCAGTGAATTCTGGTGTGCCTTGTTCAGCTCCGCAGCCAGTTCCACCAAGGTGTCACTGCTAGGGACAACAGGCTCTCCGGGAGCGGGCGGCTCAGCAAGAAGCCCACTGACGATTACCTTAACCGTATCATCGCGATCCTTGAGGTATCGCCGGATTGGGCGAGCAATGCGGTCAAGAAGAACGCCCTTCGGGTCCAGAAGGTGGAAGGCTCGAATGATGGAAATATACAGTTGCAAAATCTGGACTGTCGAGGCACCGGGATGTAAAAGCCGTCTGTTCAGGGTGTTGATGAAGCACTGTGTGACATGGTTTCGCGCCGCGGGATGCGTAGTGAAGTGCCGCAGATCTTCCACAGCGCCAATGCTGGCAGGCCATTCGACGATCACATCGAAGAACTCACTCGTCCGAAGACTCCCAAGACGTGCAATGCCCATCTCTTGCCACTTTTCTACGTCTCCAAAGCTCACATCCATACTGCTAGCGGCTTGAGTCGCGGACGGAGTGTGGATGATAGCCAGCACCTGCACCGCGAGGCGTGCAAAAACATTTTCAATCCACTGTCGCAAATGCTGCGGTGCCGATGTCGGTGCCTGCCACTGTTCCGTGTAAGCAGCACGGACAAATTCTGTCATCATGATATCCATCACGCTGGCAAACACCTTCTGTGCTTTCTCGCCGCCGAGCCCGACAAGCTGTAAGCCATTGAGAAAAGCCAGCAGTCGATCCCGCGCCATCGTGACCCGAGCATCCTCTCCCTCCGTCATGATCTGTGCCCGGGCTTCGTCGGAGTCCTCCATCCTCCAGTCATGGTAGGAGACGGAGTATTTCCGGTCCACTTCCATACCATCTTGGCTCGCCTCACTCGTATCGTTGGTCAGGGTGTCGATCCCCAAAATAACCAGTGCATCCCGCGCAAGCTCTGCCGTGAGAAGTGGCGAAATCTGCGACCACGGCAGGGAGTATGAAACCACCGTGTGGAAGCTCCGCTGAAGTTGGGTCAGTACGCGCCCCTGCTCGGGTGTGGCAAGTAATGGTAGTAGATAATGCACGATAGGAGCCAGGTAGATTCGACGGGCGAGTTGCAAGCAATCCACAATCTTTCGGAGCAGTCCTTCCTTCTCGGGGCTGTTCAGAAGCTGTGCAATTCATCAGTATTTGAGAATGTTAGGTCCCACAGATCAATATCACACCTCGTATAGCCCCGCTCGAAGATTCGTCAAGAAATGCCTCCGTATCTCATCGCCGTACCAGCTAAACAGACCCCATGGAACAGCGCCATCTCGGGAATTCTGGGAATTCGAAGATGTCAGGAACGCCAATGCCTCTGCAGTATCTTTCGCCGGAGGACTGAGTCGGTTCCATTGCTTCAATGTTTCACTGCCGTCGGTCTCCCTGTAATTATAGATCGGCGCAAAGCCCCCATCCGGCACAGCCAAGAATACCGTCGCCGCGCGCCATGCTTGGTTCCAGGTCTCTAGGTCTGGGTGAGGTTCCGTTGATTGATGGGAGTCCGAAGGAGTCGCCTTGGGAGTCGGGTCGCGGTCGAAGGTGGGATAGGGCGGAGGGTGGGCGTCTAGCAACACGGGAGAAAAGACAGAGCCGAAGATGCGTCGGCGTCCCACCGTGAGGGGGACTGTAGAGATCATTATGTCAGAGAGGGTGCATGGCGAGGTGCAACAATGTTGTCTGCAACGACCAAGAAGCAGAGTCCGTGTTTGGGCGTTGCTGCTTTAGGTTATCGCTATCGCGCGTTCACGTGACCTGGGTCAGTCTGACTGTGCCAACAAGATAACGAACTAGAGACCGATGTAGGAGGATGTAGTCCTCGTTGTCGTTGTTGTAGAAGTAGTAGTAGGATGGGGTTGATTCATATCCGCTAGCAGCACAAAGAGAATCTACACTCGATGGGGTATCCAAAAATCAAAACATATGTACGACCTCCCCATTCCCACAACCACACCGACAAAAGCAAAGCACCCAACACCAATAATCCACCCTCACGAGGCTTGGTTATCAACCTTCTCCCACTCGCTATCCGTACTGGCATACTCCGAGCCATCACCTGGTGTGCCGGGACGCTTTCGCCCATCACGCTCGGTGGGCAGTGGCAGATCAGCAGCCGCAACCTTGCTCCCCGTTGCCGATGCCGTCGCGGATTTAGGTTTACGGCCAGCCGCAACGGATTCCGTTTCCGTCTCAGAGTCAGGATTGTCGCCCGGGGCGTCAGCTGTTTCTTTCTGTTGAGCGAGTTGCACGGCGCGCACCTCGGCGGCGAACCAGTTGATGGCCCACCACAGGCCCGCGCTGATGGCGGACAAGACAACGAAGTGGATGCTGGAGGTGGCCACGAGGAGAGCGAGGAGGACGACCTGCAGGGCGGCGAAGGAGACGTTGGTTGCGACCAGTAGCGTCGGCGTGGGGCCGGGGGTGAAGACGCTGGACCATAAGTCCTGCATGAAGGAGGCCATGATGACGTCTGTTCTCGGGCAGGAACGAGAACGGGGACCCGAACGAGGGACAAACGAACAACGGGTGGTGGTGTTGTTGTTGTTGTGGTTGTAGTGGAGGTGTCGGAAAGCGGAATCCGACCCGACCAAAACCAAATGCCGACTAGCTTTGGAGGCGGTGGATTAGGGTTATTGGTGGTGCTCCACTCAGCAACGAAGTATGAAGAATGTCCGGGAAACCCCACGGGGTGATGAGAGGTAATAATGTACCTAGGTGCATACAAACTCGGACTGTCCGCGAGTGAATTGTTGAATGTAACTCTGGTCTCCACCCTGATCGTCTCTCGACCTTCCCAAACGGCACAGCCCGTCGTCCATGGCTCCCGAGGCCAAACCCGGCGATGAAGCTCCCCCGCAAAAAATTCAGGCTGATCGTCGCTGTGTAACTGAGGCGCTACGTAACCCTTAAATATGACTAGCTCCCTCGCCCACTTTTTCGTACTCTCACAAGCTGCTTAACTGAAAATGGACGCTAGCGAGGACAAGCTCACCAAAGATGCCTCGCCCGACCCGTCCACGGTGCAGGGCTTCTCGCACCATGCCGAGAACATCACTACAGACCGCGAGCCCTACGGCCCGCCCGGCCTGCGTGGGCTGCTGAGCAATCCATTCGTGTTCCTCTGCGCTGCATGTTCAACATTGGGCGGATTGATCTTCGGCTACGATCAGGGCGTGGTGTCGGTGATTCTAGTCATGAATCAATTCCTCGACCACTTCCCGCGCGTAGCGGAGAGTCATGCTGGGTCGGGTTTCTGGAAGGGCCTAATGACTGCGATGATCGAGTTGGGTGCCCTGATAGGCGCCTTGAATCAGGGCTGGATTGCGGACCGCATTTCCCGGCGGTACTCAATTCTTGTTGCGGTGGCGGTCTTCACGCTCGGCTCAGTGCTGCAGACGGCTGCCGTTGATTATTCCATGTTGACCGTGGCCCGATTAATCGGTGGTATTGGAATTGGCATGCTCTCTATGGTAGCGCCATTGTATATCTCAGAAATCAGTACGTTAATTCATTCTTCCGATCTCTACAGTCAAACTAACCAACCGCCCAGGCCCGCCCGAATGCCGCGGCACGCTTCTCGTCCTAGAAGAATTCTGCATTGTCCTCGGCATCGTGATCGCCTTCTGGATTACTTTCGGGACCCGGTACATGGCCGGCGAATGGGCATGGCGGCTGCCATTCCTCCTGCAAATGATCCCGGCCTTCATCCTTGCAGGCGGAGTACTCGCACTCCCATTCTCACCGCGGTGGCTGGCCTCCAAGGGCCGAGACGAAGAGGCCCTCGCGAGTCTCTGCAAGCTGCGCCGACTGCCCGCGTCGGATAAGCGTGTGCGCCAGGAGTTGATGGATATCCAGGCCGAAGCGCGCTTCCACCAGGAAATGAACGCGGCGAAGCACCCGGGCCTACAGGGCGGCGGGGCTAAGGATTCGATCCTGCTGGAGCTGGCCTCCTGGGCAGATTGTTTTAAGAGTGGATGCTGGCGCCGGACGCATATTGGAATTATGCTTATGTTCTTCCAGCAGGTGAGTACCTCGATCTCTATAGATATCATGACTGAGAGAAACGGTTGCTAACAGCGGTCAATATAGTTCGTCGGGATCAATGCCCTAATCTACTATTCTCCCACTCTTTTCAAGACCATGGGTCTGAACTACGACATGCAACTCATCATGTCCGGCGTTCTCAACGTGCTGCAATTGGTCGGTGTCATCACCTCCGTGTGGACCATGGATACTCTCGGCCGGCGTAAGCTGCTGCTGGGCGGATCCGTGCTGATGGCCGTGTCGCACATCATCATCGCCGTCCTAGTCGGTCTGTATCATAAGCACTGGCCTCAGCATCAAACACAGGGTTGGGTTAGCGTGGCCTTCCTTCTGTTCTATATGGTTTCCTTTGGTGCTTCGTGGGGTCCCGTTCCCTGGGCGATGCCATCAGGTATTATTCGTTCACTCGGAAGCAATAAGTCAAAAAAAACTAACAATCTACCCAGAAATCTTCCCCTCATCCCTCCGCGCCAAAGGCGTTGCCCTCGCAACCTGTTCCAACTGGCTGAACAACTTCATCATCGTAAGAGTCCTTCGGAGCGGAGTGGTTATTTTGATAATATAATCCATCATCTCACAATTTTTGGTTTTTAGGGCTTAATTACACCACCGCTGGTCGAAAACACAAACTACGGCGCATATGTCTTCTTCGCCATCTTCTGTATTCTGTCGGGGGTATGGACCTACTTGTTCGTTCCCGAAACGAAGGGACGGACGCTGGAGCAGATGGATCATGTCTTCAGAGACAATTCGAGTGAGGAGGAGCAGGCGCGCAGGAATGCGATTGAGGCGGAGCTGTTGCATGCGCAAAGGGAGGGAGTTTGAGTTTTTTATTTTTAATTTTATGTATCTGTATCTTTATCTATTCTTCTTCTGCTACAGAGTTGTACAGAACTTCCAGAAACCGATGTCACCACCTACGCACTCTTCGATTGTTTCTCGAACCCTAATGCCAACATCCACCCTCCCACTATTTTTACAACACAACACTCTTTTCGTCTTACAATGTTGATTTTCGCGGATCACGTGGAGTGGCTTAGACACGGTCAGTCAGTCAGGCACGATGACCTCCGGCGTCACTGCGCCACCGTGGGCGGTCTGATAAGCATCCAACTGGATTGATGCGCCTGGAGCGGAGGGCTGGATCAGCAGCCAAACGCCCGGGTATAGCGACGGACCAATCTCGTCGCAACACGCAGCTGCAATCCCTGCTATGCACCAGGACGAGTGATAGGCTTACTGGCAACTCTGTGTCTAATAAAAGCAGGATAGGTCCCCAGATTTGGGGGTTCTTAGGGGCAGAAATCTGATCTCGGCCCTCTACCCTCGTGTCATTCTATACTTCCGCCAGAATGGATCCAGACGGGTTTCCACTCTGGAAGGGACCCTTCTATTTAGAGGATGAGTCTGAGTCTATACCACAACTGGCTGGATCGTATATGCCGCAGTCAACCATAGGGGATCATGTATCCTACACAACTCCCACAACATTGGATTTTCATAGCCACTCCAATACGCTTAGCTCTGATTCGTGGGACTCATCTTGCCCGACTTCAATCACTACGGTTTTTTCAAATGATCTTTCAAATGAGACCAGATCCAGCAGCGTCACAGCAGAGATGGCTCATGACAAACCTGGGATGCCGTGGAGCGCTTTGGAATGGGGCCAGCAATGGGACCAGCAATGGGACCAGCAATGGGACCAGCTTTTTCCCGAGGTATGTTTTATCCCAACTCCAAACAGTTAGAGGACGTCCATAGATTCTTACAATCCAATTTATTAGCCTGAAACCTCTCGCTCCCATCCACGGCCGATACTACGAAGAGAGGCAGGTCCTCCGATTTCTTACATTGATAATCCGCGTCCTGGAACCTCTCGCTCCCGTCCTCGGCCGATACTACGAAGAGAGGCAGGTCCTCCGATTCCTCACATTGATAATCCGCGTCCTGAAATTTCTCGCTCCCGTCCGCGGTCGATAATACGAAGTGATGCAGGTCCTCCGATTCCTTACATTGATAATCCGCGTCCTGGAATCTCCACGCACTTGGACGCGATCCTACGAGAAATACCCTTCATGAATCCATCCGAGTTGCTGAACCTGAAGAATAAGCTGTTGTTTGCATCGCGACAAATTGATCTTCGCCTTCAGCAAACGCCGCCGGCCTCGGCACCATCCTCGGCACGGACATCACGGCCGAGCTCATACAATCCATCAGAATACCGCTGCCAGACATGCAGCGACTTCTCTACAAGACTCAAAAGCCAATTCAGGCAACATACCACGGCCCACTATCCTCGATTCGCGCATTGTTGTGCTGTACCAGGCTGTGACACCGTCTGGCATAAGCGCGACAGATTTTCATCTCATTTCCGCGAGCATCACGCGAGAGAGGCATCCAGTCAGGAAATAGAGGCCAGCACAAAGGAGTATCCGTGCCCACCTGTCTGTGTACTTTGTGGTGCATCAACAAAATCCTGGGATGAGTTCTACAAGTGTATTGTGAATAACTGCGAAATCCGTGATTTGAACGAGCGAGAGAACAAAGGCACGGCAATGAGCAACGATACTAATCCTTCCTCATCTATCCAGCCAGAAGAAGAGAATTGTTACCAAGCAACTGACGACAAGGGGAACGCGAATGCGACTAGTGACACTCAGAAGATGGAAGTACCCGAAGAAAAGCAAAATTTTGTAAAAAGACCACGACCTCAGCTCGAGAAAAATGACTATCGTCTTCAGAATATACAGAGAGAAGGCTCAACTGAGCCTAGTCCACTGCCGGACGCTGGGGGCTTCACTGACTCCAGCGGGAAATCACAAACCAAACGACGCAGACTGGAGCCAACGAACGCCAGTACAAAAAACTCATCCGAGCTAGTAAACCATGGCAATGACCACCAAATTGAGCTTCATGAATCTCAAATCTCAAGTGAAGACTCTTTGAGAGGAGATCCAGCAGATGTTTCAATAATTTCAACGCAGACCGATATCACAGACCCTGAGCAAAGCGGCGATCATGGGATCGGTCCCGATAGCGCTCAGCCCGAGGGTTTGGAGCACATTCTGGATGCAACTGCCTATTATGAGAAGCTCGATATGCTTGAACTCAACACTGCGGAAACCTGCGGTATCCATTTGGGGCCCAGAACGCAGAACGGAGAGCTAGTCGAATGCGTAACAACTCTCAGAAAATGCAGAGATGCACTGTGCAACCTACAGTCTGAGGGATTCTGTGGAAGCATGTTATCCATTCTAGTTGAGGACCAATTACGACCAGATGTTGCAAACGCTGTTCATCTATCGCTAAGTGAGATAAACTCTCTTTTGAACTCACTCGAATTGAACATCTCCGAAGAACCCTGGTCCCAAGATGCTCAAGTTTCCCTCTCACGAGTGCTTCAGAAGTTTCTCGGAAGCGCTTTGAATGGGCATCAGCATGTTTCTTCACGTTTGGATTGGTTGCCATATGTCCAGTTTTTGAGTACGGTGCTGTCAGTTGGCCTTGTGTCATTTTCAGGCTCACATGTTTGTCGATTTGACCTCAATCTATGGGATCAGCCGATGGATTCTATTCCTGTTGGATTCGAATATTCTTTCCGATCTCGAGAACTAGCATGTCTGAAGGATTTTGTTGGTGGACCTGCTTGGGTTTTGGGTAGAACTGAGACCCAATCAAAGCGGACGGGATTGAAAGTGTCTCTTATGGTTCAAGATCTTCAGGAACTTTGGGGCCCAGTTTGGCTAGTGGAAGGGACAGCCGACGCAGGCCCGATCATCCGGACAGAAAGGGGATATATCGTCCCTCTTCCGCGAGATCAGCAATCCGATGCTTCTTTCAGGGAAATCGAGTGTCATTGGACAAAAGAAATCCCGAATTACATTACCCAGGAGGAGCATATTCCATTGAGCAGCACATCACGAATCTTGATCGGCACCGACACAGTCATGACCCTCAACCCCTCATGCGAATCGCAAATATGCCAAATACAGCAACACATTCATCACCAACTCCAGTTTTCTGGGACTTGCAACGAGTACTACACTACGGAGGGCCATGAAGTTCAGCTTACTGGGGGCCAATACGTCAATTTAGGGCTGGTCAAGAAATACAAGCGGAATCCGATGCGGACAATGAAGTCAGCACTCATCGAGGCGTGTCGTAATCCAGGCACTGATATCTGGCCACTTCTAAAGCTCCGGATTGGATTGGAGATCAGTGCATGCACAGGGAATGCTCGGCGAGTGACACTTTGGGATGTCTTGCGCTTGTCACGGACAAGAGAACTCCCTCCAGAAAAATCATCATACTGCGAACATCAGATTGGAGACCCAAAATGCATCCAGTCGTGCTGGTCTCGTTGCAGCTCCATCAACTGCACCGATTCCCTACTTGATGTTCCTGACGAAGCAGTCTTGACCGATGACAAGGTCCGATTCATACTGGTGAACTCAATCCTAATGTTGGAACACACGGGGATCGACCCAGCAGGCGATCTCCAAGCCTGTTGGCCCTTCTTGGATGGCAACTGGAGCCATCGCATCACTTCAACACGGTTCAATAAATGGATTGACATTGTGAAAGACACGCGAGATGTGGCAACTTTTGCAGTTATCAGCCAACACTGCTTAGTATTTGGCGGGGACAGACCCACACACCTAGGATGTCCATGTCCACAGAGCTACCTGGATGGTCCGCACCAAAAGACATGCTTGTCCATCCGTGTTTTGCCTCGGCCTGTTCCTCGGCAATATCGTGGATTAAAACGTCGTCAGCTTGGTCTTCCAACCCCTCTAATTGAATGCGATCTGGATGAGCTGCTTCCAGATGCCACATTTCGAGTGGGGGATAGATATCTCACCGTGAAGAAAGCATGGAAAGGCCACGATAAAGCTATGGTTGCTATTACCAGTTCGAATCTTGGTATGGGGCCGTGGATGGGGGCTCCGGACTTTCGGGAGCAGGTAAATCCTGACATCAAGGGAGGAGAACCCGTTGAAGTGGTCATTTGTTCAAAGTCATTTGTGGCATGAGTTTGGTGAATATAGAGCGTGATAGGTTTGATTTTCTTGCTGGTTTTTGTGATACCATTTCATATACACTATGCTAAATATACGACTACTACAATCCCTCAATTCTAATGAATCGATGGCCGAATGCATGTATTGTATTGCATAGTAAGAATATCGTTATCCTACAAGTACATGTAGTGTTTCGAGGTTTGGTTCGGTATCGTGCAGACGTAGTGTAGCAGCCGTTCCGTTCAACACCAAAGGGAAAGAAAAACACATTGACGCCATCACATGACATGCAGAAGGGAATAAAATCAGAGCACACCATGACGCGCCTTGAAAATTGATATCTTATCATCGTAAAACAGGATCTCTTGTAGTCTGAACCGAACCCGCGAAGCATGCTCATCATCAGGCTCCGAGCCGTCGTCCGACCAGGAGTTGTTGTCGCTTGGAATGAGATCTGTGTCGGAGGAAGGGAATCCAGGGATGCTGTCTTCGTCATCGTCGCTAGGACCGATGTGGTCTGCATCTCCGTCGCCGTCGAAATTCGAAAGTCCGTCGCCGGTGTTCTCGCCGGAGTGGGTCTCGTCGACATCTTGGTCCGCCTCGCCAGGGCCTGCCTCGAGAATCTGGTAGCATTTCGATTGCAGACCGACGTAGGAGATTTTGAGTTCTGGGCGGATGCTGACGATGTCAAGGATCTGGAGCGCGAGTTCCTTGAGCTCACGATGCAAGGTATGGCCGATATGCGGAAGGTAGAGAGCACGGAGCTGAGGCATGTTGGGTAGTCGTTGGAGGAAATAGTGCTGAGACTAGGTGAGCGTGAGACAAAGAGAGGGAGGAAAAAGCTACATACCCAATCCCGATAGTGCATGGCCATGCCGAGCTCTTTCAGCTGCGGCATCCGGCCACTCGTGACGAACGAGACCACCTCGTGATTGAACATCCACTTGTGCCATCGTGCACTGTGCATATCAGTCCCACCGACCAATCGTTCAGTCGCATCCACGAGAACCTTTCGCAAACTCAGTCGGTGCTTGCGAAGAATATGTCGGTAAATAGCCTCGACCTGGACCGCCGAGTCGTAGAGTGGTGCCTCATGCAAAAACACGCTTTCCAGCGTATTCGGAGCCAGTGCATCCTTGATAAAAAGCATTAGATACGGTGAAACGGTATCCGTTCGCAGGTGTTTGATTTGGAGACAATAATCGAGAGAACTGGTGCTCAGTCGCCGATGTTCCCCATCCTGGGCCCGCCTCCCCGGAACTACAGGAGGAGCGTACTTCCGACGAAGGGCCCGCCAGAGTTTCTCATGGTCCTGACAGCGCATAATGGAAAGAGTGGTGAGACGGGTCCAGTCAATTGCTGGCAATATCGTCGAGACAGATAGCGGGACCCGTTCTAGTTCAAGAAGTTCCAGTTTGAGCAATTCTCGGTCGGGCTGGAAAGCTGCAATTGGCGATGAGACTTTACTGAGCGGTGAGCCAGAGGAGACTGATTGCGTGGATTTGCCGTTTGGCAGCTCGGCAGTCTGCGAAGAAGCTTCCCCTGCCGGAACAGATGAATTGCCGGATTTAGAAGCCTTGTCAGTATCCACCGAGTCCTCTGAAGGCACGGCCATTGCCATTGTCGAGGTCACCGTGGCAGTGTCATCCTGTTGCTGAGCCGTTCGTTCATCCTCCAGGGGGCCGCGTCTCGAAAGGATTTCAAGAATACCACCAGGCCGAGGCCATCCCGCCGAAGGGTCGACCGGGAGGTTGAAGTCCTTTTCGCAAAGCAGCCACTCAGACAGGTATGCCTTGGCGGCAATACCAATCCGCAGTTCAGTCAAGCGGTGACGTGATCGTTCAATCAAGACTGCCAGCTCCTCCACATACGCGGGCTCATCGATATCGAGAACGGCTATGCTCTTGAGCGGTGGCAGTACAGACAGGGAAGGATGTTCCACATGTTTGTACTTCTGGGACAGGCGGGCTGAGGCTGTGGATGAATTGCGCACAGAATTCTCAGAGTTGTCATGCCAGCGCACCCAAACACGTTCCAGTCGACAGTTATGTCCTGGTCGATCCGCCAGAGAAGCAAGTGCAAGCCATATCTCGCGGACCACTCCCGTAGGCATGTCCCATATGAACGCCTCGAGGTTCACCATACGAGCAACAGCCAGAGCAACCAAGGTCCCGAGCATTTTGCCAATCTCCTTGGTCACCGAATACTCCTGGACCCAATGCAACGGCCCATTTCCGATCGAGAAAGTGCGCGTATATTGCGCGTAATAATTTCCTCGCCGTGACCGAAACGTGGTGCCATTCTCCTGAAGGTTGGCGCTCGGGTGGTGGCCACGGTCATCACAACCGCAATGCGAGCAGGCGTCTGTAGAGCGGTTCGATCGGGGCAGCGGCAGTTGGTGGAACACATCTTCCCCCATCACCAATGTGGACAAGCCGTATGATAGTGCATCCACTCCTGAGCAGTCGTCCGTCGCTGAGTTGAGGGACTCGGGCCAGATAATGTCGAATCGGGAGTACATTTGGGGGATCGTCAAGGAATGGAGAACGGAGCATGTCAACGCAAGCGAGGTAAGGTCGCTCGTGTGTGTGACCTATGACAGGTGGTATTAGTTAGCGGTAAGTCCATCAACAAAACTTGGGTTCTGTAGAATAAGGACTCGCATTACCTCTTTGATAATATCCTTCAAAACATCCAGCGGCAGTTCAAGCAGGTGCAGCGGTTTCCTCACATGCGACGTCTGCCCACTGTCTGTTTCCGTCGTGCCCGGAGTAAAAATCCGAGTACCATTGTATAGATCCGACGTCGACTGCGTGAGCTGTAGTCTTCCCAGCGCAGTCGAGAGATGCTTCTTTGCCAGCGCATCGGGCTCAACGGAGGCTGTACTTTGGCTGGAGACAAAATCCTCCTCGTCTGATGAGAGCCCCGCGAGGTCAGAGGGTCTCTCCTCCCAGGCCAAGCTGGCGTCCGCCATGGGAATGGATCGACAGCCGCCTGAGGCGTAATGGAGATCACGGTTGAAAGAGCTCGTGTGGGGCGGGCGTAAGAAGTCAACAAGGACGGCGGGCGGAAGGTAACATCTCCAGCTGTTCGCAGCTGGAGACGAGCTAGAGACTTGGAAGGCAGTCCGAGCGAGCGCCTTGAGTTTGCAAGAGTGGACTAATGCAGGTTTAATAGCGACAGAGAAAGAAAGAAAGACGAGGCGAAGCTGATCTGGGGTTCACCTAGGATGGGAACTAAAGCAGCTGGAGCTGACAGACGGATCGACCCGCCGGCGGTGAAGGTGGTTACGTAAGACACTCTATAGATCAATTTGGATCAAAGAAACAAAAACTTCATTACTACAAGTGCTGGCAGCAACAAAAAACCAACTTTTAATCTTCTCCGCGGCCCAGCTTCTCTAGATTAATGGCAGCACTGATGCACGCCAGGTGACTGAACGCCTGGGGCGTATTGCCCATCTGTTCCCCGGAAATGGCCACTTCTTCGGAGAACATGCCCAGGTGGTTGGAGTAGGACAAGATGTTGTCAAAGTGCGACAGGGCGAGCTTCCAGATGTTTGGAATAGGCACATCATATTTGGCTGCCTACATCACTTGTTAAGAATATCGCACCATGGTCTGAGAGAATACCTACTCGGGCCATGGCTTCAACCAGCCAAAAGGTAACCATGATAAAGGCCCCTTCGCCGCCGCCCACACCTGTAAAACAAGGGCATTAGCACGGTCAGAAGAATGAAAGTGCCATGTGGCACACACCATCGTTGGCTTTCAGATGGTCGTAACGGAAGACCATCTTGGCGCTCGACAGGCCCTCCTTCTCCGGGTTTTCGAGGATCTTCTTCAGCGTTTTGATGAACCGCGGATCATTGGGCGCCACAAAGAAGACCAGAGGTGCGATCAGGATGGACGCATCCAAAACCTCGCGGCTTTCAAAGCTCTGGCAGAAATGACCGCGTTCGGAGTTGTAGCCTTTGTCCATGATTTGGTCGTACAGCTCGTCCCGCGCCTGGATCCAACGGGACCGATCGGGACACGGCAGGCTGGTACGCTTTTCGGCCAGGCGGACGCCACGGTCAAGGGCAACCCACAGCATGATCTTCGAGTAGATGAAGTTCTGGATCTGGCCACGCGATTCCCAAATGGACATGTCCTTTTGGTGGATCACGCCGCAGACGTAGTTCACCATGCGGCGGATAGCCAACCACTGATCATAGGTGATGGGGTTTCCGTGCTTGTTGTACAGGTAAATGCTGTCCAGTAGTTCTCCGTAGATGTCCAGCTGCGTGTGGAAGACGGCCGCATTGCCAACGCGAACGGGCTTGCTACCCTTGTATCCGTCGAGGTGTTCGAGTTCCACCTCGGGAATGTCGTACTCGCCGCGAATGGTGAACATGAGCGGCAGGAAGGGGCGCTTGCTGCCAGACTCAATGTCCTGGGCCGCGTGGGGAAAGATCCGGTCAAAGATAAAGGTGACATACGATTCCGCCTCACTCCTATACCCCAATTTGAGGAAAACGTACAACGTGAAAGCCGTATCACGCACCCAGGAGTACCGATAATCCCAGTTTCGGGAGCCGCCCACATTTTCGGGGAGCGAAAAGGTAGGCGACGCGACGATGGCCCCCGTCGGTTTGTAAGTTAACATCTTCAAGATCAAGAGGCTGCGCTCGACCGTCTCGCGATAGTGACCACGAAACTCGCACTTGCGGGTCCAGTCCGTCCAGTAGTCGAAGGTCTCCTCTTCCATTCGGCTCAGGTGTGCGGCGATCATGGACAAACTGGGGGCTGCTTTCTCGGGGCTGTGCACTACCAGATGGACCGTTTGGCCCTGGCACAAGCGCAGCCAAGCTATCAGGCCCCGTCCCTTCATGCCGGGCCGCTCTTTCATGTTCAACATCGCTTTGGGATAGCCGAGCTTGTCGGGCTCCCGTGAGTCGGCAAAGATTTCGAATTGCAGCCGCTCGGTGTCGCTCTCAAAATGAATCGTCTGAAGGCGATGCTTGCCCAAGTCGTCCTCCAGCTTCGCACGAGCCGTATGCGAATCGCGAGCGTAGTTGAAAGCCGGGAACATCTCCACCTGCAGTTCCATCGAGCCACGGCTGCACTCCAGCTTTCGGATCAGGACGGAGTGCCGCAGTCCCGACTTGAATCGGTTGGCACCGGGTTCATTGCAGGGACAGAAGCCAGACAACAGCCGGGATGATTGCGGCGCCTTCTTGTCCGAGACGGGGAAATAGTCCAACATGGTCACGACGCCATCCTCATTGGTCCACCGAGTCTCCAGCAGGTTGGAGTACGGGAGGTATCGCTGCTTGCTATGAGGATCCACCACGGTCTTGTAGGGTCCCACTGAGAAGTATCCCCCTTTCTTGTCGTCCAGCAGGCGACCGAACACGGTGGGCGAGTCAAAGACCGGCCAGCACATATAGTCCAGACTACCGGCCTTGCTGACGAGGGCACACGTGTGCATGTCCCCAATGAGACCATAGTCCTCAATGGCACTGTACCCAAACTCTGGCATAGTGGCGACAGTGTGGATAATCGATGGAGAAAGAAGCAGATGCAAGACCACACAGCAAACAGGCTCGTGTTGAAATACAATCAAATACAATCAAACTAGGCGGTACAATTGGCAGCAGAAGAGACAAGAAGTGGGTGCGACGTCCATTGCATGTCCATCACACGCCTGCTCCAGGGCATATAAGATCGCACACGCTGGCCGGAAGTGCCAGGAACCCCGACATCATGATGATCCAGGATGGTCTGAGGTCATTCCTATGGTGCATGGAGGAGGATGTTGGTGGTCAACTGTCCTCGACGGGACATCATCATGAGTAACGGGTGGGTTGGTAATTGACAACCAACATGATGTTCAGCCCAATGTTCACAAGACAGATAGCTCCCGAGTCTATCACTAGCGCCGAGGCCCGTTGTCGTGCTCAGGCCCGGTCGCGTGCGGGCGTTAGTACATAGTAGTTCGCATCATTCCTCACCGACCTAGAAGGGAAGGGAATGCCAGCAGGACCATACAACAGTAGTGACCAGCCGGAGGACCGAGCCCGCCAATCATCCCAGACTTGCCGCCTGATCCTTGACTTGACCCCGGATCGCCCAGACGAGGTTATCCACCCAGCTGACTGATCTGTTTTTTCGCCTGATCTGACTAATTCACTCAGCTTCCTTCCTTTTACACTTTGACCTTACCTCGACACCCCCCATCGCTCGTTTTGCTTCACTCTCGCTTCATTCCCTCCTTTGGTTTCTCTCCCCCGGGCCTGTCCATTTTCCAACGCCAAGCCAAGACGTGATTCTGGCCTGAGGACCCTCATGGGGCCGACGGATTGTGTCCTCGCCATTTTCCCCTTCTCAATCCGATCGTAAACCCTCGACGGTTCACGATGGGGTTGTCTGCCCCTGGGAGTCATCATCGGCGGCGAAGTTCCGCTCTCACCAGCGCAGCGCGATCGTTTCTGCCAGGCGAACACGGGGATGGAGCACACAAACGGGAAGAGCAGGAGCCTCTGACGGCGGAGGATCCAGAGGTCTCGGATGGCTCGTCGGCGGGAGATACACTTCTAGAGATGGACCCAATGAGCTCGGACGATGATCATCATGACGACGAGGAGACCGGTCTCACGGCACAGCAGAGACGCCAGCGACGACGGCGACGACGGAGACAACGCAGGAAGCTGGATGCTCGGATTGCCGATGTGAAGTCGACACGGGGAGACTTTTTGCAGTTGAATTTGACGGACCGCAATGTCGTCAAGAGGCTGTGTATAAACGCGTCCTTGATTCTCATGTGGTACTTTTTCTCCTTGTCGATTTCAATTGTGAGTGTTTTCCTTCCATGCGGTTGAATGGTAGAGCGTGACTGACATGTACCGTTCCAGTACAATAAATGGATGTTTTCCGACGAAGAACCCGTTTTCCCTTTTCCGCTCTTCACGACCAGCCTGCATATGGCCGTGCAGTTTACTCTCTCTGCCCTTATATTGTGGCTCATTCCTTCCTTACGACCAGGAAATCCGGCTGGGTCCGCTTCGAATTCGCCTGTGGATGGCACGGCAGTCGCATCCCAGCCGGTCATGACGAAATTTTTCTACCTGACTCGCCTCGTTCCTTGCGGTACCGCAACATCCCTCGATGTCGGACTCGGCAATATGTCCTTAAAATTCATCTCGCTCACTTTCCTCACTATGTGCAAATCGTCTGCACTGGCATTCGTTCTCCTCTTCGCTTTCATCTTTGGCCTCGAGACTCTTTCCGTAAGATTGGTTGTCATCATCGCCGCGATGACAGTGGGTGTGGTGATGATGGTCGCCGGAGAGACCGCGTTCAATGCTCTCGGGTTCACCCTTGTGATCGCGTCGGCATTTTTCTCGGGATTCCGATGGGGTCTCACTCAAATCCTGCTGCTGCGTCATCCGGCCACATCAAACCCATTCTCGACCTTGTTTTTCCTCACTCCTGTGATGTTTTTTTCCCTTATCGTCATTGCCCTGAGCGTGGAAGGTACTGCCGAGATCGCTCAGGGTTTCAACAAGCTTGCCGAAGTCCACGGAAGCGTGTTCGGCATCTGTCTGTTGGTGTTCCCCGGTGTTCTTGCGTTCTGCATGATCTCTTCCGAGTTCGCGCTCTTGAAGCGCTCGTCCGTTGTTACATTGAGCATTTGCGGCATTTTCAAAGAAGTGGTGACTATTAGCGCTGCGGGTGTTGTTTTCCACGACAAACTGACCGTCATCAATGTGTCTGGGTTGGTCATCACCATCGGCAGCATTGCCGCCTATAACTACATGAAGATCTCGACTATGCGAAGCGAGGCTCAGAGGAATGCGTGGGACAGCAGCCCTGGCCCGGACTCGGATGACACAGAAGACAGCGAGATGATTGAAGGAGAGAACGGAGAATATTCCCGGGTTGCCAACCTAGAGACTGCGGAGCATTCAGAAGGTGAACTCCAAGCGTCTTCCTCGGGCCGTCCTTCGCGCCCATTCTACGTCCGTACCAACAGCGCAAGGCACGGCCTCATGATCTCCACGTCCCCTATCCCCGAAGACGAAGATTCTCCCATCAGGTCCGCTCCTCCACACATCACTTCTATGAACGAAACTCTTTCATCTCATCTCCATGCCTCGACCCGAGAGGACAGCCCGGGCGTGCACTCAGCCGCAACCGTCTCGCCCGTTCGGCATCACACCCCGACCTAGTCCTACGACTTTCACGTTCTCTCTTCCACCCTCCCATCTCTTCTCCTTTACATCTCTAAGTTTGGCGGGGGGTTATCTGCACGGCATCAACATATCCCTTTGTTTTTGGTATTTCCAGGACCAAGCAGTTTGATGCTTGGTCTCTGGGAGATGTCGGCTTTTTGACTTTGCATCGCATGGTGGTTGTTGGATTTATACCACGGAGCGGCTGCTTACTTGATACCATCAATTGGAAATTCTCTTAGGTCTTGACCTTCCTCCTTGATTCTGTTGCCATACGTAGTATCTGGATAGACCGACCTAATGCTGACTTGAAACTCCAATAATGAGTTGGGTGAAAAAACTGCGTCAATGAGCTCGGGCGCGCTCGTTGTGACCGCCGAGTCCCACGGTTTGGACACATGTGTATGTCCGCGAGGTAGTCACGAACAGAGACTGGCTAACCACCAACCCAAGCCTAATTAACTATCTCTCGTCCCTCTTCATTCTTCCTCCGCAGTCCCCTTCTTTATCATATCCGCCAAACTCTTCTGCTTCCCCTTCCCTTTGGTCTTTTTCTTCTCCTCAGCTTCCATCTTCCGGTCATACTGCTCCTGATGCTTCTCACGCATGACCCGCCCTTCCTCCGCAAGCTTCGCCTCTAGAATCTTGAACTCTTCGCCTTCGGGATCCATCCCAATCAGCGATTCCAGGAGCTTAATCTCGCGCGCCCACACGCTGAAATCGGACTGTTCAATCGGCGTCTCAAGGATCATAGGCAGATCCTCAAAGCGCGGTTCGTTCATGACATTGTGGAATGCGCGCAGGCCGAGGAATCCGGTGCCAATGTTTGCATGCAAATCGCGCTTGCTACCTCGTGGCGCTTTGGAGTCGTTTAGGTGCAGGGCGCGGAGGAAGCGGAGGCCGATCAGCTCGTCGAACTCGGAAAGGAAGGATTTGAACCCCGCGGGTGAGGCGAGGTCATACCCTGCTGCGAAGCTGTGGCAGGTGTCGACGCAAATTCCGATTCGGGGGTGATGCTCTTTCGGGATGAGGGCTAGGAGGTCTCGGAAGTCGGGTAGTGAGCCGCCGATTGTGCTGCCGTGGCCGCACATGGTCTCTAGCACGGGGACGACGGTTTTGGTGGCGGATAGGGCTTGCGTGAGTGTGTCGGCGAGGCGGGAGAGCGCTTCTGGGAATGGTGTTTGGTTTGCGCTTCCCGGGCTAGAGACGGAATCAGTATGATGTGTTTGTATTGCAGCGGATTTGACTCACTGGAAGTTATAGAGCGTGATACCAAGAGATTCGCACCGGCGAAGGTCATCCACGAAAGAGTCATAGGCCTGCTTGGCCTTTTCCTTGTCGTTTTGGGCCAGGTTGACAAGATATGATCCATGGGGGAGGATGTATCTGATAATTTACTGTCAGTTAAACTTCGATTATTGGGCTCCTGTTTGAGACTCACTTGGTCGCATCGTATTTGTGCTCCACGCAGAGCTGGCGGAATTGATCTCGATGATCATCTTGAAGAGCAGGGTTCTCCCATTTCCGCTGTGATTTTAGGAACAAGGCGAAGGCATTCCCACTGCGATTGATTAGCACGGAACAGATGAATAGAATGTTGAGACCATACCCGATATGGACGCTATTAGTGATCGAGTTGAACACGCCTGGGAGGGAGGCATCAGTAGCCATTTCACTTCAATAAACAAAATCCAACTCACCTTTTGCCGCGCTAACATGAGCGCCTACGAACATCCGCAAGCCTTGCGTCCGCGGTGCCAATGGCATGGCGTCAGATTCTTTCTCTTCCTGTGTCTTCTTCTTTCTTTTTGAAGGCTTCTTCTCAACAATAGTCTCGGTCTCTTCTTTCTTGACCACAGTTTCTCTTTTCTTCCCGCGTTTAGGAGTTGGCACAGGCTTCGCGTCTTCGTCAGCTTCGACCTTAACGGGAACTGATCTTTGGGTCTTCTTCGTCACTACTAGCTCGGCCTCTTCCTTGACCGGCAAGTCGAGATCAGATGTGGGAGAAGAAGGCTCCTTCAGATTGATGCTTGATCTCTGTCGTTTTGATCTTCGTGCCGGGGAGTTATCTGGTGTCCCATTGCTGAGCTGCCTTTTGTGGCTACCCTTGGGGTCTGGGGACTTCAACAGCGCGGTGGTCGCTCCGTCATACAGTTCGTGAGGACACATCCCGCTGTTCACAAACGTCAGACTTGAAGCCGCTGATAGGAATCAACTGCCTGAGTGACGTTGAGTTGCTGGATGTCGATACAGGCAGGGTGCACGTGATCCGCGCTCTTTCCAGATCTCGATGCTCTTGACTGTTGTCCAGACAACGCATCACGTGCCAACCCTTTTCGGTTATCGATAAACCAAACAAAGCAAATCCATCTTCTTCCCTCCACTTGACACTTCCTCTAATCCTACCGCCGACACTGACATCCAGGCTCTGCTGTCGCCACCATGGCAGCCTCTGAAGACCTGATTGACTTCGACATCATTGAAGCACAGAAGGAAAACGTTCAATCACTCCCCGGCGGCCGATCAGCAAGAGAGCTCGCGCGAATCTTCTCAGCGGGCAGCAACGGCGACAAGACAGCAGCACCATCACCAAACGATACGAGAACCCTGACCGATGGCATCCGCCAGGAATATGAGAGCGAGCTACAGGCAATAGGGGAGTCTGATGATCCTCTCGACGTGTATGACCGCTATGTGAAATGGACCCTGAACGCGTATCCGTCAGCACAAGCCACGCCCGAGTCCGGTCTCCTACCGTTACTGGAGCGCGCGACAAAATCGTTCTTGGCCTCGCAGCACTACAGGAACGACCCTCGGTATCTACGCTTATGGCTCCATTACATCAGACTTTTCTCGGATGCTCCTCGTGAAACGTTCGCGTTCCTCGCGCGTCATCACATCGGTGAGGGACTAGCCCTCTTCTACGAAGAGTTTGCCGGGTGGCTCGAGGGCGCTGGACGCTGGACCCAGGCCGATGAAGTATACCGGCTTGGTATGGACTGCGAGGCACGGCCGGTCGAGCGGCTCGCGCGAAAATACGATGAATTTCAACAACGATACGAGCAAAGACCACATGACGCCGGTCCTTCCTCACCTGCTTTACCAACCGTCCGTCCCGCGCTGGCCGCCAAGATGGATCCCTTTGCGCCCTCGGGCGCTTCTGATGACCCCCAGGCCTCACGGCCGTCTCCTAACATGGGAGGCGCCTCGAAGACCAAGTCCGGCAAACCCAAGATGTCCATCTTCTCCGACGCCGACTCCCCCTCAGCCGACCAACCCGCAACCAGTGGCCAGACCAAGGGATGGGAGAGTATTGGATCGATCAAAGAACGCAAGAAGGAGAACGAGATGGAGGCCAAACCCTGGGTCGGCGAGACATTGAAGGCAGGGAAAAAATCTGGCCCGGCTCAGAAAATGGCCATTTTCAGGGACGAGGTGAGTAGTCATTTCGGTTGCTTCTTTCCCCTCAGACCTCCAAATATTTACGATCACAGGACTAATTGCTGGCATGAACCTATGTGGTGTTGCGTTTTTATGTATCCAGTCAAAATCAAATCTTCCTACCCAAAAACCATTGCAACAACAACCCAAACAAGTACCAGAGCATCATGTAAGGGAAGCGGTCAACCCACGAACTGGCCGACGTGAACGGGTCTTCGTCGACCTCGAATCCGTATACCCCGACCCAAGCAACCCGACGCATGAGGTGAGCTTTGAGGAACTGCGGGCTCTCAAGCGCGGGTGGATGAACAAGAATTGGCGTTCACAGAAGGAGCCGCTGCAACAGATATCAGGCAACGCTGGTGGCGTTGATGTCCAGTCCGGAAAGCCCAAACCATCTCCTGTCGACGAGGAATTAATGGTGCGGGAGGACCGGCATTCCCAATCACACGACCAGGAAGGGATGCACGAGGGCAAGTCAGGAAAATCCAGACGGTTGAAGGTCAAGGAGGTGAAGGGAGAGACACAGACCGGTAAGTCGTTTGCTCGGTGCTGTTAGGTCATGCATTAACCGAGTCCTGCAGTCAAAATGAAGTTCGACTCGCCCACGGGCTCCAAAGTACGACGGAAGAGCACCGCGGAGCCAACAATGACCATCCACACTCGTGCTGCTACAGATGAAATCTATAGCATCTTCAACCAGCCCTTGAAGGCCGAAGCAGATGATGGAGCTGATAGCTTGTGCGGCAGTGACTATGAAGACGATGACTACACAAGCACTGCAGATAGTACGGGGACCGGACGCATCTCGGTAGCCTCGAGCGACTTTGGTGACGAGGAGACGCAAACCTTCCACAAGTCCTTCGATGATACCGATTTTGCCGACAACACACGGGCTGAGAGTGTTGCAGGCAGTGATTGGTCCGAGTTCAGTGCGAGTCGAGATGTCCCGAGTGTCGAGCCTGAGACGACTTCTCACTCCGTTTACAGTGAGGGTGCGCCAAGCAGTTCTGCTCATGGAACACCTGAGAGGGACCGGTTTGTCCCGGAAATGCCTGAAGACTATGACCCGCCTTGTGGCCTATACCGGGATCCGGCCATCATGGCGCAAAACCGGCTGCCATTCATGACTCCGATTGTGGAACAGACCGAGTCCTCCCTCCCCTCGATGACAGGTGCTCGAAGCATTGCCTCCAGTGCGAAGACTCCCTCCAAGCCAATAATGCCTCGGATGGGTGATCTCCTTCTCTCAAGTCCACTGGGACTTGCAACTCCATATCATGGAGACCACACTGCCTCTTCTGCGGTGGATGTCCCTTTCAGCCCAACGGTGCTCAAGGCAAAGTCCCGTCGGCGGGAAGTTATCATCAAGGACCGGCAATGCAATCCGACGGACAAAGGAATTCGCAATACGATTCTTAATTCCTTGGAAACGCCGCTGGATATGTACATGGGCTACCACGCTCATGTTGGTGACAGCAACTATGCTTCTATGATCCAGAAGTTTGTCAAGACTAATAGCAGAAAGTCCAAGGGCGAGAATGAAAAGTTTGACACCCCAATTCTCGAATTTCCTGGGGCTGAGCGCAGCTACCTCATCCGTCGCGAGCTCGGAGCCGGCGCTTATGCCCCCGTCTATCTCGCGGAAAGTGTCGACAGCCTAGAGTCTTACGACTCCGAGTCCGATATTACAGACAACAAAGACCGTGATTCCCAACCTCGAAAAGCAAATCCGCACGACAGCGCACGAGATGCATTCGAAGCCGTCAAGATCGAGAACGGACCGTCCAGCGCATGGGAGTTTTACATGATCCGGATGGCACACGAGCGTCTACGGCAGTCGCCGGGTCTCTCACGCGCAGCAGACAGTATCGTGCGTGCTCATGAGCTGCATGTCCATCAGCGGGAAAGCTTCCTAGTAGAAGACTACCGCGGCCAAGGCACTTTGCTGGACCTGGTCAATCTTGTCCGCAGCGAGCCCATCACCCCCAACCACAATGCGGAAAGCGGCCTCGAGGAGGCCCTAGCCATGTTCTTCTCCGTCGAGCTCTTCCGCACCGTCGAAGCACTACACGCCAGCGGCATCCTCCACGGCGACCTGAAAGCGGACAACTGCCTCGTCCGTCTGGACGAGCCCAACCCCAACAACTCCCCTGCCAAAGCACTCTTCCTCCTCGACCTCAACGCCGACGAACAGCCCCTGGATCCCAGTGACAGCATTCACTACTCGCCCAGCGGATCGTACGGCTGGCGAAACAAGGGCCTGGCTCTCATCGACTTCGGCCGCAGCATCGACATGTACGCCTTCTCCCCAGCGGTCCAATTCATCGCCGACTGGGAAACAAGCTCACATGAGTGCAACGAGATCCGCGAGATGCGTCCCTGGACCCACCAGATCGATCTCTACGGTCTCGCCGGCACAATCCACGTCCTGCTGTTCGGCAAGTACCTCGAGTCGACGCCCGTGCGGCCCAGCTCCGGCCCCGCAGACGCAGAAGCAAACGCCTCAACAGCTCGCACGTACCGCATCCGCGAGACCCTCAAGCGCTACTGGGACCGCGATCTGTGGGCTGACGTCTTCGATCTGCTTTTAAATCCTGGTTCGGAGCGCTGGACCCGCATGGAGCGTGAGGGTGGTGCAATGCCATCTTCTTCGCCTTCGACGCCTGTCCTGCCCGTTCTCCATTCTATGCGGCATGTCCGCCAGAAAATGGAGAAGTGGCTCGTCGCAAACGCGGAGAAGAAAGGCCTTGCGAGTCAGCTGCGCAAGATCGAGGCCCTTCTTGCTGAGCGGAAGAAGAAACTTGAGCGGTGACCTTGATCCTCCCTACTTGATACTCTACGATGCCTTTACGAATCTCCCATTTCTTGCCCTCCGTTTCTTGCTCCTGCTATACACTTATACCCTCTGCATCTTCTCTCTCGTTTTCCCTGTTGCATTCTCCATTGCTTGATTTTGTTGCTTGTTCTCCGCTTCAATTGTTTGTATTACTTGTCTAATATGTAGATAATATCTGAGTTGATTCCAAGCCTCATTTCCAAGAAACAGTATCCATAGCACGTAGAAATTGCTTACATCCTGCTGGTCTAGACTCGTCCCGGATGTCGTCTCGATCGACAGACGCTATATCAAAGCGGTCACGGTGCATGTATACAGTAGATTCAAAGCTTTCGGGCCTGGAGATGTTTTTTACACAAAATAATGTCTACACGGCATCGAATCACATTGGATCGTCAAATGTGTCATTAGATAATACTGTCATTATCCATAGCATCCTACTGGATGTTTTATACAGGGCATTCACCCGCGGGTTTGGGGGAGATGGATGATCTGCTGATCTGACTTGATGCACCACTACCCACCCATGCTTGCCCCTTTTTCCCTTTCCCGGTCCTTTTCCACGTCACCATTGACCACGGCTCCCCCTCTCTCCGCCGGGTACGTATCGCCCTCACCCGGAAAAGGTTTCCTCGCCCAGATCCTCTTCGCGTACTGATAAGCGTGGAAGCGCGGGTTCGTCAATGCCTGCCGCATAGCCGCCACATAGACCAGTACTTCCTCCCTGGTCCACGGGACGGGGTCTCCGAACTTGGTGAGCAGGTACATCGAGTAGCCCTCCATGCCGGCCAACCAATGCTGGAGATTGACAATGCCGGCCTCTTTGAGCGCTTTCCTCATCGGCCAAGAGCCGATGGGCCACTTTGCGTTCTTCTCGTGCACATCGACAAAGCCGGCCTTTTCGATCGAGGCGCGCATCGTTTTCACGATATTGAGCGGTTTGCCGAGCTTCTCGCCCGCGGCGAAGAATCGCGGGCCCCATGTGAAGACAATGTTATCCGGAGGGATGCTGCCGTCGTCGCACTCGCAGCAGATGTTCATTTCGATCTGTTCGAACCAGCCGCCCGGTTCGAGATTGTCGTAGGATTGCTTGTAGAGATCGTCCCATTCGGCAAGACTGAAGGCTCCGATGCCGTGGCGGATATGGATGAGGTCGAATTTCTGCCGCCACGTCCATTCCTGGAGCACGTCGTCTACTTCCAGGATGCAGTTTGGCGGCACCCAGCTCACAGGCGGGGGGGAGAGGTCGACGCCGCGGACGACGGCGTCGGGGAACAGATCGGCCACGTCCATCGCCCAGGAGCCCTTCCCTGTTCCGATATCGAGGATGTTTCTGGGCGCCTCCACGGGCGCGTAGTAGAGCGGGTTGGGCCGCTTGTCGCTCATTAAGAGGCAGGCCAGGTGTCCCACTTCGTAGGTCTCGAACTGTTGCTCGTCGGAAGGGCTGAAATATTTGGATCCCCGGAGGTTGGCGTATCGTCTGCCATTTTCTAGAAACCCCTCGTAGAGGGACGAGCCGATGGAGGTTGTTTCTGATTGCCAGTCATCGGAGAGATCGTAGTCTTCGGTTGAAGAGGCGTATGTATCTGCGGTGATCTCATTGTCGTCCATGGTTGATTAGGTGCGAGGAACGGCCGCAAAGAGAGACAGAGAGAGAGAAGGAGAGAGGAGGAGACAGGGATTCCCAAGAGTCCAAAAGTGTCACCGCAACCCCTTATATGTCAATAGGAAAGCGTCGCTAGACATGAATTGATCCAATCGGGGCATGCCCAAAGGGCAGGGAATCGGGCGGATGCACAGGGGAATAATCCTGCTACAGAAATGTAACAGCGCGTTTTTTTGTCTCTTGCCAGGATGAGCGGGCAAGTCGCGGTGGAGGTGGGGGAGGCCTTTTTGTATGAGGACAGCGACCCGAGGGAGTGGGAAGAGACCAAGCTCGAAAGCTAGATCGGGGATGATGCATGGACTGGCCGACCGAGTGCCACGCGCACCAATAGTGTTCCCGGCAGTTGGGGCCGAAGGGCTGGATCCAGACAAGTGAGGAGCCCGAGGGAACGGAACGCAAATGAAAGAACTCGCCTTTTTCCGGGCGCGAATTAGGGGTGAAGAGGAGGCGCGGATCTCCTGTACGTGTACTGTACAGCACTTTCCGGACAGAGTCCGAGAATCTGCTCCCAAGTCTATATTACTATTGTTATTGTTCTGGTGGGGGGCAGATTGGGCAAAGGGTTGAAGAAGATCATTATTCTTCAATCTAGGGCTAGAATCATGATCCCGCCACCGCCAGGGTTGTTTCTGCGTTTTTACCCATGATATTACTGCCTCGCTTGGGCCTCCAACAGGGAAAGTTAGGTCAGGCGAGCCGAGTAACTAGTTCGACGCGGGGGAATGTGGTGGATAATAGAACGCGGGTCGTTCCGCTGACAAGCACCACCGGCTGAAGATCACTAAGCTACATCCCGACGATCAGATATCCACATTAACCGAAGAATGGGTAAAAAGGATCAAATTCTTGAATGGAGAATATCATCATCATCACACTACATCCATCTAAGATAAACAAGAAGGAATAAAAAAAAAGGTACTCTGAAACCGGCAAAGAAGAAGAAAACACACAGCAGCCATCACACATCATCGCAGTCATGAAAAGCAAGCAGCAAGCAGCAACCCCAGCCATGGTGCACACGCACATTGCACATAAAACACCGGATCGTAGCAACAGGGAATCATATCACAGCGATTAACGGAATCAGAGCAGGAAGAAAATACAACAAGAAAAATAGCGCAAGTCAAGTCAAACGATCGAGATCGAGGCGTAGAGAGAATCTTGACATGGCGGATACATGTCGATCGAGATCGGAGACGGATGCAAGAAAGATTAAAAAGCAGAACAAGGCACGCTGGCAAATCTTCAAAGAGAACCAAACACCACGCTTGCGTTTCTCAGTTAGGCCATTGGTTGGGAGCCAAGTGCAATTCATGGGGCGTCGTTTCGTTTCGGTTCGTCTATGTAACTGAACGCTCGGAAATTGGGATATGTATTGTCGTCTCTTTTTTTGGGGTGGGCCGCCTTTTTGGTGCAAAGGCACGGTCCGGGTCATCTCCATAGTGTGACGGGTTGAAGCGAAGAAGTAAAATGGTTCCAGTGTCGGATGTCTTGACAAAGGGACAACTGGCAAACCAAGATGAGATTGGAAAGAAAGACGTAGTGAGCGGATCGCAGTTGATAGCGAGCAGAAGTTGGTCATTGTGGGTTTTCGTGGCAGCTTTTTCAAATGTTTTTGTGGTTGATTGTTGTGTTTGACGTTTGGGGCCACGACACTGTGCCCCGACAATCAAGGAAAGAAATCAGTCGACAGTGTAAGGAAAGCGGGTGAACTCGGATTATCAATATTGTCCAAAGACAAGAAAGAGGGCCGAAAGGACTGCTGCAATCGGGATTCACAGCCCAGCCAGTGTCTGTCCGGGATGAAATGACAACCCAACAAGTTCAAGTTCGCCAGCGGAGGCAAAGAAAAGTACCCCAAGTGGAAAATCGGCTGCCTAACACCGAAGCAGGTGCAAGACTTGAAAAAGAAACAAAGTCAAGACACCTATCAAAATTGGCGTTTTCTTCGGTATCCACAGAGTTTCATGTGGATGAACGGTTGCCGACAACCGCAGGGAAAGGAAAAAAAATAACCCATCACAACTTTCTTTTTGGGGGAAGTCATTGTGTATTGCTTTTGGTGGGGAAAGGGGGGGAATGCAAATGCTCGTCGTATGCCAAGAGCAACCAGGCACATGAGCATAGTCTCTTTCAACATATCGTTACAGTCGTGAGAAGTAAAAAATGGCCGTTGCTGTCGTAAAAGCTTGCAGAGACGTTAAAGAAAAAGCGCCCCGTCTGTATCTCGTTCAGGTCATTATGCAAGGCTTGGAAAATCGCGCGGAAATAAATCGATGGCACAAGTGGGAACGGAGTATTACAATGGTCGACAGCGGGGGGAACAGACGCAACAGCAGCTATCTGCGCGTAAAAGGCATGTTCAGGATCTGCCGGCGAATTCGCTCGGCGTCGGAAAGACCCTCCTCGGTGGGGTCGTACGGCAGTGAGCTCGAGGCCTTCTGCTGTTCCTGAATTGGGGACGGGTCAAAGGCGGCGAGGCTCTGGTAGGAGGGAGGACCGCCGCTGGAGAAGGGGTCGGAGAGCGAGGATGCATGTTTGATGTAGCGACCCGGGCCTTCACGACGCTTGAATCCGCCTTCGATGCGGAAGGGCGAGCCCAGCCGTTTGATATTCTCCCCGCTGAGGTTTAGCAAGGGGTTGTTGGTAGGCGGCTTCGTCACAGGAGTGGTCTCTTCAGGCGGGCAGGAGTTGAGCGACGAGGGAGGAGAGAAAAGCTGGTTGACATCCTTGGGGCTGACAGCGCCGGTAGTGGCCCCGCGGCTACGGATGCGCATGCGGCCATTGCCAATGTCTGCAACCTTGTTCTCGCGCAGATACATCTCCAGGCGGCGCCGGACCTCATCATCGGAATCCTTATCCTCCGGAACGTGGATTTCCGGGAGAGGAATCTCGTAGCCATCTTTGTTGAGAACCTTCTGTCCACTGTGGGCATTTGATCGCGACCGATGGCGAGGCAGATGGATAGTTTCGCGACGCGCGAAGGCAGCAAGCTCGTGCTCCCGGTCTTTCAAAGTCGAGGGACCCCAGGTACTGTAAGCAAAGGGAGATCCCAGGCGTGGGATAGTGGAGGCGCGTTCGACGTGAAGATTCTGGGGAGAAGTTTCGCTTGCATCGTACTCGACAACATTGAACACTGGGTTGTTGGATGACTCCATCTTTGGCTCCTCCGGCGCAACAGTCTCCTCGGCCAGTCGGGACAAGGGAGTGGGCTCATAAGGAGCAACCAAAGAAACACCAAGATCACGAGTGCCGTATGCCATGCAACCACTCTCGGCAAAGTCATGGGTGTTGGGCTCCACGGGGGCAATGAATGGCTGCGCAACAGGCTCGGGGCTACGCGACTGCATCATACGCTGATAATGCGGGGAGATGGAAAATTTGCGTCGACACAGTTGCTTGAGGCGTCTGCGGGTCGTAGTGTCAGACTTGGGCCACGTCGACTTGGCCACATTTTGAGCCGCCTTGGGTGTGGAGCTGCCGCTGCGGTCGGCCGACCTGATGGGCAGCGATTCAATGATGCGGAGACGTTTCTTCTCCCAGGTTCTCTTGGCACGACGAGCAACCCGGTGGGTGATGCCCAGCGGCGGAATGCTGCCCGGGGTCATCTTGAAGGGGGTGATAGTGGGGTCTTGGAGGTAGAGCTGATAGGTGTTCCACAGGTGATTGTCCATGTCTCGAGACCAGGATTTATCGCTCTTGCTCGGGCGCAGTTGAGATTGCTTCTTAGACTTAGTCGGAGACTCCATCTCGGGTTCCTTGGTCACCTCCCAAGGGAAGTTCTCGAAGATGTCGCTCTCGGCGCTCGTGCAGCTTCCTCCAATAGAGGGGCGCGATGCGAAAGTTTCAATGGATTCGATGGACGAGTCTGACATGTTGGAGCACACCGAACCAGGGCGCTCAAGCGTACTGGCTGGGGTCTGATCCCACGATGGCCACGGGTGTCCCGTGTCGCAGGACTCAAAAGGCGTCCCACGGATCTGCGCGGGGGGTGTCTTGAAAAGCATGCGCTGGCGAGGCGGCGCAAGGAAGCGCATATCATCGGTCACAGAGTCATCAGAAAAGGGCGCCTCCAATTCAGCGCCTGACTGGGGGATTTCAATGGAAGGCAAAGGCACATCCGACAAGCCCTGGAGCCGGGAGAGATCCAAGTCCATGCGCGCGCACACGTCGGTGCCCGAGCGAACTCGGACCCGCGGCAGACGGCAACTGGAGCTAGAGGGGCGTGGAGGCGGTGGGACATCGATATCGGTAGAGGTGCGTTCGGGAGTCCTCGGCTCTTCGTTGAGCATAGAGGGGAAAGTGAAGTTCTTGGGCAGCGTCCGCGAGAGCTGACGTTGAGCCATGGTGGCGGGTGTTTGCGGTCTTCAGCCGCCACAAGAGTTGGTCGACAAATGCGAAAGTGGAACTTGGGATCTGGTGGAATATCGCTACCACGTTCGGGGGTTGCCTTGTTGAGACGAGGTGATGTGGTTGAGTCGTCACAGAGGGAGAAAGGAAACAGAACGAGGGCGTCGACAGAAGGAAACAGAAGCAGGCTAGTCGTAGTCGTAGTATGTAGTAGTGATCAGGAGGATGAGCGTGGTTGAGGAATGCGCCAACTGAGTAGTGAGGTTCGATCACCGGGTCACATCTGCGGCTCCATCCCGGGCCGACGGACTAACTACCAGGCAACGGACGATTCCGTCATCACCAAACACCAGAGATACACAAATAGGGAAAAGAGGCGAGCGAAGGGGAGGGACTCGCAGGGGAGATGGGAGAGGGTTTGTGGGAAGCGTGGGTTGGCGAGGAGAGAGATAGGTTGGAGGAAGAAAGAGAAAGAAGAGAAGCTCAGGAAGAAGAGGAGAGAGGCGGGTGGTTGGGCGTGGAGGGAGTACCCGGTACCTGTGTGTGGGCGGGCCCGTGGGTGCTGGGTGCAGTACCGGGTACCTCAACGGCCCACCCAGCTGATCCTGCTAGTGCGCGACACTAAAATCCTGACAGGAATGCGCACAAGTCGAGACTGCAGACTGGCCTTACAGATCTTTACATGATGATATCCCTGTTTTTCTCTCTCTTGTGGCTATCGGTACGATCTTCTCCTGTCTTACACCAGGAAAACAAACCAACAAGAGGCTGGTGGCAGAGCCAGCCAACTCGCTCACCGTCCATTTAGTGACTTCGGCTAAGCAGTTGCTAGTTCCCACCACCACGCCATCCTTCCCACTGCAAGGACTGTCTGCCTCGCGGGATGTTTCACTCCACGCACGAGGTCTCGGGAGGCGCATGGAAAGAACTGTAAATACCTACCTAACGCAATCATCATGCCCAAGATTGATTCCCACCGGCTCAGCGGCACCGTAGATCATCCCATCCTTCACCGTTAGGCACTCAGGCCAGTCTGTCTTTTCGTTTGGGGGCCATGAGTGATGATCAAGTCGAATCTTGCCTGTTTCAGGAGACGCGACGCGTGTAGGCGTTGGGAGACGCGTCCGTGTATTTTACAATGCATTTACCGTATTGTCATGCAGGCCAGATGCCAATTGGTCGAGTTCGAGTCCACCGAGCCCTAACTACTCCAGAGTACAGGAGTAGGCATATTCATGGATATATTTGAAAAGCACACGGCTATAGCTAGATCACACTGAGATTATCTCCCAAATCACGCCCCTCCCAGACATTTGAGATCAATCTCCGGCGTCCTCGACCGGAACAGCAGCTCCACCGTCGGGTCCGTAATGGATTCCGTGCCAATCTCAAAGTTCTTTGGCCGCCCGCGATCCTCCTTAAATTTCCAGTCAAACTTGAGCAGCAGATGAATCAACAGGATCTTCGACTCGTTTGCCGCAAAGAACCGCCCAGGGCAGGCGTGGACGCCGTGCCCAAACGCGAAGTGATCGCGGGTCGTCGTCACCAGCTGGAACCGGTGCTCGTTGCCTGGCTCCTGCCGCTTGTTGTAGAATCGGTAGCCGTCGTACGTGCTCGCTTGCGGGTAGATACTATCCTCGCCCATGACGTGCGTTGACACGGCGATTGTTGCGCCCTTGGGGATCACGGTTCCGTCAGAGAGGGGGATGTCGGCCGTTGCGAGGCGGTTCAACAGGGCTGGAAGGATGATTGTTAATAGGGAACAAACTGAAATATGAGGGAGGGCCAAGCTGGCTAGACATACTCATGCCGACGGGGTTCACCCGCTGGGATTCCTTCATCACGCTATCCATCAACTTCAACTTGAGCAGGCTGGTCTTCTTGAACTCGCCGTCCTCGGCCGCCACGGCACAGATCTCATCGCGTAGCGGCTGGATGTACTGCGGATACGCGGCCAGGTCGTACATGATATTCGTGAGCAAGTTGGACGTCGTGTGGATGGCCGCCAGCGACAACCCGACCTGGGTGCGCCCCATTTCTATCGGCGTGTCGTACGCCTGGGACAGGTCGCGCATCCAGTCCAGGGCGTCGGCATGAGTGCGCGGCGGGTCCTCGGGCGGCAATGTGCCATCTTGGATCATGGCACGGTGCTCAACTTCCTGGTTGACGATTGACCGGGCCACGCGCAGATGCTGGCGGAGCTTCTGGGCCGATGGCAGGAACCAGTGCACCAGGGGTCGGAGGACCGAGGGCCACATGCGCAGCTCGCGGGCTGCGACGAATGCATCGATGGTATAGTTGACCGACACATTGATCCACTCTTTGTCCCGGCAGATCTTCTGGCCGAGGAAAACCAGAGAGGAGATGCGGGCTACCATGTAGGGCACATGATACGCAAAGTTATATGGCTTCCACTCTGAGGGAGAATTAGTGGTGGAACTAACTCGATGCCGCGGTGTGCAGGGACTTACCGTCCGAAGGGGGGAAAGTGTCGTTCAATGTCGCAGCTGTCTCCTTTGAGAGCGGGATGGTCAGGGACCCTTAGCCCTTGGTCAGTATATGGAAATGCTCAGTAGGTATGGGGACAATAATACCCAGTGCCTGGGTCAACTTGATACGAACGAGATCAGTGACCAATTTGCTCGTGTTCTTCTGGTGAAAGGCCTCAAACCCAGCGATGCGGTCCTCAAAGAAGTTCTGTGTACATCCGGTCAGCCATCAGCATTATAGGTAGGCCGTCCATTCAACGACATGCCTTGCGGTTAGCGCCCTCAAAGTCCAGATTTGGATGGCTTTTGATCTCGTCCATGTAACGCGGGTGCAGAATAATCAACGGCCGCGTGGCGCCCATAATCTGGAAGACATTTCGGCCCTAGCCAGCGTCAGCGGTCTCCTCCTACGTTTCTGGCGTTGGGGGCAATACCCGCGAGAAACCCTCGGCGATCAGGGCGCGGGCGCCCTGCGTGAAACGCGCCTTGGCCTTTTTGTTCGTCAAGTCCGACCACCAATTCTTGCCAACCAAGGGGACACGGCGGTAAGGGATCTCATCGCTCAAATCATCCCAGAAGCTCGACGCGAGGACTGCGAGCAGGGCGACAACGACGCCCTGGATGAGATAGGGGCTCTCGAGGACTTGGGCGAGGACAGCCATGGTGTGATAATAATGACAATAGGTGTTGTGAGAGAAATAAGAGAGGGAGAAAAAGTAAGCGGGATGACACGCATCAATATAATAATCTAGGCACAGGCCACACTGTGGGGGGCACTAGAGCAATTCGGATGTGGCATGCCGGCTTTACACAACGTATCAATGACTCCGGGATGAGTTAGTTCCGGGCGTATTGAAGGTGATGGGGGATCCTTGCCTGAAGGGGCAATTCAAGATCGAAGTGCAGAACCCACTCGGATCGGAGTGCAACATTTACCCGCCCATAAGTGCGGTGCCTTTGGTCAACTCAACCAATGTTTCATGTCAAGTACGCACCGTATACACTTTTGCAACTAACGGACTAGCCAACATTGGTTATTATTATTGTTGTAGCTAAGTTGCAGGATCAATATGCGCTTTGACCAATAGTTACAAAAGGTTACTAGTTACTTAATGAACGCCATTCCGAAACCTAATTTAGGTAGCGAATCTCCTCTATCTCGGTTATCTCAAGTTACTTACTGTACTACAATTTCGCTACTAGACTTTTTCGAAGGCCATTGTTGATGAAGAATAAAAAAGTGGAGAAAGAAAGCTTAGGCGCCCCGTCCCGTAAGGTGGGTAGAGCACAGCCACTCCACCACCGGCTGACATTGGGGCCCAAATCTAGAATCGGAAAGAGAAGCACACGAATCAGCGTGCGAAGCCCACCGCCTATACCGGTAGCCTCATTACGGTTTGCGTTCTTGTTTTTGACAATAGGCCTTTGGCATAGGGCCTAGACTCAATAGAAAGTATGTATACCTCTTCGTCAACCCGAACCTATAACTAGCTACCTTGCAGCATCCTTCAAATGAGCAAATATAGTGGGGTTGGAGTTCTTCCAAATCACTAGGTAGATAAAGTATAAGGTTTATTCGATCCATCGCCCGACATTCATCTAGACAACCTCCTTGGAGGCGATGATGTGGAGGAGGTTATTGAGTATATGAAACACGCCGCTGATCTCAACCAATGGTAAGACCTGTTACATACTGTATACTCGGCGGGATAACATGATATACCAGGTTTATCGAGGAGCCGACATCCCAGGACATGCCAAGATCCGTGCAGCCCTAAAGCCATACGGCATTGGCGTCGCAACTGGTGAACACATCAATAACCGGTTCGTGGCAAGCAGCTGCCCCAAGCAGACGCTCTTGACGCAGTGCAGTTAGACGCGTGCCGTCTAGCTTCTGTGAACGAGATCTTGGCCGTGCTCCTAATGAGCGCTAGGTTTGAAGTGCCCGTCCGTTGCTTCTCATTCTAGGGGCGCTGGCATGGTCCAGCTCTGATCGGTTGTTAGCACAATTGACTTTGTCGTGGTGTCTGTCACGAAGAGCATTTTAATGCACGGATCCTCTCCCCGAGGCCTTGAGGATCCGGCTGCGATCACTTCGGAGGAATATCATTTTGCTCCAGCGGCTTCCCGGTACTCTTTGAATGCCAAGTAGAGTGAGTGTTTTAAGTTTGAGTGTTCTAATGACGAATTTTGACAGTCCCTGGGCCAAACGATGTTGAGTGATCCATGGAGAGGGGAGCAAACTTCGTAATTTGAGAAATGATCCCGGCATTGAACAGCTCACTGTTGTACAGGGGACACAGAAGCTGGAATAAAAGTGAAGTACATCTAGACAGTCATTTCATTAGTATGCCTTCCTTCTACTTCTTGAGTGAGGCAGGATCCCTACAGTGCGAAAAGTATAGGCCTCTATATTGCACTCAACGGCCTCCACCTATGTATAACACACCCAGTGCCAAGCCCCCGCATGCGTCTTCCCCGCGTGACTGAGCTCATCTGCTCTGTGTCTCTTTCTTCTTCCCTGTACGACTGACTGACTTGGTTACTCTATACTTCATCCTCTACTGATACCCAACTAACAAATCTAAACATGGGCGACTACGGCCCCTCGGTGTCCACACGATCCACCATTGCCGGCATTCCGCCGCAACCCACCGCCGATGAGCACGAGATCTCCGTGCTCATCACCGGCTTTGGGGTTAGTTCTCTCTCCTCTACCTCTCTGCCCTGGATTCTAACAGACCAAAATTTAGCCCTTCAAAACAAACAACATCAATGCTTCTTATCTAATCGCCTCTACTCTCCCCTCATCTTTCACCTTCCCCTCCCCCAAGGGCGACTCGGCATCCCGCCGCGTCTCACTGCATGTGTACCCAACCGCCATCCCAGTCTCGTACAACACCGTGAAAGAACTCCTCCCGCAGATTCTAGACGAGTACTCCGTTGCACATGGCGGCCGTCGACCCGATCTGATTATTCACATCGGCATCGCATCTCCAAGACCATATTACTCCGTGGAGTCACTCGCCCACCGCGATGAGTACGTCATGACCGATATTGACGGTTGTGCGGGCTACGAAGCCGGTGAGAAGCGGTGGAAGGAGATGGGATTGCCGGAGATTCTGAAACCCGGTCCTCCTGCATCTGATTCGTCGTCCAGTTCCTCCATTGTTCTGCCGTATCCGCCCAACGAGCATTTCCTGGATGCATGGAAACTGTTTGCACCTGCAACGCTGGACCTGCGTATTTCGCAGGATGCGGGGCGGTATCTCTGCGATTTCATTTTCTATACGAGTATGTCGCTGGCGCTGCAGGAGGGCCGCGCGCGAAATGTGCTCTTCCTGCATGTTCCGAGCGCGAGTGAGGATGCGGATATCGAGCGCGGAAGGTCTATTACCCTTGCTTTGGTGAAGGCTATGGTGAGGTGCTGGATTGATGAGAAGAGTGATGCATACTTGTGAGAGGTGGCTTGGTGTGTTCATACTGCAGACCGGCGGTGGGCATGTTTCTGGAGTGGACTTGTTGTTGTTGGCATTTGCACCCGGTGTTGAACCAGATTTACCATATACATCTATATCCCCGAATTAACTGTTAATCTCTATATTTCCTACTCAATTCAGCCAAGTGAATACTCGGAAGATCAAGGTGTCACCGCCTGGCAGAATGACTTCCATGTCGATCACCATTCGAACTTGACCAAGTACATGCGTCACAATCAAAAAGCACACCCGTCATGGTAGACCAGCATCTAACTCTCACCGCACTCGTCGTGGGTATAGTCCTGCTAATCCCACTACTCTACACCTCCCAATTCAAAGGATGGATCCGCAGCGCCCAATCCAACACCGGACTTTTGTCACTGTTGCGACGGCGCCGCCCAACGCAATCCAGCGAGATCGTCTCATTGTACATGTACCCAATCAAATCCTGCCGCGGCTTCCAAGTGCAAGCCACAACTCTCCGGCAACACGGCTTGGATCTTGATAGACGCTGGATGCTGGTTGATGCGTCGTCGCGCGAGTTCCTGACTATCCGCCAGATCCCGGATATGACTCGCATCGGGACGGGATTGAGCGACGATGGACTGGAATTGGTAATTACCATTCCGAGGCAATCAATTGAGGGAAGTGAAAGTAGTCTGCTGCACACGGTCCGCATCCCAGCACACCCGTCCCTGGAATGGCTCGCCGCAAACACGACCCCGGCGCCGGTCAAGATCTGGGACACTGACACGGACGGGTATATCTACGGCGATGAAGTGAACGCTGCATTCTCTGAGTTTCTGGGGAGACCAGTCGCGCTCGCCTATAAAGGCCCAACGCCGCGTGTGCTGAAGGGGAACGGAAACCCGCGCATCCTGGGCCGAGTGCAGACGACCAACTTCCCAGACGTGCATCCCGTCCTCATAGCGTCGGATTCATCGCTGACGGAACTAAACACCCGCCTGCGCCGAGCGGAAGTCGATCCCATCACAGTGGAACGATTCCGGCCGAATATCGTCGTCCGCGGCGGAACGCCCTGGAGCGAGGATTCGTGGAAGTTGGTGCGTATCCACAGCCGTAATCCCGACAAGTCTGGGTCTGGGTCTGAGTCTGGGTCTGCGATTTCTGTGCCCATCGATCTTGATATCGTTGCCCGCTGTGCAAGATGCCAAGTGCCCAACGTCGACCCCGACACGGCATTTAAGCACAAGAAACAGCCGTGGGACACGCTGGTCTCGTACCGGCGCGTCGACGAGGGCATCAAATATAAACCGTGCTTTGGGATGCTGAGCGCGCCGCGTAACGAGGGCGTTGTCGAGGTGGGCATGCGGTTAGAGGTGCTGGAGGAGACGACGGAGCATCGGTATATCACTGGGTTTTGACTGTCCACTGGTGGGTGGGAAACCGTACATCCCTTAATGTTTGGTTGTCAGGTTGCATCTTCCGCAAGGATCAGCCCTGTGCCCTAGAGGTATGGGTATCGGCTCTAGCTCAGTTGTCGCATGTCCGGACTATGCGCGCAGGTGGCTGGACTTGCAGGGGTATCTTTTTTTGTTCACGACAGGGGTTCAAATCCGGGTGGTATAGTTTTTGATATTGATTTATTTATTCCCCCTCCGGAGAAGTATGCTTTGCTTTGCTTTTTACTGGTTTGTTCTTTTGTTGCCCCCACAGCAGTCGACAGATGATGATGAGTCTATTGTTTGTATGATGTATATAGCCAATGAGGTAACTAACATTTGATATGATATCCCATCTGAAAGAATACATATCCCCCCTCTTCGATAATATCTGTACAGATAAACAACCTTCGCACGCACCACCCACACTCAGTTCTTCAACTGCTTACTCGCCGACACACACCAATTATTCCACTCCGAGAAAAACGCCGGCTGAACATGGCACTTGGCGCTGCACAGCTGAGCCTTCCTCGTCTCCGCATATACATCCACCACGCCGCCAATAGCCGCCTTATCATGCGCAACAAGAGCCTTGACAACGAGCAGACTCGCCTGGCTACAGGCACTCGCATGCGCCGGCGGGGCACTGTGCGCCGCCTCCTTGTGCACAGCGCGCAGCAGCTCCCAGACATTTTGTTCCGCTTCGGCGTCCTCGATCTTCGGGACGGCGGTGCCCTTGCAGAGACGTGTGTACTCGCGCAGCACGGAGGTGGCCTTGTTGGCGATCTGCTTGACGGATGACCGGCGCGCGAGCCGGAGGAGAGGGAGTACGAGATCCAGCGCTAGTAGGCGGGAGTGGCACTTCTTGATGAAGATCTCTACCAGGTCCAGGACGCGGTTTTTGAAGTTGACCATGTTCTCGCGCGCGTCCTTTTTGTCCTTGTGTTGCGAGGTTACCTCGCGGCGCGCGCGGAACACTTTGACTAGCTGCGCGTCTAGCTCCTCCATCTCGTCGTCGTTCATATCTGCATCTGAGTCGGACTCGGCGGCTTGGAGGTCTTCGTCGGCGCGGTGGGTGCCCAGCGCAGCGGCGAGTTTGGCTTCGAAATCCAGGACTTCCTGGCCGTCTTCTTCGTCTTCTTCGTCTTCGTCCTCGTCCTCTTCGTCTGATGACGAGGCATCGGATGCGCCGTCTGCATCGACGACCTCGACGTCGCTGTCGGCTTCCTCGACATTGATCATCTCCACGTCGTCGTCGTCACTTCCATCTTCTTCCTCGCCGTCCTCGTCCCCGTCCTGTTCCTCGAACATCTCCTGCTGACCCGCCAGGCTCTCCTTGGCTTCCAGAATCTAGAGGGAATTGTTAGTCTATATACAGTAAGGTAAATACCAGGAAACATACCGAGATCAACGACTCCAGTCCATTCTCCGTGACCTGGTCCGCAAAAGCGCTAAACACCTGCTCGCTCATACGACGGAAGAGCTGCGACTGTTTCGACGCAAAGCTCAACAGGATTTCAACCAGCGCATCCGAGGCATCAGACGTATCCCGCTTCTTTGTATCGCTGTCGCCCATGAACTTGGTGTAGCAGAACTCCAACTCATCCAGCATGGAGACGGCATCCGCATCGCCACTGTAGACCTGGAGAATGGTCATGGAGTATAGAAGCTTGAATGCCGCGGTGCCAGAGGTTTCTCCTTTCTTCTCCTTGCTCGAGAGCTTCTTCAGTGCCTTGAATGATGTCTTCACGGACTTCTGTAGTTTGTCGTCCATGACGATGGTGAATTTGCCATATTCTCCAGACTTGACCGCCTCGCGGATCTGGCGCACAACGGCATATGGCAGAGTCGCGGCGTATTTCCGTGTGACGATCAGACTGTTCAGGCCGGAATTGATGCGGTTGCGGAAGAGTTCCTGCGTCGACTGCGCAAGAGCAGGCTCTGGAGTGGCTTTCCCTTCGCCGCTATCCAGGAAGTAGCCGAATCGCACGAAGATGGACAGGATCTGCTCCAAAATGCCCTGGTAGTCATCCTCAGAGGAAACCTTTGATCGCACGATGGCAAGGAGCAGGCCAGCTAGGATCTGGCGAAGGGATGCGGCGGTTTTATCGTCGGTCGTGCCTGGTCGCTGGATGAGCTGCTCGAACAGGGGGACAATCTCCTGCAAGGCAGCTTGGTTTGCATCGGTCACGGTCTTCTCAATGGTCTTTGTCTTGGTAGCCTGGTCGAAGTTGATCGCTCCGCCCGTTCCCATCAGGCCATGCACGGCTGCCGCAGCGAATCCGGGCTCTTTCGCCACACGGCCCTGGATCGCTTTCGAGGCCTTGACCGCCATGCGATGCAAGTACCGGTCCTCCACGGCAAGCTGGTTCATCAGACAGCGTACGAGGTTTTTTGTGAACACATGGGAGGCCTGCTGCGGTGTACCGTCGTTGAGAACTCTGACGAAGAGAAGGAAGCCCCAGTACTTGCGCTCGTCTGACGAGGCAGAAGCAAATAGCCCATCTATAAAAGGATTAGTTTCGGAAAAGAACCAAGACACCGGGGAATACTCACTGTCAACAACTTCAGTCCAGAGATCAACGAAACTCAGACGGGAGGACTTGGATTGCTTCGACTTGGAAGAAGAGGCATCACTAGCCCGCGACAAAACCGCATCCCAGGCGAAGTGAAGCTTGGAATTCCACACGCCTGAAGATTTGGCGTTATTCGCTTTGCTCTCACCCTCGGACTCGCCACTAGAAGACTCTTTCATGATTTTGGAGAGATTGTTCCGCTCCTTCGTGTCCAATGGATCATCATGTTTCCAGACCTTGCTGGGGAAATTGGCATTGGGAAACATGTCCTTTGCGGCCAGCCAGATGGCAATGCCCTCCGGCGACCGCGCTAGATCATGCGAGCACAGGCGCTCCAGCGCGGCATCCACAAACTTGCCATCCACCTCGCGCGCCGACAGATCGTAGACACACCGGTAAATGATCCAGCCGCATTCTTCGCGGATCCAAGGCTTTTTCTGCGCGAGCTCAAAGACGAGATCAAGGGCCTTGGTCCATTCGCTAAAAGGCACGGAGGGCTGGAAGAGGACGGCGGATTTGATAATGGCTTCTGCGCCGAAGAGACGGCCGAAATGGTGATCGCGTTGTTCCTATTGTGGAACGCAGTCAGTACCATTTCCGCCATTGAGTTACGTGTCAACACAAACCTGTCCGGACTCGCCGCCAGTGGCATTCGACTGCACCTCCCAGATCTTCAGCGCGTCCGATAGACCAAACTGCGCGGCGTCTCTGGTGGACGAGAAAATCTGCGTCAGGACCTCGGTCAAGGCGATCGAGAAGCCAATGCGCGCTGCTTTGCGACTACTGCAGAGGCCACGAAAGAGGCGCTGCAGCACTTTCTGGATCTGGTCGTCGGCCGGGTTCTTGTCGGGGGTGAACTGAGACACGAGGCCCTGGGCGGCTTTGAGACGGATCTCATCTTTTTCGCTGGCGAGGTCCTCGTAGATCTCGACCAACTTTGTGTCGACGTTTCCGAGTTCGAGGCGCCGCTTCTTGGACAAGGGAGCCATTATGCGTTTGTCTTCAATACAATATTGTTGCTGCCGTCAGAGTTACTTTCTTTTTGGCGTCCGGAAAATTCAAGAGGCGGTGACTGAGTCGGGACTAGCGTGGAACCGATAAGCTGATAAGCATGTCTGGGGAGGATGAAGACACAAAGGTGCCATTGATGTGATTTACTGGGTATGTTTGGGTTGATTGGATGGTAATAAGTATGGTTTCTCTAGAACTGTGTGGTAGTGCCCTTGAGCGTTGTAATTATCTGTCTCAGTGGAGGATATCCACTGTGTATATACTTGAAGGCATGGATATATATCTCTGAATGCAACTATGAGTCTTGTCCCATTTGGTTATTTTGAATTACTACCAAGCTACTGATTCAAATGTAGAAAGAGACAGGGTAAATAGTCTGTTGATTCATTCATATCCAAAAGAAACATTTTCCATTTACTGGTCCTCCGGCTGTGCGACCGCCATTTATTGTTTGACACTTCCTACTGTACACAGACACAGATATTCGCCGAATTGGCGAAACTACTGGTAGGTAGGGTACAGCAATTATTCAATTGATAGATAATTTCGTTTATTCTGTGCGACCATGACCTACCACAGTGATGTATCCAAACTACATAACTACGGCTCCAGGCAACCACTGGAGCCTCATGGACAGTGCGTTCCGTCCAAGCCACTTAATAACACGCTCGGGGGGAAGAGTAGCCCCGTGTGGGCTGTCACCGTGGATGACGGCACGGAATAAGAATCAATAGTGCAGTTAGTGCTCTATAGTTAGCAATTTGACAAATCACCGAGCAAGCCAGATCGACAGTATGGGTAATTCCAATACAGACGACATTACGGGCTCGCGCATCGGCTTGTTTACAGGATCGCGGGAGAGAGCACAACATCTGACATCAGATCACAGGGCAGGACACGAGATGTGATGACCCCGCAGCGTGCGAACAGGTCCGCTCGGCTACACGCGCCAGCTGACTGGTGGATGGCATACACATGGCCGATGGATCACATCATCGGTGGAGCCGATCGGGGCTGGCCGAGGGGGAGACCGATGCGTGCAGTGGCCTGAAACGAGGCGATGCAGCCAGGGTCCCAAAGAGGAATTATCAAAACAGTCAGAGCACGCGTGGGAGGAGTATTCCTCGCATCCTTTGAGGAAGAACTCTTGGTGTCCTTGGATGAGTCCAAGGAGTCGACAGGCGTCCAGCCCGCCGCACAGACGGCAGACAGCACCATGGTGATGCATTTCTGACGTAGCCCCACGGACCAGGATGGGTTCTCGATCAAGTTTTGACCAGTTTCGACGCGTCGAAGATCAACCAGTTCTTTGTTGACGCCTCCAGACATCGGGGATATCAGACCGACCCTGATCAACGCAAGCCGGCGTTTCATCCGATCGGGAGGGAGGGGCATCGGGGACTCAGCAGTCAGTTGTGGGGTGCATAAGCGGACGAGCTGACCGCGTCGACTATCACGGGTGGGACACTGGGAGGCTTTGTTTACCGAGGCCGCGGAGGACGATCGGGGATCAACAGGGCGCGTACAACGAACGGTGGGTTTGTCTGTGATCAAGTGTGCCCATCGTCATGATCATTGGCGCCAATGATATGGCCCTCTGGTTCAATTGAATGAGTCTTTTCTTCCTTGGTGACGTCGAGACTCCAGGACAATCATTGTGCCAGGGCCCTCCATTGTTGTGATGATTTGGCCCCCATCATCAGTGTCAATGACTCGCGAAAACAGAGCTCAGCCACGAGGCTTATCCAGTCGACGAAAGACTCGAAAGGTTGTGAAGTGTCTCTGTTGCTTTCCTCGGGGTCAGACCGAGACCAAATGCTGGAACCCCCCTGTGGTCCTGTGGAGATGGGAAGGAATTAATAGCCGGTAAAACATCGACGACAGGGATGCTCCATCCCTTCCATCGTAAATAATGAGATAATGAAACGTGCCTTCCTTCCGCCCTTGATCCGCAGGAATGCAAGTAAGGGCAGCGGCGCATTATTCTTTGATCGTTATCGCAAAAGCGCCGTGACTTACTACGCAAGAATGGATCTGATTCTATGCCTCGATGCTACGGAGTGCATTGTTAAGATGAACGAATACTTAGAAGACGGTTCTATTCTCCGGAAATTCTTCAACTCCTTCAGATCATCACAATGAACCGGACGGACCTGTACCGTCGAATGTATTTTCCTATAGAGATCTGGAGACAGAACATGCCTCGCGGCCAATCAGTGGCGCCCCGGCGGACGGCAAGTAGCTATTTTCCCATTTGTGCTTATCGACCCCTCTCGTCTTTCCCTCCCAAGGGAGGGATCGTCAGGGCCGAGTTGCACTGTTCCATTCATTTTTTTCAATGGTTTCTGGCCCGATACCCGTTTGGGTGGACCGAGAATTGTGATCTGGCCCGGTAACCGGACCGTGCTTTTCAATGAAGTGACGTTGCGATGCAGTAACTACTGGGCCTGGTCGCATGCTGTCATTGTTCTGCTCTGAGCAGGACCTTGCATTGGCCGATCCCTTGAGTGACTCGCATGAACAAAATAACCGGGACCGGCTCTGGAATTTTTTTTTTTTTTTTTTTTTTTTCATTGGATGGAGCCCCCAAGTGGAGATTCGGCTCCTAGGCTCGATCTGGCGGCGTGTTTTTCAGCTGAGCTGGTGGCCGGTTCCTTTGGTGACGGCACGGGATGTTTGTGAGACGAGTCAAAATTTTCATTTTGGTGGATACGAGACCCATCCGCCAGCTCGGGAGCTGAGGCTGTGGATTTTTTTACTTTCTTTTTTGGTAAGTATGGTTTGAGCGTGTATAGACCGACACCCTGCATCGGGTAGGGCAGTTAGGGTGTGCAGACAGAAGCAGTCCCTCGCTGATTTCCCCAGAAATTGAGCAGCCAGGGATAGACGAAAGGGCCAGCGAGCACATGGCCAAGAAGGAAGGAATCTTCAGCCAGCCCGGCCAGGAATGGCCAGTCTGGGCGCTGATAGGCTTTGCGTTGCTGAGCAGCGCGTAGTGTGAGCGACGGCGGCAAGGGAGCCCGGGCAACGGTGGGAGGGATGGGGGGCCGGCCATATCGTGGGCATTACAGCCCCTGTGGGAAGCGCGTGCGCAATAATCGAGACAGGCACTAGTTGCTCGTCGTCCATGCCAAGATCGGAGCTGGCAAGTCGGAGGTGACGAAAGGCAGGCAGGAGTTAGGGCTAACAAAGGTACTTGCGGCTGTACTATGGATAGGCAGGCCCGGCAGGTACCTCAATAGTACCGTGACCGTAGTACGACCATACCGGATCGTGACGATTGTCTGTAATCTGGAGATCCTCCCCACTCGGCGTTGCCATTGCAACAGCCATCCCTTCAGCTTCACGACCTCTTTTCTCTCTCGTGTTCTTCTCATTCTTCTCTTAACTATCCTCTTGCGGAGTTCAAGTGCCTCGTTCTTCCTCCACCTTTGTTCCTCCACCACCAATTCTCCGTCCCACCCACCTCCCCCTCGACCTCCCCGCCGCCTTCCTAGCTCTCGGCCCCCGCGAGAGTGAGCACCTGAGGAACTCGACCTTCCCCTCCTGTCATCATCCCTGTTCTCCCCCCGGACCTGGCGATGATCCTTTAGACTTCCCCTGGCGAGATCAAGACTCTTCGGTTGAAGGGTCTGGGACCTGGGTTCGTTTCTGGTCTGCCGGACGCCTTGGTGACGGAAGAATTCGGTATTGGGAGACCCGCGGACTTGTAGAACAGCGTTGGCTTGGTCACTGGGGAGCGGTGATTCGCCCCCAACTGTGTCTCCGATATCATCATGGAGCACTCGTCTCCGTTGGCGGCCATGCAGCCTCCCTCGGTCATGTTTGGACACTGCTTTCGCACCGATAGTCCCACCTCGTACCCGTCGTTGGGGGGATTCGGCGCCAATAGCTTCAACTTCAAGGACCTGTCCATGAAGAAGTCTGGCCCGGATTACTTCAACATGAAGCCCATTCGGGGGTCTTCCCCGACGGCGAGTTTGGCGGCGGACTTGTCCCAGAACTTCCACATTGATCAAAGGTGCGTGTGGCTGCCTTTGTTCCGTTTGATCGGGCAGACAATGGCTGATACTATCTCTAGCCCTCAATTGGCAACGCCACGACGGTCTTTGTTCACGTCAAGTATGCTTGGACAAGCCAATGGATGGGGTAAGCACGTTTCTTTGATATGACTGCTAGGCAGCACATTGATTGAGGATCATAAGTAGACAATGTCATGACCACTCCTCCGCTGCCATCTTCATCCCCGGCCCCCGCTATGGACGTGATGGAAATGTCTCCGTTGCCGCACAAACCTGCCTACATCATCACCACGGAGGTCGGACTGCAGTCGCCTACTCCGGAGGGCACCCCCATGGAGTCACCGGTAACTTCGGCTGTGCCGAGTTCTTTGCAGGAATCGCCTATGGAAGCTCTGGAGCCTTTCGAGTAAGACATGCCGTTGATTACGAGGGGTTCCTTGGTCTAACTGTGAATAACCTACAGGCGAAAGCGTCCTACCTTCCCTCGGCCCAGTCTCGCCAAAAGCAAGGCCCAATCCTTCCAGCTGGGGATGAATCAGCCTTCGCCCGAGAGCAAGGCGCCCCCATTTCGATTTGGCACCGCGGCAGGCAAGACGTCGTTGAGCACGTCGACTTCGCTGGAGGACATGTTTGGTGACTCGCCTCCCCATGAACGACCGGCTTCTCGCAACCAGCCGTCCACCCATCTGGCACCTCCACGGCTTCGGCCACCATTTCACCATGCTCGTAGCAGTGGCTCCCCGGCCCCCAACTCCATCCGTAAACCTTCACACCCCTTGATGCGACCCCGCAAGCAGTGCCGGCGCTCGTTGAGCATGTTCGAGCACCCTGCGGACGTCATGGCAGAAAAACAGGCCAAGGTACCTACAAATGCACCCCTTCAGTCCATCAGTGACATCCAGAGTTCGCCCAGCTGCAAGCTGCCATGCTTCATCCCTGAGGATAAGGCGGACTCTCTGCCTCGCATTGAAAAAAGTGTTCTGTTGGAGGTTATGGATGGAAAATTCAACGACCAATTCGACCAGATCATGGTTATTGACTGTCGGTTTGAGTACGAATATGAGGGTGGCCACATCAATGGAGCCTTGAACTACAACGACAAGGAGAAGCTGGCCAGCGAGCTTTTCCAAGCCGCCAAGCCGCGGACGGCTTTGATCCTGCACTGCGAGTACTCGGCGCATCGGGCACCCATCATGGCCAAGTTCATCCGTCACCATGACCGGGCCGTCAACGTGGACTCGTACCCGCACCTCACTTACCCGGATCTGTACATCTTGGATGGTGGCTACAGCGCGTTCTTTGCCGAGCACCGTGCTCTGTGCTTCCCTCAGAACTACGTTGAGATGAGCGCCAAGGAGCACGAATTCGCGTGCGAACGTGGTCTGGGCAAGGTCAAGCAAAGGTCCAAGCTGAACCGCGCCCAGACATTCGCCTTTGGCCAGCACTCCCCTCAGATGGAGGATAGCCCGACTGGCCGCTGCCGGCTCGGCAGTAATGAGCGGAATCGCTTCTTGGACTCTCCCTTTTCCGCAAGTCCTGTTCCCACTCGGTCTCCAGGCCGCCGGATGTTGTCTTATTAAATGGATGCTCTGGTGACGTTGCTCTATGGCGCCTCGGAATCATTTTTTATCATGTTTTTGGAGCGGGTGTTTTGATTGTGGCATTTCCCCCTTGCCTTTCTGGTGGATGTTTGATGCATTCGCATTTTCTTTTTTTTTTCGCTTGTCATTCTAGACGAATTGACGCCCCCAACCATTGGGAGTGATTGTCTTTAGCGTTAGCGCCGGCTTGCCCGCTGCGCCCATGTCGCCTGGAGCTGCTCAGCGCGTGAAGTGCTCGCGCTTGGACTGACAGTGTCATGTCTTTTCCGATCTCTTTTGATATCCGACTCTGATATCGTTCGTTCTTTGACGACTTTTCTCTCATGCCGAGTACCAACGATCCGTTGACTCGATTGGGCCTGTGCCTTGTTTTTTCTTGACTTCTCTTCGCGTGGTGGCCACCATCACCTGGCCCACATGTCATTTGAATGACCGACACTGGGATACACCCTTTGATGACCCAGTTTCCGACCCGAGACTGTTTTCGTTTCCTATGTCTACGACCTTGTTTGATTTCGATTCCAAAACCCGCATGATTTTTGGGCTTAATACCCAGCGGCTTCTCTTTTTTCTTCTCTTCTGGGCTTCGCCACGACCGATCCGCCCACGATGATTTCGATTAACCCCCCACATTCTGCCCCAACCATCTGGCATCTTCCTTTTCTCTCACTCCAACCACTGATTTTCGCATTTACCGCCCTTTAATCCCGCCGTTGTCGCCCTTTTCTGTACAGACCAAGTTACCCTGTCGCGCTCTACTGTTTCACGCGGGGAACTACTACCATCACCAGCATGCTGCATTTGTCGCCTGTCGACGTTAATGTTTGATTTGGACACTGGAGTCATTGTCGCATCGGGCCCGGAGGATGTAATTTGCATGCATCGCGACGGACATTGCAGCTGTACATAACCACACACGAAGAAAGGGAGTTAGTTTAATGGGCTGAGCTGGACGGAGTGCAGATACGCTTCCCTTTGTGAGCAGAATGATACTTTATTCTATCCAGTCTAGTCCCTCGTATTCTCCTCCTCGTATAGTTCTCACTGTCCAGCCGAAATGATGATGGACACGACACGTGACCCAACACCCCTGATAGGCTCAGTGTGCTGAAGCCCCCTCTGTGTTTCAGCTTTTTTTCTCTCCTGTCAACTCCCCCGTCGCAGTAGGGCTGGCCTGATCCTGTTTGCCTGTCTGCCTGATTTATTTGTGGTTCTTTGTCTCTCGTTCTCTCGCTGTTGTTATTTCTGGCAACAGGCACTGCCTCGCTTTCCGACTCAGCCTTCCTTGAGCGGCTATCCTGCTGCCTGAGTCCGGCCCCTCGTTTCCGCCCAGCCTATCGGGATAAGCCGATATCCTGATACCTGTACTTCTTTCGTTGGACCTCACTTGTCGCGCACTTTTTCAGTCGTTCATATTCTCCAGGATATTCCTACTGTACACTCGTTTCTGCCACGTCCCCGCGCCTGCTGGATTGGTACGGGAAAAACCAGAACTTGTGGCGATCGTGAGGAAGGGATGTGAACCCCGGTGTCGCAAACCCTCTACAAATCTCTGCATAAAATCTACACCTCCAATCTATCTGCCACAATGAGTCCAACACTTCGGCCATTATGGGCCCGCGATATTTCCAGCGACTTCTCCTCCGTGTCTAGCTGGGACACGTGCATGTCCAAGACCTACTGCAAGTGGCCCGTCATCGTGGGCATCATCGTCGGCTCGGTGATTATTCTGTGCATCCTGGCCTGCGTGATCAATTGTCTCTGCTGTGGCTACCGATGCTGCACCGCCTGCTGCGGCTGCTGCTGTCCCTCCGGCCGGCGCAGAAACAAGCAGCCCAAATACTACGACGAGCCTCCGCTGCATCAGCCTCCGCTGCCGAGCGCAAACCCGACCTACCAGCCCTCTCCTGCCCCGCCTGCATACCGCGGCCAGGTGCAGACTGCGCGGTTTGATAGTTCCAAGCCGTCTGCGAGGGTCAACGAGGATTCTCTGCCCGCCATGCCGACCTGGGACAGCGCTGTCGAGAAGCACGTGGAGGACCCCAACGCCCACGCCGATGAGGTCGAGATGGAGCCATTGAACCCGCAGGGCCACGGTCCGGACCGCAAGGGTTCGGTGTCGCCTGGTGTCGCGTACGCGGATTTCCCGCCTCCCCTCGCCGCCAACCAAGGCGAGTCGTCTGCATACAGAGGATACGGCCCCAATGACCCCTACGGTCGCCGCTCGCCTGGACCCGCAGCTGCATTTGGCGGCCAGCAAGATCCCTACGGCCGTCGCTCGCCGGGAGTCATGTCTCCCCCCGCAGCCGTCGACCCGTACGGACGCCGCTCGCCCGGCTCGAATGCCGCATTCCCCGGACAGCAAGATCCCTATAGACGCCCCTCACCGGGCCCCAATGCCGCCTTCGGAGGACAGCAAGATCCTTACAGACGTGCCTCGCCAGGCCCGAATGCCGCCTTTGGTGGACAACAAGATCCCTACGGACCCCGGTCCCCCGGTGGCATGTCATCACCGGTTAATGGCGCCATGCCTCACAACCCTTACGACACCCAGCAGCAGCAACAGCAGTCGTACCACAACCAGCCGTACGACGATTATAATAACGGCGGTAATGACGGCCAATTTCACGCCATGACGGCCCCCCACGCCGTGACAGCCCCCCACGCCGTGACCTCCCCTTCGCCCGTGGGCGCCTACAAACCACCAACAACCTACAGCCCCGTGCCAATGGCCTTCTCGCCCTCCTCGGAGATGGGCGGCCCGGGACACACGGCGCCCCCCTCCATCGGCGGCGCGAGCCAGTACCCGCCCACCTATACCTCCCAGCCAGCAGCTCCGTACAGAGGCATGTCACCCAACCTCCCTTCGCCTTCGCCGCCCCCGGCCGGTCCCCTGCCCTCTCCGCCAACTCAGCAGTACACGGCGTATAATGCCTCCTCGACCGAGACCCCACCGAACAGAACCCCGACTGTGCTGCAGAGTGGCCGGAATGCTGCGCCGGGCTCATACCGCAATGTCTAACCTGAGATGTTTATTTCGGTTGAAATTCATGAGGGGTCCTTCGGACAAAGAGAGTAGTTTTATTTTTATTTCTGATACCATGACTTGACTTACTTTTTTGGCTGTCACTTTCTTGCCGTTTACTTTCTGTGTACCTGTTACCATACATACTATCATATCCTAGGCGCAGCTGGACTTTACTTGAGCAACTCACTTATTATTCATGCACTTGCGCCTTTGGTTCGGTTCTGTGATGATTCCCGTCTGATGATGATCTATTTGCCTTGTCCTTGTGTATAGTTCAATGGATTGATTGGGATGTATTATTGGACTCTGCTGCACTCATTGATTTTCTTAGTCTTTCTTGATAGGACTGAAAATTGACTTGGCATGAATAGTGCCTTGCTTCCGTAAGTGGCCTTCGTAGACCTGGTTATGCGCATTAGATTTTGTTTGTATAGCTATACCTAAGCTAGAGGTATTTTGTGAGGCGCCATTATCATCTCATTTCATCTCACCTCTCTCTCTCTTTTCTCACACATCCATCGACTATCCAGAACCACGATCTAGTCCTCCCAAACTTGACCATTGACCAAATGACACTCATTCACTCCTCCAATGAGAAATCATACTTCTTGAACGACTCCTTGAAAACATTCGCATCCGTCTCCTCTTGCTCAACAGACTGCACGTCATCGCGCCAATCCATCCGCTTCTCCAACTCAAGCAACTTAGCCATAACGCGGCGACCGAATTGGACATCGAAGCGTGTTTCCGGCGTCAATGGAAGGAGAAGAGTCTTTTCTGAACCGGCTGATGACGATGGCTCTTTTGATTCTTCTGCAGAAGAGGAGGAGGGAGAAGACGGACTCCAGATGCGGACGCGGAAGAAGTCGCCCGGTTCGTTTTCGGGAGCATCCGCGGACGCCTGGCCTTCGAAGCGTGGATAGCTTAGATTCTCGGCTTCGACTTTGAAGGCAGCTTCCACGAGTCCCCGGTGGATTAGGTCCGCGGGCACGGGCATCCATTGCCAGTGTACGTGGATGCCGTGAGCGCGGCTGACTTCCCAGGTGACGGCGCCCAGGGAGCGGTCGGAGCGGTCGGAGACCATGGTGTGTAATGCGGTGCGGTAGCGCTGCATTTCGGAGTAGGTGTTGGAGCGGGACTCTGGGTCTGGGATGAGACCCAGGGTGGGCGTGTGCGTGAACGGGATGATGAGCATGTGGCCTGGGAAGCCCAGAGATGGGAAAGTTTTGAGAGTAGGGAGGGGGCCCTTGGCCGTTGTGAGGTAGCTTTCGTTGCCGATGGAGGTGATGAGGTGGGTTGCGATGCTGGGGTTGGAGAGGCAGAAGAAACACTGGTCTGGGCCGGGGGGTGGCTGTCGCTGCTGTCGTTTGCGGGGATGTCTGTTTTGATGCCGGCCATCTTCGGACGCGGCGAAGCGCTGGAATGACTCGTGCTGGTGTGGGAGTTGTTTGCGCTTGGTTTGCGCAGCTGGTAGAGGCGAGGCCGTTGCTCCCGTGGGAACGGTGAATGCCGGTGCAGCTTTGGGATCTAAGGTGAAGGCGTACATCCACTTTTGCTTCGAGGCATATGAGGCCATTCCGATGAAGCGGGTGAGTGGTTTGGCGTCGGGTTCATCTTCTGTCGGCATGTGGAAGAACGGTTCTCGCTCGTAGAAGAAGCCGTCTGTTGGGGAGAGGTGGTAGCGGGGTTTCAGAGTTGAACAAACATCCGCCACGCATTGGACTTCAGTTGGTAAGGCGCTCTTGTCCTCGGGGACGGCGACCTTGGAGCCCGCGCGGATGCCCTTGGGCCATTGATTTGTGACCAGGATGTCCGCGCTATGCGTACCGAAGAGAGCGCGCGCATCCGCTTCACCGTACGTGGGCTGGAATTTGCCGCTCGCATTGCTCTGCGGCTTGGTGTGAGCTTCTGTTTCTTCGAATCTGCCACCCAGTGCCGCAATCCGCACTCCCTCGGAGGTTTTGAGAACCCCGCGCTTGCCCAGGAAGTACAAGTTCGGGCACACCTCGTCATGCGCCTCGATCTGCTCGACTATCCGGGTGGGTAGTGCTCGATTTCCTAATGTGAAGTAGGTGGGGAGGGGTACGCTGATGTTGCCATGGAGTAAAGCGGTAATCTCGTCGAGCTCATTCTCTGTTGAGCAATCGCCGAACAGGTCGCCGACGACGATGGCGAACGAGAAGTTCTGCTTCAAGTGGAGTTTGGCGAGCTTGGTGAATACTGCGCGCAAGTGGCAGTCCGCGCTCCCAATAACCACACTGTGACTCAAATTAGCATTCGCAGGGGAGATTTGAAAGCACTGGGGGGACGTACATCTTGCACGACATGATCGATGGCTGAGATTCAATGGTCTCTTGCAGCCGATCACGAGATTCATATTCTCGAGGAGCTTGGGCCATTATCTGCACGTGACAGCACTAGCCATATATGGACTAGCGCCAACTGATATCGGAGCAACGTATGTCCGGTCAACTTTTTTGTATAGCGGGAGCCATTTGAAAAAGAGCAACACCTTCTTGCCCTCGGTGCTGCGCGTATATCCCACCATGGTAGCGCCAGGTATGCGGGTTAAGCCCGTCAGGCGCCTGAAGAAGGGCACCGAAACTACCAAATCTCATCGATTTGAGGGCTTTTCACAGCGCATCGCAAAGCTCAAGATCGACCCGATTCACCGCGTGCGCCGCGCCAGCTTCGGCGACGACGATGAAGAGACCTCCTCCTATTTCCGGTCGGCGCTCGACCACTGGGCGGAAATGAACTTGTCCGACAACTTCACCCAGTTCACACGCCGCGTCAACCCCCTCTCTGAAAGCCTTGCGCAGATCGTTCACCACGAAGAGAAAATTATGGGCCTGCTGGTGGAATATATCGAGAAGAGGGACCAGCTTTGCATGGAGCCACTGTTGAGTCTGCTCGCGCAGTTTGCCAGAGACCTTGGCGTTCGGTTCGAAAAACATTTCGCCGCGGCCGTGACTCTGGTGGCGTCCGTTGCAGCGACGCACCAGGACATTGAGGTGGTGGAGTGGAGTTTCAGTTGCCTGGCATGGATTTTCAAGTTTCTCTCACGCTTGTTGGTTCCCGACCTACGGCAACTGCTGGGGATAATGACTCCTTATCTGGGCAAGGAGCGCCAGAAGCCGTTCGTGGCTCGCTTTGCGGCCGAATCGATGTCCTTTCTCATTCGGAAAGCCGGCCTTGTTTACTACAAGAACAAAGCGCCCCTCGAAAATGCCGTGACTTTCCTCTTTGACGATATCTCGAAAGCGGCCGACGATTCCAAAAATGTTGAGGACTACCGGGAAGGCTTGATGGCTATGTTCGCCGATGCCATGAAGGGTGTCAACAATGGCCTTCACTCCAATGCGACCGATATCCTTCGTTGCATTTTGGACAAGCTTCCGCCTACCAAGGAGCAGCATAGGGAACCCGCAGAAGTTGCGTATGGGGTGGTGATCGGCATCATTCACCACACTACTCCCGACACGTTTGGGCCTGTTCTCGACACGATTACAGCCTATATTGCTGGTCGTTCCAAGGGCGGCAAGAATCCCAATCTTCCAGAGTGCTGCCGCTTGGTTTTCTTGTGCGTGGCAACTCGAAAGGGAGTCAGAGTAAAGGACTGGAAGTCCGTCCACGAGGTTTTGGTGTCCCTGCTCCAACAGGTGTCGGCGTCGACTGAAACACACCCCGACACGATCCCCGGAATACTCGCGACTGTTGCATATGCATTGCAATTGTCCCCGATGGACGAGATGCTGCCATTTTTGCGTTCTCTCATGGACCTGGTGTCCACCGGCCCGCTCTCGGCATACTTCTTGTTCTTTTGCAACACTTTCTCGGAGTGGGGGTCGGAGCGGTTTCAGAGCCTTCTTCTGCCGTATTTCCAGAAGTTCATAAATTCGTCGTGGCAATTAAGAGAGTGGGAAACATGCCTGACCCTGCTTCGTTTGAGCCAGACTGGTTGCATCACCTCCGAAGCCTCGAAACCTGGGTACATTTCGTGCCCGAATGCCTTGAAGGGTCATGTTCAGGACTCGCTGGATTACCCAGTTACAAACGATTTCGTTCTGAATGCCTTTGTGAAGCTTCCAAAGTCTATCGGCTTATTCACAGACTCAGCTGCTTCGTCTGCAATGGTACACAAGTTGCATCACAATGTTTCTTCTGCTTTCCAAGACGCTGCTTCCAGTAAAGAGACCAACGGTTTGATATTCTACGTTGGTCAGGGATTCAAAACTTATGTTGAACTCGCTACGCAATCAGGCCAACTGGACTCGAGTCTTTGGGGGTCGATCCTCACCACTGCCGTGACCTTTTCCCGTCTCCCTCTGTTTCTGGAGGGTGTGCTGGCATTCATCTCTTCTTGCCCGGAATCCACCAACCTGGAGAATTCCATGCTCGATGACTTCGCCCACAAGTTGATAGTCAACCTGGCCAGCCCATCGCATAGGCTGAGGCTGGTCTCTCTCCAAATATTGCGCAAGTTAATAAGCCGTGTCGTCAAGGAAGATGCATCTCCCATCGATCTGGCTATTGAGATTGAAGAGAGTCCGCTTACCCTGCAGAGCGCCAGAACCATTTCCATGCATATCCGGAAACTCGCACTCCTTTATCCGCAGATTGCCTCTCGCAAGTGGATGGCCCGTCTGATTCCTTACTTTTGTTTCGGCCTCTTCTCCAAGAAATTGGGACCATTGTGGGACGACTCTGCTGCCGCCTTGAAGACCATCAGTGAACACGCAGAGGGTGAGAAGATCGTCTCAGACTTATCCATCCAGTGGCTTCAGGAGCGGGACTCTGGCGCAACGAGTGACAAGACGGACGGTAACGAGAATACCTTCGTCTCTAGTCACTTCCAATGCCACAATGTCGTCCAGGTTGAAAAAACCTTTTCTACCAACCTCAAGGCAACTAAAGATCCCCAGGGCCTCTTGTCGGAACAGTTCAAGCAAGAACACTGTCTTGCAGATTTGCTTCCCGCTTCGCCTCGTTCTCATGCGTTGCGTGTTCTCATCGCCGCTCCGAGCGTGGCTGAGAAGCGATCCCGCCAAATTGTGCCCCTGTTCTTGTCGTGGGCATTGCGTGATGACCAGGATGACGTCCCGCCCATTGGTGAAGACGCCGATTCAGATAACGCTCCAATCCGATGGGGTTTCCGTGATCGAGTGGCGATGCTTACTTTGTTCGGGCAATTCCTGAACCCTAAAGTTTTGTACAAAGCCTCCGAGGTTCACGACGCTGTGCTGGAGCTCCTGTGTCATGGAAACTCGGAGACCCAGAAAGCTGCGCTCAAGGCACTTTTCACCTGGAAATCACCCCATATCCTACCATATCAGGAGAATCTTCTCAACATTCTGGATGAAGCCAGATTTAAGGATGAACTTGCGGTCTTCGTGCGTGTCGGCGAAGACAGTCTAATCGAACAAGAACACCGGCCCATTCTGCTGCCTGTACTTCTTCGCCTTCTGTACGGCCGGATGATTTCAAAAGCGAGTGCGGGTCAAGCTGGCCAATCTGGAAGACGCAAGGCAATTCTTCGGACTTTATCGCACCTTTCTGAAGAGGAGTTTGGCCTTTTCATGCGACTCTCCTTTGGCCCTCTCGCGGATGTCCATGTCGTCAAGGATGGCAAGACTGACTTGAGTGTCTTCTCAGAGGAACTGACTAGCCCTCGAAGGCAATTGGGTCTGCTCAAGATGATTGATACGGTCTTTGATACCCTCCAGACCCGCATGATACCTTATGCGCCACAGACGATGCATGTTATTGTCTATTGTCTGGTGCGAGCATGCCGAGCAATTTACGATGAGAACAGCTCGCTTTATGTGGATCGTCAAGACGAACGTCTTTTGACCGTCTACCAGAGCATTCGCCAGACCTGTATCCGCTGTCTCAACCTGGTCTTCTCCATTACGACCGAGCGGGACTGGACACCCTTCGTTCGTATCCTTTTTGACGAGATGATCAGCGACAGACTCGATCAATTCCCAATTGAGACAGCTCAAGGTGTATCAGGGCTTCATCGACTGTTCCATACCTGGGCTTCTGCTCCGAGGTCTGCCTGGTACCTGGTGCAACACAACAACCAGGTCTTGACTAAGGTGATCGACTGCCTTGGAGTTGAGTCTGCTCGCGACGAAGTCAAAATTTACGTCCTGGATGAAATCCTCGTGCCTTTGGTCGACCTGTCTACCGGCAAGAAGTTGGAAGAAGAGGAGGAGATGCCTGACTTCTCACCCGAACAGATTCGATCTGAAGTTCTCTCTCCTTACTTGGAAAATGCCCTCTCCCACCTTGGTCGTGTGCTCAAGAGAGGTCCCTCGAAGCCTGTTCTGTTTGCCGGAGTCAATGCCTTGTCTCTGATCGCACCATGCGTTGAGTCTTCTGGAGAGACGTCCAGCTTGATCAGCATAGCGACGTATCTACTTCGACAGCCTCCAGACCGTGTCAGCCCAAGGACTAAATCTGGTCTGCTACGGATTCTCGAACACTTCTTGCCTTTATACAAGCCGGAAGAGGATGCCCAGCTTTCTCAACAGGTCTTCGAAGCAGTATCTTCTATGTTCGACTATTTCAAGGACGACGCAAACAGAGAGGTGCTCGCAAGGGTCTTCTCTGCTCTTGCCACCCACGACCAACAGCTGGCAGAAGTTGCTGAACTGTGCGCCGATCTGAACTCTCGTTCCAGCAAGAAGCTTGAGCCCGACTATGAGCGGCGCTTGCAGGCCTTCACAAAAATCAACGAAGATCTGGCTCAAACATTTAGTGCCAAGCAGTGGCGGCCTCTTTTGTACAACATGCTCTTCCATGTCAAAGATGAAGAGGAGCTTGCTGTCAGATCCAGCGCCTCTTTCAGCCTGAAACGCTTTATTGATAAGGCAGCCACCGAAACAGAGTCTGAAGACTTTGAGGCCCTTGTGAATAACGTCTTCCTTCCTTCACTGCAGTACGGCCTGCGGCAAAATCCGAGCTTATTCGCTCCGAGTTCGTCTCTGTTCTGGGGTACTTTGTCAAATCGAACCCTACCAGGCCGTCCGTCCAGGATATGCATGTGCTGCTTGTCGGCGATGATGATGAAGCCTCTTTCTTCAATAACATTCTACACATTCAGCAGCATCGTCGACTCCGAGCTTTGCGGCGTCTCGCTGGTGAGGTCGCCAAAGGAGAGATTCAGTCTGCCAACTTGGGCTCCATTTTTGTTCCCCTAGTTGAACATTTTGTATTTGATGAGGCCGAGGACGAGAACGCTCACAACTTGATTGCTGAAGCCGTTGCCACAATTGGTGCCCTTGCAGAATGGCTGGATTGGAACCAGTTCCGGGCCAATTTCCGGAGGTATCGCAGTTACATGCAGAGCAAGCCCGAAATGGAGAAGAACATTCTCAGACTTCTGGGTCGGATGTCTGACGCGTTATCCAGCGCGATGGATCGAAAGAAGGCGGCCGAGCCCCAGGCCGAAGGCGATGACACTGACGAGATGGAGATTTCCACGCCGGCCATGTGCACCCTTGCCAGAACCATTCCATCCTTCACAAAGGTCACGACGGAGCTGACCACCAACTTCATCCCTTTCCTGACCAGCTTCATCCATCACAAGCAGGAGACGGAAATGAGCTTGCGTTTGCCTGCTGCAGTCACCACAATCAAGCTGCTCAAGATTCTGCCCGAGGCAGATATGACTATTCGCCTGCCTCCTGTCCTCCTGGATGTTTGCAGTATCCTCAAAAGTCGAGCACAAGACTCGCGAGACACGGCACGAAAGACACTCAACGACGTTGCCATCCTGCTGGGCCCGGAATACTTCGGCTACATCCTGAAAGAACTGCGGAATACTCTTGCTCGTGGGTACCAGCTTCATGTTCTGTCTTTTACGGTCCACTCCATGCTTGTAGTGACTACCGATCACTTCAAGCAGGGTGACTTGGATTATTGCCTGGGAGATCTCGTCGCAGTCGTGATGGACGATATCTTCGGCACCGTCGGCCAGGAAAAGGACGCAGAAGGCTACGTCAGCAAGATGGTGGAAGTGAAGAGCAGCAAGAGTTTCGACTCTATGGAGCTTCTTGCCAAGAACGCCACTGTCCGACACCTAGCCAATCTCGTCCGACCACTGCAGGCACTTCTGCGGGAGAAGCTCAACTCGAACATTGTAAAGAAGCTCGATGAGCTTATGAGGCGAATTGGCATTGGTCTCCTGAGAAACCCTGGCGCCGAAAGCCGTGACCTGCTGATGTTCTGTTACGAAGTCATCAAGGAGTCCTACCGCGATCCTACTGCAAGTGACAGCCAGGCTAAGCCGAAGTCCGAGTCGGAGGAGCGGTTCTTGGTTAGACTGCAGGGAGCAAAGAGAGGCGAGAAACGAGGCACGACCTCTTCTCACGCGTACAAACTGACTCGATTCGGTCTCGATGTCCTGCGCGCGATCCTCAACAAGTACAATTCTCTGTTGGTGGCAACAAACCTGTCGGGTTTCATACCGATCATCGGCGATGCCCTTGTCCAGGCCCAGGAAGAAGTCAAAATTTCTGCTCTGCGGCTGTTGTCTACAATCATCAAGCTCCCGCTGCCCGAGATCGACCAGAACTCTCACGTTTATTTCACCGAGGCTGTGAAAATGGTTAAGGAGTCGCCCAGTACGAACACCGAAGCAGCGCAAGCCTCGCTGAAATTGATTTCGGCCATGTTGCGCGAACGAAAGGACACAAAGCTCCGAGATGGGCACCTTGCCTATCTTCTCCAGCGCCTGACATCGGACATTGAAGAACCAGACCGACAAGGTATAACCTTCAATTTCATTCGAGCCGTAATGTCTCGCAAGCTCGTCGTGCCGGAGATGTATGAACTCGTGGACAACATCGCAACCATGATGGTCACCAACCAGACTCGTTCTGCACGGGATCTCGCGCGAGGCGTTTATATTCACTTCCTGATCGAGTACCCGCAGGCCAAGAACCGGTGGACGAAACAGCTTGGTTTCCTTGCCAAGAACCTTGAGTACAAGCACCAGGAAGGGCGCCAGTCAGTTTTGGAGGCCATCAACTTGCTTCTTTCAAAGACCGGCCCAGAGCTGGCCCAGGATATCATCAGCACCTTCTTCCTGCCTATCGTGCTCGCCATGGCCAACGACGATTCTTCAGAATGCCGTGAGCTGGCAGGTGCATTGCTTGGTCAATTCTACAGCCGAGCAGATCGGGAGCAGATGAAGACTATTCTCACGCCGATCCGGTCATGGCTGGAGCAAACGGATAACCTAGCCCTGAACAATGTTGGTCTACAGGCCATGCGAGTTTACTTTGAAGTTGAAGAAACCGTCAAAGAGAAGGAAGCTCGCTTTGTCGTCGGCATCCTCCCGAACCTGATGCAGCCACTCCTCGAAGACCACGAATCAGGCAGCTGGGAGGCACTGTATTATGCCGCGCAGCTTTTCACGAAACTCTGCAAAACAGTCCCTGCGCTTGCCCTGAGCCCCGAGTGTGCATCTATTTGGGCCTTGGTCCGGGAATGTCTCTTCTTCCCTCACGCATGGGTCAAGACCTGTGCCGCGAATCTCATCGGCATGTGGCTGGCCGACATCGCCAAGACGAACGCAGCCGAGGGATACAGCGCAATTCCTCTAACGGGAAGTTCGGGCTTGGTTCTCGACAAAGATGCAATGCTCCAGCTGCTCCGTGGCAGTCTTCGCTGCCTACGCACGCCGGGTATCACCGAAGAGCTGGCGATGCAGAGCGTGCGCAATCTCGTCTTCCTAGGCCGATGCTGTGCACAGAACGGTCTAGAAATCCCCAAGACGGAAGCTGACAATGCCGACTCTGAAGCCGAGGAGGAAGATGCAGACGAGGGTGCCGATAGCGAAGCTGAGGATGGGGCACCAACCAACGGCGAGCACAATGATGCCTCAAGCAGTACCAGATCCGCCATTCACTACATTTTCCGCCAGATCTCCTCGCTCCTGCGCCGCGAAGTGATTTCTCGACGGCCAGACGCTCTCATCCCTAAAACCGCATCGATTGCTCTCCTCGCTGCGCTGGCCCGCCACCTTGACGCAGAGCACATCCGCCCGTCTCTCACCGTCATCTTACTTCCACTGCAGCATCTGACCGATTCATCCATTCCTGCTCCACGGTCATCAGACGAGTCCTTCCAGAACACGTACAAGGGTCTTGTTTCCAACTGCCATGAGGCCCTGGACCTGTTGCAGAAGAAGCTTGGCACGACCGAGTACATCGCTCAGATGTCCCGCGTGCAGGAAACTATCAAGGAGCGCCGTGAAGGAAGACGTGTCAAGCGACGCATTGAGGCTGTTGCTGATCCTGAGCGGTACGGTCGTGATAAGCAGAGGAGGAATGAACGGAAGAGGGACGTACGCCGCGAGAAGGGGCTGGAGCACCGAGGAAAGAGACGTGGATGGTAAAGGAAGAGCACGGGTTTTCCATATTATTTTATCTGGATGGCGTTTTGGTGGACAAAATTTATAGGTCATGTCAAACACTCATTGTATATAGTGACTGAAAGATCGATTTCGATGTCTATTGTACAAGTTTCCTTTCTAATGCTATTGTTACATATTATGTTTGGTCAAGACAAGGCAACGCTTGACCCAGATGGTACCCTTTTGTCTAACTCATCGATGCCACTGGATCCTGCCATGTCGAGAGTGGAGAGTAGTAACAAGCCCCGAGACAGAGTTGACCGGATCGACCGGCTGTGTCTGCTGCACCGGGACGAAACACCAAGATCTATATATACCAAGCACAGCACGGTCTTAAGACGACTTTGGCTCCTCCGAAGGCGTCTCCTGCTCCGACTCCAGAGGCTGCGGAATCCCCTCCTCGTCAACCCTCTTCACCGTCCCATCCTCCCAGAACTCCATATTGCCATCTGTATGGCCGCGCGTGACCACCTGGCCCCTCTGCTGCAAGAGATCTTCCAGTGTGGTGCTCTGATCAAAGAAGATGCCCAAGTGATCGCTGATAACGTGGCGCGAGTCGCATGAGGGACACTGGATGAGCACCGTGCCGCGGTGGTAGCCCTGCTTGGACATGCGGTGCGAGGAGCGGTGGCTGCATGGCTTGCAAGTAAACACGATGCGGTAGGCTTCTTCCTCCTTGCGGCGATCCTCGTTGTTCTTTTCACCCTCTTGATCTTGGGTTTCGGGGCGGTCGGTAAGAGGTTTTGATGGGGTGGTAGTTGAGTTTTGGCGGAGAGTTATTGAAGGTGTAAGGTTGCGCTGATAGAGGGTAGGGATTTGTGAACGAGAAGGAGCGAAAAGCTGTGTTGAGATAAGGCGCGAGGGCATGCGAGTGGTGTGTCGAGTAAAGACAGTGTGGGCAGGGCGCATGGCCTGCAATAGAGAGCGCATGGAGAGCATTGTGGATGGTAGAAGTAGGAGGTTGTAGAGTTGAGGCGGAAAGAGTGAAGAAAGACCAGCCGGGACGGAAAATGGGAAAGTCCGACTCCGCGGAGCTGTCCCTCTTGTTCATCCCACCAGAGGCTGCGGTCTTGCAAGCACCATGGCGACAATGAGAGCGCGGCACAAGATTCGAGCTCCTCGAAGGGTGCGTATTGCGTGAACAGTCACAATAGGCGTCGTGAGGCTAACGGATCGTCACCAGGGTTTCGCTTCTGCACAGAAAACAGACGATTTCGACTCCATTTGGACGGTGCTTTCCTCTTCACTCACCGAGATCAACACGAAAAATGCCTCGGCTCTCTCCTTCGAGGAGCTTTATCGGAATGCCTACAAGATCGTGTTGATGATGCGGGGCGAGGAGCTTTATGAGAAGGTCAAGACGCTTGAGCAAGAGTGGCTGCAAAATGAGGTCCAGAAACGGATCACCGGTTCAATATCCTCGAGTCTCATCCGGTCCCAGAAGTCGGTGGATGTACAGGATCAAGCAAATGAGCGGCGGGCGGCGGGGGAAAAGTTCCTGGCAGTGCTGAAGGGGGCCTGGGAGGATCACCAACTCTGTATGGGCATGATCACGGATGTTTTGATGTATATGGTAAGGCAAGTCAATCTTGGTGATGGTTTGGTTTGCTTACGCTTTATCATAGGACCGGATCGTCTCTGGAGACCACACGAAACCCTCGATTTATGTCGCAGCCATGGCGTTGTTCCGCGACCATGTGCTCCGGGCCGCTGTGTCCTCTGATACCCAGACGAGCGTCGCAAACGTGCTCGAGTCCACCGTTCTGTTTATGATCCAACTAGAACGGGCCGGCCATATGATCGAACGGCCACTCATCCGACACTGTATCCAAATGCTCGAAGGCCTCTACGAAACCATCACAGAGGAGGAAAGCTCAAAGCTTTACCTAACTATCTTCGAGCCGGCGTTTCTCGAAACGAGCAAAGAATTCTATCAAGCCGAGGGACAGCGCTTGCTCGAGATTGCCGACGCCACTACATTTTGCCGTCTCGCCTCGCAACGGATAGCTGAAGAGCAAGAGCGATGCCGGTACACATTATCAGCCATCACAGAACAAAAGATTTTGGACTTGGTGGATGAGGAGCTGATCCGCAAGAATATCGAGGAAGTCGTCAACCTGGAAGGGACGGGGGTCCGGCAAATGCTGGATCACAACCAAATCGACGGGTTGCGGAACGTCTACGAGCTCAATGCGAGAGTCGACAAGAAGAAGGAGGCTTTGACAAAACAAGTGTATAGGCGGATCGTGGAACTGGGGAGAGAAATCAACGCTTCCACGATCTTGGCAGTTCAGGCGCCGGCGCTGTCGACCGGTGAAAAGGATGCCGCTAGTGACGAGAAAAAGTCGGAGAAGGGCAAGGAGAAAGAAAAGCCTGCTGTGAACCAGCAAACTGTGATTGCTATTCGGTGGGTTGACGACATTCTGGCCCTTAAGCGCCAATTCGACAAGGTCTGGGAAAAAGCCTTCCTGTCCGACCAGGGTCTACAGAGTTCGATCATGACCAGCTTCTCCGAGTTCATCAATATGAATCCCCGTTGCTCGGAGTACCTCTCTCTTTTCTTCGACGAGAACCTGAAAAAGGGCATCAAGGGGAAGACTGAGAGCGAAGTGGATACACTCCTGGACAATGGCATCACGATGCTTCGATACATCAAGGACAAGGATCTGTTTGAAACTTACTATAAGAAACACTTGTCTCGCCGTCTCTTGATGAAGCGGTCTGCCAGCATGGACGCCGAGCGCCAGATGATCTCTAAGATGAAGATGGAAGTCGGCAACCAGTTCACACAGCGTATCGAAGCGATGTTCAAGGACATGACCATCTCCGGGGATTTGACCAACAGCTACAAGGAGCACATTGCGCGCAGCGGGGACCCAGACCAGAAGCGCGTGGATCTGGAGATTAATGTGCTCACCAGCACCATGTGGCCGATGGAGATCATGCCTGCCACCAAGGAGGGCACGGTGCAGCTGCCATGCATCTTCCCACGGGAGATCGATAGCCTCAAGCAGAGCTTCGAGAAATTCTATCTGGACAAACACAATGGGCGCAAGCTCTCCTGGCAGGCGAGCATGGGCACGGCGGATATCCGCGCCTCCTTCCAACGATCCAATGGCAAGGTGCAGCGCTACGAGCTCAATGTCTCCACCTACGCGCTGATCATTTTGATGTTGTTCAATGACGTGCCGGGCGGGGAGTCTCTCACCTACGAGGATATCCAGACCCAGACGCGCATTCCCGATCACGACCTCATCCGCAACCTGCAGTCCCTGGCCGTGGCGCCCAAGACACGGGTGCTGAAGAAAGAACCCATGAGCAAGGACGTCAAGCCCACGGACCGCTTCTTCTTCAACAACGACTTCCAAAGCCCCTTCGTCAAAGTCCGCATCGGCGTGGTCAGCGGCGGCGCCAACAAAGTGGAAAGCCTCGACCAGCGGAAGGAAACGGAGAAGAAGATGAACGACGAACGCGGCGGCAGCATTGAGGCTGCTATTGTCCGCATCATGAAGTAAGTTCTTTTCGGGCATTGAAAATCAAAACTAAACTAACACTTTTCCCTCTCCAGACAACGCAAAACCCTCATCCACTCCCAGCTCATGACAGAAGTGCTCTCCCAACTATCGTCCCGTTTCGTTCCGGATGTCAACATGGTCAAACGTCGTATCGAAAGTCTTATTGACCGCGAATACCTCGAGCGTGTGTCCGAGGAACCTCCTACATACGGATACGTTGCGTGAGCGAATCAAATATGGCACAAACAAACATCTATTCGGCGTCTTTTTTTGCATGGCCATGGCCATGGCCTCTTTATTTTTCTCCCGGTGTTATTCCTTCTGCTTAGCGCTTGGCGTCTTCCGGGTGGGTGGAGGCATGATGAATGAAATGTTCATAGAACGAATGCTCTTTATGACATGGTTTAGGATTGTGCATAAATGGTTCAAACAATGAAATCAGAATCAATCATAAATTCATCAAAATTATACTCCAGCTTCTATATTCCGTCATATAAACAGAAGTAATCAAGAACAACGCCTGCTAGATGTATCCCATCCCATGCCATCCAACCATGATCCATAAACAAAGATATCAAGATATCAAAGCAATTCCACCTCCCCCCGTTCCCACGCATCTTTAACACCCTCCCACCGCACAACCCACACATCGCCCATGCGCATCGTCACCCCAATATCAATCGCATCCTCCTCCCCCGCCGCCGCAATAACAACAGGAACCTCACCACCGAGACACCTGACAAAAACGACCTCCCTGTTATCAGGGCCCTGCACCATACTCGTCCCACCCGCATTATCATCCAACCGCCTCAGATTTTGTGGGAACGCACCCATAAACGAGCCGGCATAGTGCGACGCAAGCAGAGACTGGTGCGTGTGCAGGAACTGCGCCTCTGCCTCTGAGAGCGGGGAGAGGTCCGTTACGCTCGAGATGTCGGGAACCGAGTCTTCGGGTCTGGTGTTTGTTGTTGAGGTGTCGATGCTTGATTGGGAGGGTTGTGTTTCGGATTGTGTGGCGGAGGGTTTTGTGGAGCGGGAGGAGAGGAGCACGAGGTAGTGCATGCTGTGCTTTGAGAGTTTGGCGAGTCGTGTGCGGAGGACGCTGCGCAGAAGGAATTGCGTGCGCGCGAGGTCGGTTTGGAGAATTGAGAGGCGGAGGTTGAGTGTTGCGTTGTTGGATTTGGATGATGGGTCTGGCGCGTCGGAGGAGGACGCGGCAAGGTCTTCGATTGTTTCGATCTGCAGATATCTCGGTCAACATGGTGGATTTGGATACTGAGACAACGCGCGGTGTATATACCTGCCAGCGCACCCGGTCCATCATTCGCTCCATCAATGCTGTCGGCCACGGGAGGACCTCCGACACGGCGCGCTCGGCGACCCAGAACCGCGTTAGGAGCTGGTGGTCGATTGCGGTGGAGGCCGGGCTGGCGCCTGCGCCGCGGTCGACGGAGGCCAGGATGTCGTCAATGTCCATGGCCTTTGCAATTCGTCACTGCTCGAATGGTTCAGTTGGGACAACAGAGCTGAGGGCGGGGCGGAGGGCGGAGACGGAGGCTGATCTGCGTTGCCTGAGGCAGGACTAATTTTTTGATGATGATCTTGATGATCAGTTTCAGGGCGTGTCTCCTTGCTTGTTATAATTATTGTTCTTGACTGGAACATGTAGCTATTTTGGCAATAATTGTTGTAGCTGCAGGCTTTTATTATTCAATGATTGTGATAGTAATGTAGGAGTAGTTCATTAGTTAGATACAGTGCACAATACACGCGTAGAATCATTTCGCCCAAGATAAAAGATCTATGTCCGAGCCTTCTTTGCCCCGGGGGTCTGCGGGTTTGCGTGTTCGAAGATGGCTGGATCTGACACACACCAAGAAGATATCGTGGAGACCACCCCCTGTCAATCTGGAGATACCAGCCCAAGAAAATAATATTAACGCCGCCAATCCGTACCTTTCATTGCAATAATAGATCATGGTTCGTTTGTAAATGATCCTGATTATGCCTTACTCGGCGGCGGACCAGCAGGCGGCGAATAAGGCTGGTCAGAGCGGTTCGCGTAGGCATGCGGCGGCGACTGCAGCTCGATGCCCTGCTGCTGTTGTGTTGGCTGCGACCCGAAGTAGCCATAGTTCTGCGGGTTGGGCTCGTACTGCGGCGGTGGCGGACCGGTGGCTGGGTAGTAAGGGTCTCCGGCGCCGTAGTAGGGTTGCTGGTAGCCGGGCTGGTTGGGGGGAGGAGGGCCGGGGGGAGGAGCCATCCAGCCTGTACCGGCGTAGGGGCGCAGACCGTGTGTGCGGCGGCGACGGGCAGAGAAACACCTGAGAGAGAACGTCAATGGCCACACTCGAGCTGAGCAGCAAGAGGGATACTCACATGAAAATGAAGAAGATCAGGAACGCGACGCCGACGATGACGGCGAATGCGACCCAGCGGCCCCAGGAGTTCCAGGTTGAGTAGCAGTAGCCGTAGGCATCACTGTGGTGGTGGATAGACGGTCAGCGACGTCGAGGTTGGGGCCGAGAAGTTGCGGGCGTCTCCCTTGATCGGGGACGCACGCATTAGAGAATGGTACTTACCAGTATCGCTTGTCAATAACTGCCATGGTGGTGGATAGCTGCCGGATGCACTTCCCAGCTGATCACGACCGACGAAAATAAAAGCCCAGAGGAAAGAGGATGAGGAAGAGAAGAAGGCAGCAGAGAGGCTGGGGTAGTTGCCCGGTGGCTTGGCACTAGGCTGCACTGATGGGCACGTGATAGGATCTTGTACAGCCACTTTAAAAGTATGTGTTATAACCAATCACATTAGGAGGATGGACACTGCCACTGAACTCCTACGTAAGTGTCCTCGAATGCCGGCGGATCGGGATTGCCGGATCGCTGTGGATCTAGGCGGAGCCACAACGTTGCATCCTCCATAGTATACTCGATATCATGATCTTGCTCAGCAGCAACTGCTCCCCGAAAAAGTAATAGTAGTACATGTAGCTGACTACGCCGTAACTAATATGTGCAATTATATGGACGAAATGATCCTTCCAGGCCGTGGGCCTTGTCGCTATGGGCGTAGTCTCTCGAAACAGTGCACTGTTTTTTGCGCAATTCTATAGCGTTGTGGTATTTAGTCTCAATTTTCATGTCCATATACTATTCGAATCTGAGGCTCCAAGTTGGTTATCAAAATAGATGTGAGCTGTGCCAGGCTGCTTCGGAGGGCCAATGCTACACTTATACAAGAGGATCGAGGCCGTGACTTGAGCCCACGAGCCTTCTTTAGCCCTTTTTACTCCTATGTACATACCCTTGCGAACCCAACCGATGTCAGCGGTGACTACGTGCACAATGATCGATATCAATATCACTGGGTGAACGATATCTGACTGAAGCTTTAATAATCACTGGCCTAGCATACACCTTCAGACTGCTACAAGATCCACATAGCCGATAATTTGGGCTAGAGAAAATAATATACTCGCTAGATAATGTATATCCATGTTCAATCATTAAATGCACGCTTTTGTAGAAAAAATTCACTCCAGACCAGGAACTTTGAAGTCCTTCGCGGCCCACTTCTCTGTCACCTTCCGCTTGGCCTTGCGCGCCTGCGTCACTGGCTTGCGAGACTCGAGTTTGCCCTGCACAATCAGCGTGCGGAACCGGTCGTCCAGCAAGTTGCCCTCGGGTTTCAACAGACGCAACGAGTCCTGCAGTTCATCGGGCAGCACAAGCTCCAATGGTTTCTCCGGGGCGCTAAAGTATTCGTTAGTTTGATATACAGAAAAGAAAACACCGACAAAAAAGACTTACAGATTCTTCCCACCCAGAGGCTTCCGCCGCAGAGCAGTATCATCGCCCTCCTCGGAGTCATCGGCATCCGACTGGTCTTGAATCTGACGCTCCAGCTCTTGCTGCTGGGTCCGCTCAGCAAGTTCCCGCACTTGCTCAAGCTGCGCCTCTTTCTTTTTCAGCTTAGCCTCCCACTTGGCCTGCCGTTCGGCCTCCTTGCGCCGGTTGATCTTGTTGCGTTGCGTCTTGGTCTTTCTCTCGGGCCGCTTCTTGTTTAACCATTCGGGTTTCTCGTACTCGCTTTCAAACCCTTCCCATGCGCTCTCGTCATCCGACTTGACTTCGCCGTCATCCTCATTGGCCTTGGCACGCAGGAGTTCTTTCTCCTGCTCTTTCCGCTCCTCTTCCAGGCGTTTCTTCTCTGCCTCCACGGCCTGCTTGCCGTGTTCCTCGATCAGATTATCCCACTCTTCAAACACAGGGTTGTAGCTGGTCCCGCCATGCGGCATCCGAACCGACGGTACCGACTTCCCATTTGCTGCAAGGGAAATCGGTGCTTGTTTTAATGTAGACGGCGCAACTTTCGGTTTCGGCTTCTCCAAGAAATCAAATCGAGGATCTTCGACGGGTGCTGATTGATCTTCTTCGTCCTCCCAGGGATCGTAGATCTCATCGCCCGCGGTCTTGGTGGCAGGGTTTGCATCCTTAGCAACCTGCTTCAAACGGAGCAATTCCTTGCGGCTGACCCAGTCGCTCTTATGCTTCTTGGTCTTCGGCTCAATGACCCCATCAGTCACATTGGGATTCACACGTTTGCGTGAGTCCAGTGCTGGGATTGCTGAGCGCTGGGCTAGGATCTCGTCGGCCTTGAGTGCCTTGTGTTTCTTTGCATAGGATTTCCGCACATTCTCGTCACCCTTGGTGTCGATGGTGAACAGTTCTTCCGAAGGCTTTTCCGCGAGGACGCCACTAATCCCCCCAAGTCAGAACTAAATTCGCGCAGTAGTGACGAAAGTAGGACTTACCCTTTGATCTCTTCATCTTTCAGGAGACGCAGACCCTCCTGCACTTCGGTAACGTCGACATTCTTGCGCCAGGCCTTCTTACCCTTGCGCGAGGGCTGCTTGTACTGCTGGGGGGCAGCCAGTGAAGTCGACATGGTTGACTGGCAATACGTGAACTTTTCTTATCGCAAATTCCAAAAATTAGAAAAAATTCGGGATCTGCTGACATAAGCACCCGCGGGGGCGCCAAACGCGGCAAAGTCACGCTTTGCGAACTCATTTTCGACTCGCTTTCTGCCTCATCATCGATCACGTCGATTTGCTGCGCGCACATCTCCCGGGGCTGTCACGTTACCCCATCGTCCTTGGTCATTATTCTGTGCTCAAGAGATTCGACAGCCCGCTGAGTGCAGTCGCGCGTCATGCCTGTCGTTAAAGGAGGTGTCTGGTAAGAATCTCCCGATGGATTACTAGCCTCCATGGCACTGCTGCTAACACGCTTCCAGGACCAACATTGAAGATGAGGTGCTTCGGGCAGCTGTAAGCTTTTACCCAAATCGATAATCATATTTGACGAATGAATCAGTGCTAACCTCATGCGCTTACAGGTCTCCAAATACGGTCTCAACCAATGGGCCCGAGTATCCTCCCTTCTCGCCCGGAAGACACCGAAGCAATGCAAGGCACGCTGGGTGGAATGGCTGGATCCCGGCATCCGCAAGGTCGAATGGTCGCGCGAGGAGGATGAGAAGCTCTTGCATCTGGCCAAGTTGATGCCCACGCAATGGCGCACCATCGCCCCCATTGTCGGCCGCACCGCAACACAGTGTCTTGAACGCTACCAAAAACTTCTTGATGAGGCGGAATCCCGTGAAAATGACGACTTGGGCCTGGGCGGGCCGGGCGATGAGTCGGCAGCCCCCAGTGCGGACGATGTTCGCCGCCTACGGTATGCTTTTTTAATCAAATTCTTTTGGATCAAGCTAACTAGTGTCTTTCAGTCCTGGAGAACTCGACCCAGATCCCGAATCCAAGCCAGCCCGTCCTGATACGATCGACCTGGATGAAGATGAGAAGGAAATGCTGAGCGAAGCACGAGCTCGTCTTGCCAACACACAGGGAAAGAAGGCGAAGCGGAAAGCACGGGAGCGCCAACTAGAGGAATCTCGCCGCCTAGCCGTCCTGCAAAAGCGTCGTGAGCTCAAGCATGCCGGAATCAACGTCAAGGTTGTGACACGGAAGCCTGGCCAAATGGATTACAACGCCGATATTCCATTCGAGAAGCCCGCTGCTCCGGGATTCTACGATACCATGGAAGAGAAAGAACGCAACGAGCGCCAGCGTGAAATGTTCGATCCGCGGAAGCAGCAGCTGGCCAACAAGCGCAAGGGTGATCAAGATGACGACGCGGAGAGAAAGAAGCAAAAGAACGACAAGAACAGCAACGCTGCTGCCTCTGCGGCCGCAGCGCGGGCTGGTCAAATGCAGAAAATCCGTGAAGCTGAACAGAGCAGCAAACGCCGAGCTCTCGTCCTTCCAACACCGCAGGTCAGCGAAGGTGAGATGGAGGATATTATTAAAATGGGAATGGCTGGGGATAAGGCTAGCCGGATGAGTGCCGATGAAGAAGGGACGCGCGGGCTGATTGGGAACTATGGGTCCATTGTTGGAGGAACACCGATCCGAACTCCACGGGCTGCTCCGGAGGAGGATCACATCGCCAATGAAATTAAGAACATTCGCGCGTTGACTGAGACGCAGTCGTCCCTTCTTGGAGGCGAGAACACTCCTCTTCATGAGGGCGGCTCTTCGACCGGTTTCGATGGCATCGCTCCCCGTCGACAGGAGATTGTCACTCCTAACCCGATGGCGACGCCATTCCGACAGGCCAACGGTGTTGGCGCGACACCTATGGTCGGCGGGGTCGGCCCTGGTGCCACACCGCTGCGCACGCCGCGGGATCACTTCGCACTGAATCGGGAGGGCGAGGGCCAGCTCGTCGGCAGCACGCCCCGAGACATCAAGATGCTTGAAAAGTTCACGCGGCAGCAGATGCGTAGCAAGCTGTCCTCGCTTCCCAGACCCAAGGAGACGGAGTGGGAACTGGAAGAGCTTCCTTCCGAATCGGCGGAGCCCATGGCTGCTGTGGAGTTCACCGAGGAGGATTCTGCTGAGCGTGACCGCAGAGAACAGGAGGCACGGGCGCTGGCTGCTCAAGCCGAGTTCAAACGTCAGTCCCAGGTGTATCAGCGCGGCCTGCCTCGACCTGCTGTTCTTGACTTGAGCGCATTGATGAAGCGTGCTTCTCATGCCACTGATCCGATTGGCGGTCTGATTGCCCAAGAGGCCGCGGTCCTCATCGCACACGACTCCCTCAAACACCCTGTCCCTGGCAGCAAGGTCGAGGGCAAGGCGCCGAAGTTGGGTCGTCTGGACGACAGGTTTTTGGAGGCGGCTCACGCCGCCATTGCTGCCGAAGTAGCCTCCAAAGAAGCACAGCAACAGCTGGAGGAGTGGCAGGGCAAGTTCGATGATGCGTGGTCTTCGGTTCGCGTCAATGCCCTCCCGGGCTTGGAGAATTACGAAGACGAGGAGGACCCGTTCCAGGAGGAACAACGCATGATCGGGGCATTTGACAACGTACAGGCCTCGTTGCTTGCTACAGCAGAGCGCGGGAACAAGCTGGAGAAGAAGCTGGCGCTTCACTACGGTGGATATCAGAACCGGGCCAAGACGCTGCGGTCGAAGATCCTCGAGGCCAGCGCGGCGCTGCCCAAGGCGCAGGACGACCTCGACTCGTTCCGCACGCTCCAGATCTCCGAAGAGGCTGCCATCTCCCGGCGATTGGAGAAGCTTCGCGACCAAGTGTCGTTCGTCATGCGCCGAGAGCGCGAAGCCCAGGAGGTGTATAAGAGCCGGAAGGATGAGCTGGATGAGCTCGTCGCTGGCACGGCAGTGGTGAATGGATGGCATTAAGGAAGTGGAATTGTATGGTTTGGGTATAATCTACATTACGTGTATCATTAAGAAATGCCTTCCTTTTTTTTGAACAGAATCTCTCGTCGTCGTCGTCATAGGTAGTAGATCCGCCCAGTAAACAACGTCCCGATGCGGCCCAAATAAGGCGGTCTCCCTCGGCCAAGTCGCCACTTCCCGCTTCCACCCCCCAGTCCATCCCCGTCTCCTTTCCATCGCCCATTTCCAACCAATCCATCTCTTCCATCATTTTTCATCGTCGAGTCCACTCGAGAATCGCCCGCCGCGCACGATGGGCGTCCGCGATTCTGGCGAGGCGACTGGGACGCCCGATCCCGTCGAGAAAGGGTTCGCCACCCTCAACACCATCCGGTGAGTCGCAGCCAGCGCAAAAGAAATATTCTTTTGGGACTTTGATCCCGACTTTCATCGGTCGCATGGACTGACCACCTCGATAGGATCGGCGTAAAGGCCATGGTGCAAAAGGTAGCAGATTCTGATGCCGTATCACGTGACCCGTGCAACCTCAACTGACGCTGTGAACAGGACGGAGAGCTGCGGAAGGCCGAGATTTTGTCAATTCGGCAGCGCAAAGACGGACCGTCATTTTAGTACGTGTTTCTTTTTGAATCGGTGTGTTTGTACTTGAGGCTGACCCAGGTTCCACAGCGTGCACTATGTCGACTTCAACAAGCGTCTGGATGGTACGTTGATGTAAACCTAATATGATTATCAATACTAACATCTATGTATAGAATGGGTCAACTCGGCGCGAATCGACCTCTCCCAAGAGGTCGAATGGCCTCAGCCCGAAAAGGCAGAGAAGAAGAAAGCCGCCGCCAACAAGGCCGTGCCCAGCAAGAACATCAAAAATCAGCGCGTTCGGGCAGACAGCCGCGATGTATCAGGAACGCCCGATGCACTGGGTGGCAAGAACCTGAACGTCGGCAAAGCGCCACGACCCTCTAAAGCCGGAGGCAAAGAGAATCGCGACGCCGAGACACCTGGCGGCGACACCTCTCTCTTTGGCTCCGGGGTCGCCTCCACCGTCGGGACACCCAAAGCCGCTGAATCTGAAGATGTAGACATGCCAGATGCGGACGGGAAGGAGGAAGCTGTCCCCACCACTGAGGGGACCCTGATCTCGCGCGAAGAAGAGATCGAGCGCCTGCGCACAAGCGGCAGCATGACCCAGAACCCGACGGAGATCCACCGCGTCCGCAACCTGACCAGGCTCCAGATGGGGAAGTATGATATCGAGCCGTGGTATTTCTCGCCGTACCCGGATTCCTTCTCGGATGTGGATCTGGTGTACATCGACGAGTTCTGTTTGAGCTACTTCGATAACCAGCGTGCGTTCGAACGACACCGCGCCAAGTGCACACTGCTCCATCCGCCTGGAAACGAGATCTACCGCGACGACTACATCTCCTTCTTCGAAGTCGACGGCCGCCGCCAGCGCACCTGGTGCCGCAACCTGTGTCTTCTCAGCAAGCTGTTCCTGGACCACAAGACACTGTACTACGACGTCGACCCCTTCCTGTTCTACTGCATGTGCACCCGCGACGAAACGGGCTGCCATTTCGTCGGGTATTTCTCCAAGGAAAAAGACTCGGCAGAGGGCTACAATCTCGCCTGTATCATGACTCTCCCACAATACCAGCGCCGCGGCTTCGGCCGTCTTCTCATCTCCTTCAGCTACGAGCTCAGCAAACGAGAAGGCAAGCTTGGCTCACCCGAGAAACCGCTCAGTGATCTGGGTTTATTGGGGTATCGACAGTACTGGCGTGAGACTCTCGTCGAGTTGCTCATGGAGCCGGGGAGGGAAGCAATGAGTGAGAACGAGCTGGCTGTTTTGACCTCCATGACTGAGAAGGATGTGCACGAGACACTGGTGGTCTGTAGCATGCTTCGCTATCACAAGGGGAACTGGGTCATTGTTCTAACAGACTATGTCGTCGAGGAACATAAGAAGCGTCTTGAGAAGGAGAAGATTAAGGGCGCGCGCAAGATCGATCCTGCCAAGTTGCAGTGGAAGCCGCCTGTTTTTACGGCTTCCAGCCGGACCTGGAATTGGTGAGAGAGGTGGAGTTTCTTGTTTCTATCGTATGGCGTTTATTTGGGCCTCTGCATTCTGTAGTTACACACCGGTGTTTGGGGAAGGATAAGACATGGGTATGGATATGGATATGGACTCGGCTGGGCTGGGATGGGTTGTCTTTTTTTTTTCTGCTGTTTTGTTTCTGATACCTACTTCTACACTGTATATCCACTCATCTATCGCACTACCTACCACTTTCACCCCTCGTATCTTGGCGATGGAATCAAGCTTCCCACCCAGGCAACGTAAGGCCCAACCTACGAATATACAAAGACCCGGAGAGTAAGAATAGATTACCAGCGCTGGAATGGACCAGGCGCCTCGGCACAGACGGACACAAGAGTACTACATGATATTGGAAGATCGAGGCAAAGCCAGCGGGGCAGAAGCGGCCGCCTCTGCATACATACATGCATGCGGACAGTGAAGCATGCCCCGAAGACTCGCGCGCTATTGATGACAAGAGGGTTGGGGAGAGGATGGCAAGGTCGAGAGACAGGAAAGGCACAAACAGGGAGGTGCTCTGCGCGGGTGAAATTGCAGGAAAAGACACGAGCACACATTCCACACCATCAACTGTCCGAGAGGCAGGTGCTCGGGAGGATGCAGGGGGAATTCCTAGGTTGCAGCTTACATCATTTCGCACGCACAGCCGAGAGTGAGGGAGGCAAGAGGGATAGGGTGGAGGGCGTAAAAAACAAGGAAGAAAAAGTAGTGAAATTCAAAAGAGTACAAACATGAAGAAGATGAGCATGATGCTGCACAGAGGAAGAAGGGTGAGGGAGGAAAGAGGATGGACTCGAGAGACGGAGGCCGAGATCAAGGTCGAGGAGAGCGGAAGACAAAAGATAGGGAAGAGAGCAAAAAAAGCTGCTCAACTTTCCAAAACTTGGAAAACCGAAATTTCGTTCCAGTCAACCCGCTCTAACGCGAACCGCTGAGCGTGCGAGGTCCCCACGATGCATTTCGGGACTGATGCCGCGGCGAGGAAGAAGGTGCGGTACTGCTCTGCTGGGAAGTAGAGGGTTTCCTACTGCCACCATTGCTTCCAGACGCACCCTCACGAGGCTTAGTATTCTTGCGAGTCTTGAAGTTCGTCGAGCTGCGGTGCCGTGAACCCTGGTGGCTGCCACCTTTCTTAGGAAGAGCAAGGGTCTTTGCAGCAATGGTCCCAGGGAAACGGACCGAGGCGCAAAGATTGCCTGACTGATCTTTGTCATGCAATCCCACCAGGAACGGCTCAATGCTATGCACCTGCATGGGCTTCAGATTCTTCGCACGCAATCGAGAGACCGATGGTGACGGGGCAGCGACCCAGGCAGCCGGGGGAGCCATATTGGGCACGCGAACTGCAGGCAGGGAGCCTGGTTCACGATCCTCAAAGATCTCGTCTTGCTCCTCCATCTGCGTGACGGAAATGTCACCATCCCCAATCTGTGCGCCATGCTCAGCCTTGTGGGGAAGGGAGACAGAAACCGCCGCGACGGGGAGCTGGACATCCAGAGGCTCCTTTGATGCAGAGCTTACCGCCAACACGCTTTTCTTCTCAGGCGGTCCCTTCTTGGCGAACAGCCCGTTGATCTTCTCCTGCCAAGACATCGTCGAAGGCTGGGCCCGAGGAGCAGCTGCAGCCATAGACGCAAACGATGGAGGAGGCGGCGGTCCAGCCAAAGCTTTCGGGGGCAGTTTGACAACAGCCTTGGGTGTGGGAAAGTGGACCTGAGGCCGACCCGGATCGCCAAAGTACACCGGGTGGCTTGACAATTCTTCTGGTGGTGGCGGCGAAGGGCTCCGCTGGTAATCTGTCTTCTCCATGGCCGGTCTCTTCGACTGCTCGGTAACATTGGGGAAGAAGCGTGAGCTGCGTGCTGGGACATTGACTAGAGGACGGGCATGACTATCCGAGAATGGGAGACCATCCGCCGCAGGAGCATCAAGTCCAGTCAACGGATTCGGGGGCGAGTTGTTATCGGTCACGACATTCCGAGAAATGTTGACAATACGCCTTCCGCCAGCTTCTTCGCCGGGGCGAATCTGCTTCCAAGTTTCCTTAAAAGTCACGGGAGGGAGCGATCGATCGCGGCTCGTAATGAACTCCTGCCGGAACTTTTCAGATTGCTCTGCTTCACGTTGAGCCGCGACGTTATGGAAATTATTCCACGAGGTTAGCCCACCCTGAGGTTGCTGTTGTTGCCATTGAGGGGCCTGCGAGCTTGGTGGTCCAATAGGGCCAGGGCGACCAATGGGGCTTAAAGGATCATACGATGCATGTCTGACTTCTGGAGACGGCAGAGGTGATATCGCCGACGGCTCTTGCGGAGACCTGGCAGAACCCGGAAAAGGGGCCTGTGAGGGCGCACCCATAGCCTGTTGATCCAAACCAAGCTGGCTTCGGAGGGGCATGTCTCGCGAGGGGAACCCGCCTAGACCCTGTTCAAAGATGCCGTTACCCAAGGTCTTGTCGCTGCTTAGCGGCTTCCACGGATTCTTGACAGAGGGTGATGTCGAAGCAAGGTTAGGGTTGGTCGTCCAGGGAGCATAAGGACTGGTGACGTTCAGGTTATCCCGCCACTGAGCTCCATGCTCGTCAACTTGTGCGTCATCTGGCTTGCCTTGGCCTTGCGGTTGAGGTTCAGCCTGCTGCGGTTTGGGTCCATTCGCTGCTGAGGCAATTTCACGCTTGTGTTGATGAGGCGAAGAGATGCGTCGCGAGGCAGGCATGGTGGCTTTCTCTGTAGCCCTGTCCCTCTCATTTGCAGCAACAAGCTTTTTCACAGTGTCCGGATGGTGAACCTTCATCATTCCATACTGCTTTGGCTCGCCGGTCGGTTCCGGTACAGGAGGTTTGGGAGGAGAGTTGACGACGGTTGCGGGTGGTGCCGTTGGCTGAGCTTCGGGCTTGCGGGCTTCCGTTGACTCTTTGCGCTTCGCTTTCTCCGGCGCTGGGCCCAGGGCTGCAAGCCTCTGCCGAATCCGTTCCTGCTTAGCAGCCTCTTCTTTCTGCTCCTGTTCAATTCTGCGTTGCCGGGCCTCCATGCGCTTTTCTTTCATTATGCGCTCTTGCACAGCGACAGGGTCCTCTTGGGGTGCTTCAGGGACTGCCGGTGGTTGTGTCTCAGTAGGTGCTGCCTCATGCGTGGGCGGCCGGGCCTGCTGTCGAGATGGGGACATGTCGCGGAAGGGACCTTCTTTGGCGTGAGGTGGCTCACGACCCATGAGAGCTGGATCGACCATGCCATTCACCTGCGACCCTCTCCGGTTTTCCATGTATCTTGGAGCAGCAGCGTCAGGCCGGCCGATCGACATTCGGCGACCAAAACCACCACTTCCTCCGCTCACATTTGAAGATGCGCGGCGTCGGCTCCAGCCCATACCGTCTTGATTGCTTGATCTGTGAGTCTGGAAGGCTGCAGATGGCTCCGCTGGCCCACCCTCGGCATGAGCTGACCGCTGCAAGACAGCCGGCGCACGCGGGTGTTGATCGTGACGGTAAGAGCCTCGTCGCGTGTCAGAGACAGGCTCGTAGCGACCCGAACGAGAGTTGTACAGCTCACGCGGCGCGCCTGGCTGAGTCTCTCTCCATGTCCGAGTGAAGTCATCAGCAGCAATTTCTTGAGGTGGCAGTGGAGCTTGGTAGCCCTCATCTCTCTGCATCTGATTAACAGAACCACGTGGGTGATGGGCCATCTGAGCGGATGGCATAACAGGAGAGGCTCTTTCAACTCGAGGCAAGGGCGCCCACGGGGACTTTGTTGGCGGAGCAGGACTCGTAGACCCGGACGCATCTCTGTCACCGGCTCCCTTGGATGCACCTGCAATCTTTGCTTGTCGTTCGGCGTTCGCCCCAAGTCGGAGCACGGTGGGATTCGGCCCCATGGATGTAGTTGGCTTCGGAGCCCTGAGAGGCTCCCTGACTGGAACAGGCTCTGGAGGAGGCGGCTGTTGTAACTCGTGACTCGCGTGGTCATCGTGACCCGGCGGCGGTACATGGTCGGTGTGTGTGAGTGTAACCTTCGTTCCATCGGTCCATTCAATGGTCTCCGGAGCCCAGTCATCCTCATCATCGTCAATGTCTGCCCATTTGGCCTCGGACCCACCACCGTCTTCCTGAATCCGAGAAGTCATGTGGATTCCATATTGCTGTTTCAACTCTTCATCGGTCAAATGCTTCGACGGTGCTGGTTGGGCAGCTGTGAGCAAGAGCATATTAGCTTCAAGAGTTCGGGAACCAGAGTAGAGAGAGCGAGAGCCATACGTCGATTCTTGTTCCAAACTTGATTCGTATCACTGGTTCCACCAGGCTTAGCTGCTCCTGTGCTGGTTTTTGAAAACGAATTTCCCGCCGTAGTCTTTGCAACCAAACGCGGCCGCAAGCTTGGCTGCGGTGTACCGAGGGGTGTAGTGGAAGTTGATGAAGCCGCTAAATCTATTAGTCTGCAAGTTGTACGTTCTTATGGGGGAGCAAAGTACCTTTCTCGGGTGCCTTCGGCGGTGCGGATGCCCCTGGCGCTTTTGGCACTGAGAATTTGGCAAACGACACTGGCTTGAATGTCGATGGTCGCTTCACGGAGCTACTGCGCGCATGATGCATGCCATCCGTTCGACTCGCATCGGATTCCGAACCGCCCTGTGATGCTGTATCATCCCCGGCATCGGATCCTGACGCCAGTCCGTTCAATTCAAGGGCGCGGTTCGCGACCAGCCCAGTACCGCTCTTTGGAGAATCCTGCACCACTGTTTAGCTACCACACAACATGGTCTCATGTTCCCCAGCCGCGAAGACTCACCATCGCAGGCGTCCCGGCATCCTTGTCATGTCCAGTCGCTTCCACCGGCGAAGCACCCGTATTCGTCGTCTCGTCGGCGCGCGCTAGATCACTCGATCGTAGGTTGGTTCGCGTGTCTGTTGTTGTTGCGATATGTTTGGTCACCCCCAGGTCCCCTCCAGCAGTTTGATTGTCGTTGGTGCTCGCAGGAACGTCGGAAGGCGAAGGCTCGCCGCCCGACAGGGTCTGATCTACCACATCGCGGCTGCTCTGCTCTGCCATAACAATACACGAATCTGTGAGTAGGCCAGTAGCGCCGTCAGTTAGAAAAGGGGCTTGCAAAAGTGATGACAAGGTCAAAACGGAGGACGCGGCAAGGAACTGCGGGACTCAACGTGACGTGCAGCGCAAGAGCGGCCGGAGAACGCATACCTAGTGTCAAGGGTCAAGAGTCGCCACGGTTGAACTGCTCGCTCGACTGGTTGCACCCTGGAGATCGGGATCCAACAACCAGAAAAACCGTAGAGGAAGTTGGTACCGACCAACTTGAAGCTGATGGGGAAAAGGCTGATCCTGAGGGGAGAGAAAGAGTATGCTGGGTGGGAGGCTCAAGAGGCGCGGAGCAGCAGCGCAACCCAAGAAATCCCAGCGAGGGAGGATGAGGTGAGAGGGAGGATGGGAGAGTCGGGGGGTTTCGATGATAGAGAGGAGATGGCCTTCCGAGCCGAGTTGACGGGGTTGAAGCTGAGCGTGGCTGCTTTCGGTTAGTCATGGTAGCCTGAGGCACCACACAGTGCCTTGCAGAGGAACCATGTCTACAATCCCTAGTCAGACTACGGAAAGGCAACGATGAACTACAATGACCCAACACTGGACATAAGAAAACACTGGATTGTGCGCATCCTCTCTAATCCTCCATCGCGGACTGCGTCTAGGTCAGAGGACACGGTATATACATCCATCCTCCGCCCACGGGCTGACAAAAGAAAGGTTTAGTGAGGGTGGTTCTTGTGATGGCCTGTACAAGCGTGATTAGTGACTCTTCCATCCACGAAGAATGCCATCCACTTACGCAGGTGGAAGTAGTATTCCATGCTGTAGCCCAGGATCAAGATCGCACCGATGGCGTGCACGATGGCTGTTCCAAATCAGTAAAATGTCCAGGTCCACACCACCATCGGGAATCACTTACGAACGCCAGACGGGTTCTTGCCAAAGTAGCGGGCCTGGTAGCGACCGATCAGACCGGTAGCCTTGACCTCAGGAGCAGGGCCCCGGGGCAGGCCGGCGTAGAAGTTCACAACACGCTGCATGCGAGCGGCATCCTGAGCGGCGCCGATGGCCTTGAAAAACACACGAATCAGTTATACGGTCCCAGAGCGTAACATGTCGCATCATATCCGGTCGCAAACGCCACGGCCGCACGAAAAGAACTCGGGATGAAGCGCGGGAGCCCTGAGGGAGCAAAAGACGACCGGGGAGCGGAATTAATGGTGACTTACGTTGGGGGAAGCGATCTAGAGAGTGAATTAGCATCATTGGGAACGAGTCAGAGGGGCGGAGGATTGGTCTTACCTTGGGGGGGATCAAGGTCGAGAGACCTCGGCGAACGACGTAGCTCATCTTGTCTGGGGGGAAATGGCATCAGCAAATGGTTGTCCCGGATCAAGACAGGTTCATTGACCGGATTGAGGAGCGACACTCACAGTAATTCGCGCTGGAAAAACCGTTGACGGAGGTGATGATGGGAAGTTGAGGAAGGGACGCAAAGCCAGCGGGAGGTCGGATTCCCGTGGCCGCGCTAAACCCCTTTCGGTGCGCCCGTGACGACCAACACCAAAGTCACTTGGTCTGGCTTCAATCACCATTAATTATTCTTCTTCCTGTTCCATCCCCCCACCACCACATTCCCCAATTCCACCAATGTCGCTCTTCAGAGTTGGGGGCACTGCCTGCCTTCGGGCGAGCCGACTGGCTGCTCCTGTCAACGCCCGTTTCGTCTCCAATGTCAAGACCAGCCCGGCCGACCCTCCGACCACGCCTCGCAAGGACAGCGAGCTGATCAACAAGGAGACCCCTTCCGAGGCTATGTCCCGTCATCAGCCAGACTATGATGCCACTATTGATCACGGCACCTCGTACGGTCCCTCAATCGAGCTCCACTTCCAGTCCCTTTCACTAACTCGTTTTATCAAGACAATTCTCTCCAGTCCCCAAGCGTGTGATGGACGGCAGCGAGCCCGGCGAGACTGTCCCCGCCGCTGTTCTCTCCGGTGCTCCGACCGATTTGCAGGCTCGCACTGTCAGGTAAGCCTGGATGAATGCTAGTCCAATTTCGCGATGGTAAAGTAACCCGTCTCGCAGAATCTACCGCCCCTCGAAGCCCGCCACTCAGTCCGGAACTTGGCATGCGCACCACTGGCGGATGGACTGGGACATTTTGCAAAAGGGACACCGATGGGAGAACCCGCTAATGGGCTGGCAGTCGTCTGCCGATGGAATGCAGGGAACCAACCTGACCTTCAAGTCCAAGGAGGATGCGATTCTGTTTGCGCAGAAGCAGGGCTACGAGTACTTTGTTCAGGAGCCCAACGAGCGCCGCTTCGTGCCCAAGGCGTATGCGAACAACTTCCTGCATGAATCGAAGAAGCTCAAGCATATCAAGACGAAATGATTGGGTCTGTGGGTGTATTATGTATATAACTGAGTCTCGAGCTTTATCATTCGAATTTCTTTTTTGAAGTCACTCATCGTGTTGGGTAACCGGGTAAAGCTTTCTCCGTAAAACAACGTTTTGTTCACATCACACGGTGTATATGGCTCTTGATCTAAGGCAAAGCGGCTAGAGATAGAGATATGGACATGGCCCCAGTTCACCTCCTGAATGAGGCGGATTGTCTTCCAATATATGCCACTGTAAGTGTATCCCTGTGGAAACGCGGACTGGTATATTTTGCATGTCGGGAATTAAATCTAGCTGGCTCCTTTTGGTATTTATTTATTGGTCATGTTACAATTGTGCCAATGGCCCTTGCCTAGTGATAATTAGTCAGATATAGATGTATAGTTACTTCAATCGATACCGGATTGGTTTTCATATAGCAATTCAAATATATAAGGACTGACAATTAACTACCCTGCAGCCTTCTGGTAATATTTTCATTGACAAAAACCCATCTTCCCTGATTATGATCCTCCAATTCATGTCCCACCACGCCATACCCTAAACCAACAATCCAGCCAATACAGCACCCACCATAGCGATCTGCGTCGGCGCATTTATGGCAGCGCCATTGGTAGTAGTCGGGCTCGCGCCAGTGGAAGTGGCTTCGCCCGATGCACTCGTTGTCGTCGTGCTAGAGACTTTGACCCCAGGGAAGAGCTCTCCCCGGCACATGGAAGGCAAGCCGGCAGCAAACTGTGACTGGTCGGCCGTCGGGCACTCCTTGATGCACTTGATCATGGGGGTTGTGGTTGTAAAAGATGCACAGGTGCATTTGGCAAGAGCCTTGCCTGTTTCGTTGCCATTGCACCACGAGACAGTCGCATGTTTGACCTCGCAGTTCTCTACGCACTGGCTGTTTGCGGCCCAGACTGATTGGGTCATGGCCAGGAGGCTGGCTGTGCCGAGGAGGAAGGTGGTAGCACGCATCTTGTTGGGGTTGAAGGATGTATAGGAGGTTTGATATTATATATCTGGCTGGCACGGGAACCCGCACAAAATACCGGAAGACAGATGAGCAGAAGTCTAGTAAAGGGGGCATCCCGAGAACTTAAATACGTCCTTCCACTTTAATATACGGGTTTATGTCTTGCCCAAGTTCCCGCCATGTGCCAAGTTGGGCATGACTGGCACTGATAGTTCAGCTACCTGTATCCTTCCTCGTATTCGCACGGGCCCTCGTTGGATAAGAATATTTGCAGTACAGCCTGGACCCTGAAAGAAATGGCTGGCAATTTTAGCCGATGGTTGTTAGGCCGTGAAATTGACATGACTGGAGATCTATCTTCAACGGGCATGGTTTGAGGAATAGAAATATAACCCCTGGTCCTATACATACGACAAGTAGAGTGGAAGGCACCTGCAAGCCCCCCGTCAGTATTTCTACCCGGGAAGTCAAATTGACTAAAGAATCGGCCCCTGTGAGATTCTCTGCATGTCATTAATAACCTCAATCAATTTAACTACTCTATTTTTCTTCCTCTTATTGATGCTCCCTTTGTAATATACATATATTTCACGTGACCAGGTCACATGACCGACCTAATGCGGAGAGGGCCAGCCCGACTTCCTCCATCACAACTCACATGAACCGCTTTCCCTCAGGAACTGTCTATCCCCTTCTGAGAGAGAGCGCCAGAGACCCTTCACCTGATTCACCACTTCCCTCCCTTCGTGCTCACCATGGCTACGAATGGCGATGCAGGCCGAGGTGAGCGCCACCGACAATCCGTCCTCGAACAATCCCATAGATCAATCGCTTATCGATCGGGATCATCGCTGACTTCTATTGGAAAACAGGCTCAGGAAGCTTGGTCGATGCGTCGGGGTACAAGTTCTCTGAGAAAGATACCAAGCCCGGCAAGATCAAGGTGAAGAAGACATCAAAGGCCTCGGCCAAGAAGAAAGCAGACGGTACGAGCTTGACGAAATAATATTCGGGACCAAACTAATAAACTCCGAACGACACTCCAGATGCGAAAGACGGTCCCATCGACAACTCCCCAACAGACTCGCCTCTCCCCACGCTGGATGAGAAGTTGCTGGCCTCGTTCCCAACCGGCAAGCCACGTGAGGAGGACCTTCTGGAGACAGTGATCTGCAAGCACTGCAAGCGACCCATCCTAAAACAAGTTGCCCCCGCGCACCTGCGCGACTGTTTGAAAGCGAAACAAGAGAAAGCGCGGAAGAAGAAAGAAGCCCGTGAGGCACGCGACCGCGAGAAGGCCGTTGGCAAGGATGGGGAGGACGACAAGGCGGACGCAGCCGATGACGCCATGAAAGGGCAGAAGAGCGCGAAGAAGAGCGCTGTTAAGGGCACGACCGAGGACGGCACGAAGAAAGGCAAGAAGCGCAAGGCCGACGCCGACGACGACAAGGACAGCAAGGAACCCAAGAAAAAGAAGAAGAAGGATGAGCCCAAGGCCAAGGCTGCTAAACCCAAAGGTCCCGTCGATGTCGAGAAACAGTGCGGTGTTACCCTCCCCAACGGAGCGCAGTGCGCCCGCTCTCTTACTTGCAAGAGCCATTCGATGGGCGCCAAGCGTGCGGTCCCCGGAAGATCGCTGCCGTATGACATGCTGCTTCAGCAGTATCAGAAGAAGAACCAGGCCCGACAGCAGAGTACGTCCTACGCGTTTAACCCGTTTATGCCCCATCCCCGAGGTTTCAGAATATTCTCTCTTGTGACCCGCACCTCTCATTCAAAACGTGCTTTAAACCCTACCCCCAAGGGCCCCCTTGTTCTTGTCGTTCCACCTGCGCTTCCCGTGCCGAAGCTATTATTCAAGAGGAATTTCTCTGGAGATCGTCTCGTTTATCACCCAAAAACGCAAAGTCCCAGAGCTGACATGTCTGATTTGTGTTACCACAGAGGCTGCCATCGATGCGAATGCTCCGCTCCAAGAAGATCTCGAGAACAACGGCCCGGTCGACTCTGACGAGGAGAGAGACTCGGTCATGGCCGCGATTGCTCGTTCAGCACCCCAACCCTTGGTCACCCACCACCTGATCACCACGAAGAAAAAGTACAAGTATGTACGAGTCAAAGAGCAAATGCTGCACGCGATGGGCGGTCGTGGCGGCGGTCTCTTTTCAACAGACGACAGCCAGCCCCTGCTGGGTGGGAATATCTTTCAACCCGTCGATGCCACCATGGCCTCCTCGTCGCCGATGATGCCCACCGGTGACGAAACCGGCACTCTTGCTGTTACTGCCGGTGATATGAACAAGAAGGGCCCCGTCCAAGCTGCTCGCAAGACTCCGGTAGCGGCAGTATCATGATCCCCTAGCAGGTGATGATTCACGACCTTTTGCCCTTTTTGTCCTCTCTACCTTTTTCGCAATGGCGTTTGCAGGTGCAACTCATGTTGCGCTTTGTTTTTTTTTTCTTTCTCTTTTCTCAAGGTGTGGGAACAGGCTGGTTCTGTTTGATTTTGCACGGTGACATGATACCCCCCGGGCTGCTGGCGTGATATACTTTGATCAATGGAAAGTAGACCGGAATGGACTTATTTCCTCGTCAATAATCTCTTACTGTAAACCCGTTGGTAACCTAAGTCCGTAGTTGTCGATTACGTGATATATGCCTGAGGCATCATGCCATTCACCATTTCGACTCGGTCCGCCGATCGAGTCTTTCAAGCCCCGAATCACCATGAGAAGCGCAGGCCCGCCCTTCTTTGTCGCCGGGTGACCCTTACACTCGCAAAAGATTAGTTGTCGTCTACATCGCCTGTCCCGCAGCCTGTCTCTTCTGCGTGGGCAAGCTCCCTTCCGCCAGTATCAATCGCATTGAGCGAGCTCCTCGTCCCCCCTCCTCCTCCCGAACATAACACATCCTCTTTCAAACGATGTCCCACTCCGTTCCCGACTTGGATGCCATAGGCATCAAAGCCGAGCATCACCTGGCCGACAATTTTCGCCGCGAAGTCGCCAATCTGCTCGGCCGCAACAATACCAATTTTCCTGGCGCGCAACCCGTCAGCTTCTCGGCGCGCCACCTCGAGGAGCTGCAGCGGGAAGACTACTATGTCTGTGAGAAGACGGATGGCATCCGGTGTCTCATGTACTTTGCCCGCGGGGACCCTGACTCCGAAATGCCTGAGATCCATTATCTGATTGACCGCAAAAACGACTACCGCTACGTGCCCGGCTTGCACTTCCCCATGCCGGACGATGAGACGTTTCGATCTTTTCACGTCGACACACTGGTGGATGGCGAGCTGGTCCTCGACTCGTACGAGGACGGGACGCAGCAGCTCAAGTACTTGGTGTTCGACTGTCTGGTGCTCGACGGACAAAGCTTGATGCACCGCACGCTGGACAAACGCCTGGCATATTTCAAAGTCAAGGTTCTGGAGCCTTACAATGCCATGTACAAAAAGTTTCCCGAGGAAAAACAGCACCGCGCATTTGTCATCGAGGACAAGTTGACGCAGTTCAGCTACGGCATTGAGATGATGTTCCGTGAGATCATTCCGAAGGTCAAACGCATTCACGGGAATGACGGTCTCATCTTCACCTGCCGCAGCACGCCCTACCGGATCGGCACAGACGAGCACATCCTCAAGTGGAAACCTCCCTCAGAGAACACAGTCGATTTTCGCATGCGCCTGGAGTTCCCCGTCCTAGAGCCCGACTCCGAAGACGAGGCCGACGGCATCACACAGCCATACCCGGACTACGACGCGGTCCCCATCTGCCATTTATTCGTCATGCTCTCCTCCAACGAGTACCGCTATTGGGACAAGATGTACATCACCCCGTCAGAGTGGGAGGACCTCAAAGCCATGAACATCCCACTCGACGATAGCATCGTCGAGTGCTACAAAGACGAGCAAGCCCGCTGGCGCTTCCACCGTCTTCGCGACGACAAAATGGATGCGAACCATATCTCCACAGTCGAGAAGGTACTCGAGAGTATCGAAGACCGCGTCACGGAGGACGATCTCATCCGCCTTGCTCCGCTCATCAAGACGGCCTGGAAGAAACGCCAGGCTGGCCCAGCCTCGGAGAGCAGACCGTCCCGCCCCGCGCCACCTACTATGAATGGGAACGGCGTCAAGCGGAAATTCGAAGAGTGATTTTTTCCCCTTTCTTTTTGGGTTTCGTCATGCAAGGTGTTAGGTGTTTGTTTGTTTTTACTCTCATAGCGTAGCTATGATTGAGGGAGGCGGGCAGGGGTTTCTTCCGGTACTCTATACAGGCACTTCTGGGGAGTTGGCATGGATCTGGGCGGACGGAATACATTACATGCCATTTATTATAATTCTTCATGACGCTTGTACTTTTATTCCTCCCTTTCACCACAACGCTAGATGACGGTAAATGGGGCGCCAAAAGTGACTCCCTTGGACGCCATTTTCGGTGCGTCGGTTTCATAGTCATCAAAGCCAATACTTGCGGTTCTACAGCTCATGAAGCTAGTAATCCAGGTTCTTGCTACTGTCGGTACGCCTTTGGCTCGGAGGCGAACGTCTAGGGGACTCTTGTTTACTCTATTGAACGCCCCTTTTAGGTCGAAAGCAATGAGCGTTACTACATTGCTTTTCAGCCATGCACGGTCGATTGCATTGGCCAGGACTAAGATTCCTTGCTCAGTGGTTTGTCCCGGTTCGCCGCCAAGTTATGGAGTCAGGAAGCAGTTTGTGGGATTCCGTGAAATATGAGAGCCGTCTAGCCACGACCGCTTCTAATAGGTATACTTGCGTAAGCGTCGCGCGGTTTCAAATATATCTGTGTTGCATACGTCCTTTTGCTAAAGCTAAAAGGGGTGACGCTCAGGCTCTGATATGTAGCAGAAAACCGGGTACAAAAAGAGATTACTGAGTACCTGAAATCTCTCTTTCCAGGTGATTCTCTGACTTCGAACCGTGTATCATCAGACTGTTTCATCCGAATTATTAGTATTAGAAGGTCTCTTTCTCCAACCATGTCTGAGACCCAGAATTTTCCCCGAAATCAAACCTTTGACTGTGAAGATATGATCCACGATAGCAATCACCAACAAGATAATGAAAAGCGCGGTCGACCACACCATGAAGGCTGGCGAGTCCATGATCTTTCCTAGTTCCACCGCAGCATTCGTATAGACACCCTGTTTATAGGGGAAAAATGGTGAGAAAGCGCTACAGATATTTGGAAAAATTTCAACACATACCCAAGGAAACACGACTGCCCAGGCCGACATATTGAAACTTACGCTTCGTTTGCCCCGTAACTGAGAGAAGAAAGTGTGCAGGATACTTGTGATAGCAAAAACCCACCAGAACGTGCCATACCCCCAACTGAGCAGACCGGCAAATTGGCTTGCAAAAGCAACAGGCTTGGCAGCTTCAGCAGTCAAAAATGTGCCTTTATCATATCCTGCAAAGCTTCCGCGTAAAACAACTTGGCCGAGAGCTTGTAAAGCGAAGCTTCCCTGGCCGAACGGCCCACACAGGATCATATCTTGGCAAACATGCTCAACGCCGGGGAACGATTTGTTGAAGAGCCTTGTTAGGAACACGCCGCTCAGTGTGACGGCGAGTGGCAAACCGACACCCACTTCCAGATATGATACGATGATGACTGGAACTTGCAAACGGTTGCTGAGCGCCCCATATTGACAGATGATACCTCCACCCGCAGCCGAAGTCAGGGCTGCAATCAATGGCAGTAGCACCCCAGGTGCGACAGCCTCTAGTCCCGGCGGTTGAACTTTCACATAGACGTAAGGGATCCACATAACCGATGCAACCGCCATAGCAGTGTTGATCCACCAGAGGACGTAAACAATAATACCCCAGACTGAACCCCACTGCTGTACTAGTACAACCGCGGCCATGATAATAATGGAAGTGAAAGTGATTGAAATGCTGGCAAGACAAGAAGTCTCGGTAATGCTTGTTCTGAGCATAGAAGCAACATGTCGAGGATAGAGAAAGAGTCGTAGTAGATAGAGGAATACTCCCACTGCCAGCAATGCGAGAGTGTAAAGCCAAACTACCACGGATATAATAGAGAGGCCGTCAAATTGGTAATCTAGCTGATGGAGGATCACAGCCATGATACCAAGGCCTTGTGGAACGAGAAACCATTCTGATGAGAAATTCCATAGGGCAAGACCGATCGGGGATCTCGGTTGCTCAGCTTTCCGCAATCCCGCATCAGATCTCTGCGGTGCACTTTCGCCAGATGGATGTTCGTTTTCTGGTACTGATTCATTATGTCCATGTTTTTCAATATGACGTGATCTTGGCATCACAGCTGCTGTTGTATCCAAACTAGACAAGCGGACGTTTTAATAGATTTGAAAACGACCAGGGGATATACGCACTGTACATATGGGCTTACGTCGTAAACCAAATGGACGATTCGGCTCGTGAGTAACAGTCTCGGACTATTGAAAGCCAAAAGACCTAATAGTAAGATCCTTAGTTGAATATCCCTTTGCTAGGTTCGATAATACGTGGCTCTTAATATATTGCAGGTCTCACGGAGTGACGTAATAGAAAGCCTACAAACCTGCCGGAGCTGATGATTTTCCATCCGTGATGCAATAATATACGTTGGGTACCAACTTGGAGAATGATTATGGTTTGCATGAGCTATGAAAGATGTGGCACTTCAAACGCCTCTGTTCTGATAGCTCAGTTTGTCGTGTGTACAGTTTCTGTTCATTGGGCGTCATGATTATATGCTCGGAAAAAATCCAGACGGGAAGACTCCATATTTCATCGTCCGTTAACAGTAATTCTGTTTGATACATGCATGAAGCAAGATCACGAAAGCATAAGATGGAGAGACCTAGAAACCAAAAAGATTCTTATCCTCATCAAACCCAATTTCTTGGAGTGCTGGAAGCACCGCTTTTTTGATCATGGTAGGCGGACCACAGAGCAGCGCCACACTTCCTTCTTCAGGTCCAAAAAGATACTTTTCCAGGATCTCCTTCGTTACATGGCCATTCTCGCCCTTCCAGTCATCCCCGGGCCGCGACAGAACATGCGTAATCTGGAATTGATCCGGGTGGGCTTTTGCAAATTGATCCAGCTCGCTCCGCAGAAGAATGTCACTTTCAGTCTTGTTCGCATCGATGACCTTGAGTTTCGATTTGTCTTCGCCTTCACCTTTGTCTTTTGCTGACAAAATTCGCGCAATAAGCTGATATCCGGGTGTGATTCCGGACCCGCCTAAGACAAGGCTTATTTTATCAAAGTGGTATTCCTTGTCGTCAATAAGGAATTTTCCGTTGCCGACATATTTGATCTCGCCAGTGGGCCCTTTCACTTCTATCTCCTCGTCGGGGCGCAGGCAGTCGAGGATGTTGCTCATGGTGCCTCCAGGCTGGGATTTATCCGGGAAGTAGGTTTTGACAACAAGGTCGAAGGTACAATCTTCTTCCTTCTCCAAAACTGGCCGAGTAGGCGTGTATGGGCGGACGACAAGTCGGTCAGAGAAGTGAAACCCAAGCTGGAGGTGTTGACAAGTACTGAGGCCCAAGCTCTTTCTTCCTTTTGGTAGAGAAAATGTATAAGCGCGGGTATCTTTCGTGAGGTCCTTCTTCCCAATGAAGCGAACAAAGCTCCAACGGTGAGAGTCGAGGACAGTATCAGGATGCCCCTTTGACGAATTTGCCTTTTCCTTGGCCGATTCCTCGGCCTGCTTCTTCATGAATTCTTTGGCCTTTTCAGTGACAACGCCAATGGCGCATTCTGTGCTCCCTGTCAGCGACTTTGGCAAAATGGGATCTACGAAAGGAGGTAAGTACCATTCAGTTTTTGTTGCGCATAGTCATCGTGGATGCTTTCAAATTCGTCCGTTGTATCGACATGCACTCTACCCGCATGTGACATGATTGCAGCTTTCCCACCTGGATGCCAGCTAAGCACACTCGTCGCATCATACACCTTGTCGTTGATGACAATCCAGCAATCCCCATCGGTGTTGTGGTTCTCAATCTCCTGACGTGTAAATTGTTTCTGTGGAGATGACACCTGTTGCTTGAGGTCTTCCATGCGATTCTCGACCGAGGGCTGCACCCAACCGCCTTTTCCTGTCCCGGGCTCGCACGGGTGTCTGAAGAAAAGCGCAGAGCAACCAGTCTCTTCGTCGCATTGAATCTCAGGCTGGACAATATACCAGCAGTTGTTCATCATCCTAAGCACAGTAAGTGGTCGGCTTTCAGGGACAAGGGACAGGACGCATGCCTACCCCATCAAATTCCATGCCGGCCGTTCAGGCTGCGTGTTTTTGAAGACATTGAAACACCGCACAGTGATGCTCTTGGCTCGAACCAAGTGCGGCATTCCAACGTCGACATACCAATGGAGCCAGGTCCAGAATTTCTTTCCATGGCGCAGAGGATATTCAGGGAACTGTTCCCAATGCATCACACACGAACTTAGCAAACTCGAAGAAAGGTAATTGCACCGAAAACGGATGAACTCACCTTACGGACACAGTATAGCCAGTTCTCGCCGCCGTCGAGACTTACTTCAACTCTTTGGATCTCGTGACCGCCACCATCGTACGCTAGGCCTTCTATACGGTAAGACCGATCCTTCTTCAAGTTCGACAGTGGTATTTTCTCGCCATGCGCAGGCTTTACAATGACGGAATTTAAGTTCTGTTCGTTGCAAGCCGTGCTCGGATGATGGAACATGGTGTGAGAGAACTCGGAGTCCATATCAAGGATGAAGCTGGGTAGGACCCGGTTATCCCAAATGTGGTAATGGCTGTCATTTTCTGCATCGGAGGTCCAGATCCTTCGGACCCATTTAACACAACGACCGCCGACATAGCCTGGGATCATCACGCGCACTGGATAGCCGTGATCAGGTGGCAGTCGGTTGTTATTCATTTCGTAGGCCAGAATGACATCGTTTTCAGGACACATTGCATATGCCAATGGAATGGATGTCGCGTATTTGCCCTCACTTAGTTCATCCGACCCTTCAAAATGGACCCAACGCCGGGATTTTTGGTGTCGTGGATCTGGCTCTTTAACGCCAGCAGCAAGAAGCACATCTCGTAACATAGGCCCTTTCCAAAATGCGCAGCCAATAGCTCCGGGACCCCAGTTAAAGCCCTTGGAGCGTCTAATAAGGTTGAGCTCCTTTCTGCGGTTGCCGTCGCAGGCAAGCGCAACTGCGATGTTGATACTGTCGAAGCGTGTCTCGAGATCATCCATCGATAGGGTCATCTTTCCGTTCTCAATATCTAGCGTGTGTGTTTCCCAAAGGATGTGTGGTACAGGGCCATGGTTCCGGACGTAATGTAAATGATTTGGTGTGATCAAACCCGCGTCGAACAGTGTCGACAGTTCAGGCTCGCCGTTCAGAGGATGCTTCCCTGTCTGGCGAATAAGGTGGGGAGATCGGGGAATCCAGTTATCCGGGGTGAATTGGTCAGTCTCGTCGATTGTCACGTCTTCTTCCGTCGCAAAGACAGGGGATTTCTTCTTCCCATCGTTCTCTTTCAGCTTCTTGACCGACTCGCTCTCGGCTTGTAAGAGCCGTAGCAATGACAGTTCCTGGGGCGAGTATTTAGAACGAAGATCCCCCCCCCTCGCCTTTGTTACCGGTGGTATCTTGCTCGTTGGTGGCATGTGCCTCGTGGTGTGTCTTATTCTCTCCACGACTCTTTCGCCACTCGTGTTCCGTCTGGGGTTTCTCGTTATCTGTTGCTTCCTGTTTCTCACTTTGTCTTTTCTCATCTTCTTGTTGACGTCTTTTCACGTTGGCGGGCCAGTTTTGTTGGAATTTGATGAAATCCTCCGTGGTATGAAGCACATATCGCCAACCCAAGGGATGTTGCGCAGGAAACCTCAGATGGTAGTCCTAAACATTCAGATAGGTTATTCGAAGGCCAAGCACGCGGAGGATCGGCGGGATACTTCTTGCTTGGCCATGAACTCGCGAACATCAACCAGATCTTGTTTGCCTAGCTCCATCTCAAGCTCTTTGGCTTCTTTCTTTGCCTGCTCCAGAAACTTACTCTCCTCTTCGCTCTCCCACTCGTCTCCGTGGTGGGTCAATCCCGGATGTCGATCATTGCGATCACGGAAACCAATTCGATGGTTGTGAGTTCTGGTCCAATCTGGCTCATCGCGAATATCGTCCGCGGAGGAGCCAGGGTGACTCGTGTTAGGACGTGTATAGTGTGATGATTCTGTCATGGTGTGGGTCTGAGCCGGTCTGCTCCTGATATGCCAATATTCAAAAAAACCGACGGCTGCGGCAGTATAGGGGTTCGGCCTTCGTGCTACTATAAGATCTGAACATACGCTCACCCTTTCCAAGTTGACAGCGCGAGACGATGGTTAAAAAGGCTAGTCGTAATTACGTCATTAAATCGCTTTGAGTTTGGGCAAGGAGGGCTGGTTCAGTAAGATGATGGTTGCTGGAATGTGTTTCTGGTACAATTTACTGCCTAACGGTAGAGGCTTTCTGGCAGAGAGAAAAGAGCACACATGCCTTTGCTGCTTGCCTCACGTGGGGCTCCTTCAATTTAGCGAGAACTGGCAGCAATTCATTGTCTACTGGACGGCATGTCTCTATTATTGCAGCCTTCATGAAATAACCGCTGGTGTAGTAAAGACTGGCAGAAGCGTGAAAATCTTGTAAACTTTCGACATGAACCGGTGAGATCTCCGCGGAGATGGTCCGGGCCAGGTATGCATGTCCCACCCGCCACCTTGGTAGATACGTTCAACAACATGGAACGGTTTGACTAATGCGCATGGGGTCATTGTTCAGAAAAACAAGGAGTAAGATAGCATATCCATAGACATATGACGTTGACTGACCTGAGTCTTACGTCAGGTCAATCGCCGGACTATAAATACATACATTTAGTATTCATGCGAAGATCCATTTATCTTAGTACTCCAAAGCCTTTTTCCAGGAATGTTTTCCCCTTTTTTGTTCTTTGGTGAGAGTTATTTCCCCAACAACATTTTGCCGGGGTGTGGTTGTAAATCGATTTATCGTTCGAAAGGCCCCACATTGCCACCAGCTCAATAACTTCAGCCGTGTTATACCGCGTGTCATACTGAAGACCAGGATGTCGTGAGTGCAGTACACATGTGAAAATCGCATTATTTACGTTTCTTGAGAGAGTCCAAATTTTCGTAGCTCCGCCGATTGGGAATCCATATATGGCAGTGATTTTCGCCGGTGTTTCAGACTGACTTATAGCTTGAGCTATTTTGAGGTCGGGCCAAAGATGCTTTCTGCCCTTCTACCATATTGATATCGGGGAAAACACATTTAGCTACAGAGTTGTGAGTAATAGATGTTACTGGCCTAGGCAGAGAGAGTATCAGTTGCAAAACCTGGGGCATGCGCAGCCTTCTTCCTAGTATTCCATATCTCGTCCATACTACCACCCTCCCATACACTTTATTACTGTAATTAATTGGTGCAAGGCTCACCGATATTTTTTATGTGTGATGGGCTTCGCATAATCCCTAAAGAGATGTAATTAGCTACGAAAATAATTCTTGCTCAATTTGCATATGGTCGAAACCTTTCCCCTTTCGTATTTCGCGCGCGCAAGTCCTAATTAGGAAGCCCGCGCGCTCCATCAAAAATGTGTCGGTCTATAGCTACCGGAGCATCTCACAAGGCATAAAAAGCCCCTCAAGCTACTCACCATGGAGTTGCTCTCGTCTAGAGACATCCCTGAGCGAAACAGTACTCAAAGAGCTACTTCTTTGTAATTTTAATTTGAATTCACCATGGTACGAGTTGCAATTGCAGGCGGGACTGGTAAGCTGGGGAAGACCATTGCCGAAGTTCTATCCCAAAACCCAAAGCACAATGTATTTGTGTTGACTCGCAAGGTGAGATCCTCCCGGACATTATTCGTCATGTAGGTCTTTCCTCACGTCGGTAAACCTATTAGCCCACTACCCTACCTCGTGTCGACGCTCCTGTTTGCGTTGTAGACGATAAAAACGTGGACGGCCTCACAAAACTGCTAGAGGAGAATGCTATCGAGGTAATTATCTCGACAATCCCAGTGGCTACTGCGGAAGCGAGCGAGATGGAAATCAATCTTGTGCGTGCCGCCAGCCAGTCCCGCCCGACCAAGCGCTTCATTGCCAGCCAGTGGGCGATTCCTGTCCCTAACCCGTGGGTCTATCATGAGTTGAAACATTCCATATGGTGGGAAGTTGTGCTAATAACTACACTTCAATAGTCGGCTTCATCTTCCGAATCAAAAGTATCTGGATGCCACTATCGACGAACTGAAAACCACAGAGCTGGAGTGGACGACAATCTACAATGGCTATTTCATGGATTTCTTCGGCACTCCTCATGTCAAGAGCAACATGGGGATTTTTGCTATCCATATTGACATGGCTAGCAAAGTGGCGGCTATACCAGGAACAGGTGACGAGAAGATCTCGTTCACGTACACCTACGATATCGCGAAGTTTGTGGACGCAGCCCTTGATTTGCAAGAGTGGCAACAGAGTCTGTTTTGCTATGGAGATGTGCGCACCTACAATGAAGTGTTGAAGTTGGCGGAGAAATATACAGGTTAGTTGATGACGCTGAGCGCAGGCGAATGGATTGCTTACTACTCACAGGCGCCAAATTCACTGTCACCTATGACAGTCGTGAGAAGCTGGAGAGAGCGGAGATGACTGAGCTACCATTCCATACTCAGATTTACTCTTTGAGGCCCAAAGCTGTGCTGCAGCACAGATTCTCTCGGTTTGGATTGTGTGGTATCGATGGCTTTTATATTCCACCAAGTGATGGGACGACTCTGAACGATCGTTTCCCCCATATCAAGACTACGACAGTAGCAGACATGATGGCGACTTGGAAAGGAAGATAGGTTGCTAGGGTAAAGATTAGTGGATTATTTTACAGTTATCTGGATGTTTCTTCTTGTGGGACTGGACTATTGTTTGATAGATGAGTGAATGTTTCCTAGGCTAAGAAGGCAGGATAGCCAGAATCATCAACGTTGGAAAAAGCGCAAGAGAAATTAAAGAGATCAGGATTATCGACAGTGTCGCTTTTTCTGAACTTGTCAATTATTTGGCCAGATTCGCGTATGGCGTGGAGCAGTTGCGATTTTCCTGACCTTCGTACGAGCGAATCAAGCTCTACTGATGTTTCAAAGCCATATGAGATGCATCCAATGATGGATATGGGCCATGCAAGTGTTCGCAGCCTTGCAATGGAATCGATTTCATGAAGGAGAATGATTGCCTTTTTACAATCCTCCATTATCTGTGAGTCCCGTGGCCTCCATCCGAAGACAACAACATTGAGATAAATTCGAGCTGCGTGGGCCCAAATCCGCGTCGTGACGCTTCCAGAATGTCCAGTGATTTGGTCGTCAGATTGATAATATGGCTTTTTTTGCCAGAGATCAGCAGGTGCCGCTGTTTCTGCATCAAGAGCTTCAAGCCCTTGGTGCAAATTGGCAAATATGGGTTGGGAACGGGTGATCAAATCCATCTGAGACAACCCATCTCCATATGCCTGGTCTTTTTTCCACACAGATAAGGCTGAGGTTTCTCCGATCGCAATCAAAACCCAGTTGTGACAGCCCACGAAATGTAATAAGTTCAGACGGCCGCTAGTTTCTTGGAGTGGGATGTCACCGATAAGCCGAGAGTGCAGGTGAGATAGAACAGGGGCTTTATCCAAGGAAGTACTGGCAATTATGTCGAAATATAGTAGAATTGCTGTGAAAAACCGAAACCCGGCTTGGTCTGCATTCCATAGCCTGCGTTCAAACCCAATGACTCGAGATCCGGGCCAGTTCATTCTTTCCAGAACACAAATTAGCCCGTCTTGTCCTTGATTAGAAGAAGAGGAATCGTTGTATATCTCCTTGAAGAGATTTATGGCCATGGTGAGATGCGCCTCCCAGCCTTTATTCACCCCCACAAAGCGGTCAAAGATCAAGAGCTGTAGGATAGATTCCATGACATGCGCCCGTTGCAATATCGTAGGATTTGGATCGTCATTAAGCTTCGCAATGTCCGTTTGCAGCATCGTGAATGTCTTTTCTGCTCGTTCTGAAACTTCTTTCCAGATACTTGTCCGACAACGCTGTGGACGGCCGGATGACACGTCGGCCAGTTCCGCCGTGTCATTGAGCCCCACGGTAAGGAAGAAAGAACTCATGCTGAGCACGGAATGAAACACGGTTCCATTTTGTTTCACAAAACGGAGTAGCCAGGCGCGCCCTGTTCCCATTATGGGAGGTCGGTAGAAAGGGAATAGAAATGGGAAGACATAATCTAGATAGATCATAATGAGGTCTAACTCCCATGCCTGGGATGCGGTTGGGAATGTTGAGTCCATCACCTCTAGGTCGAACACATGGTCTGGGACCACTGCGAGTGGCTTCGAGTTATCATTCATATTGTTGGCTGAAAATGGCCCATTCATCATAGCTGGTAGTGAGATAGCTCCTGGTTGTGTCGAAATAGATGGTTCAGCCTGGATGGTGGGCGGTGTTAAAGAGACGTTGGTGGAATTTTCTATGAAATCCGATTGTGAGGTGACGACAAAGCCTGTGAGACTTCCATTCGATACGTTGGACTGTTTCTCTCGCCGTTGGCCGGCAGAATATTTGATTTGCTGCTTAATAGTTTCTGCCATCTGCTTCTCCTGGGAACCGCCGTCTATCCATTCTGGTTTATCCTTTGAGCGATAGCATGGAATTTCTAGGTCGACACAGACTTGACACCGCGGCTGGGCTCCATCGCATCCCTTGCGCCGAAGGCGACAGGTCCAGCATCGGTCTGTTGCTCTTGTGCGAGGAGCCATGGTTGAATAAAGTGCTAAGGCAGAGGTCCAAGGCGACGGAGCGCGACGGTAGGAACAGCTTCAAGTGGGTCCGCGGCTCGTTACTACCTCATGGGTTCTCCCTTTGGTTGGTAGTGCGCCCGTGGTGTGTCCGGATACACCGCCCCATGTTTCCTTCGATGCTCCGCCTACAGTCTTTCAGCTCTTACCCACGAGAGAAAAGCTTGTCATAATTTATAAATAGAAGCATGCCGTTCGACTACTTTTGAGATACATTCTCTTTACCATCCTAACCTCCCCCGTCGGGTTGCCTGTCCGCTCCTGTACACCCTAATCGATGGACTCAACACTATTATTGAACTTGCTTTTGATCACGGGAACTTCATCCCTCGTTGAGATCTGGGATCACGTTATATATGCTTATAGTAGGATTTCATTCAAATGTTAGTTCGTCGGAGCGCTCCGAACAGTAGTAATTAACTCGTCTCCCAGTCTCTAGCACCGAAACTTCGATAGCTAGTGGGCTATAACTACCGAGTAATATAGACTCAGGAGTTCTACTCGAGGCAGGGCTACATAGCCAGAATCTCCAAACATAACTGGTTTGTCGTAGCCTTTAGAAGGGTATTTCGTTAACTAAATGTAAACCAACACCGCCTAGGTTTCTAAAGCCAAAACAACCGAATCGCAGAACTAAACCGGTGTAATACTAGGATAATCCGTGCATTGGTGGCTAGTATAAATTTTCTGCCCTGATTTGTTAAACTTAAAGTGGCACACTAAACGGCATTGCGTATTTCGCTGTCACCCAACAATACGACGTAGACTATTGCAAATCTCATGGTGATGGATTGGTTTTTCGCATATTGCAGGAAATTGTACAACTAAACAAACAGAAAAGCAAATGATTCATTCATCCCAATCATGCAAGCAGTTTAGCGCTTCTTGATGCTGATGTCAATCTTTCCAATCAACCATGCCGCGACAAAGAGCGACAGCACACCCGCGAACATCGTGACGGGCTTACGCAGGGCGTCTGCCAGCGAGTGTTCGTAGGTAACCTATAATTTCAATCTGTCAGCATCTACATCTGTCAATATTGAGAACATTTATTACATACCACCAGCTGCGAGTTGCGTGCTTCATCGGTCAGACTCTCAACCTCTAGAGTCAGTGTGGTGCGACCCAGCGTGTCCATATAAGTCTTGAGCGAGGACAAATGCGAGGCAATATGGTTTGCGCCGGGGAGACCGTTGCTAGCAGTGCCATCAACAGTCTGGAAACGGACATTGTGTGCGCCCTCGGGCAGAACCACACGCACGACCACGCGCTCATACTGCACGCCCTCGGGGACCTTGGGCCCCTCGAGGAACGGCACCTTGAGCACGTACGAGTCAGAGCCACCGGTAGCACGGCGCAGGTACCGCGTCAGATCCTGGTTCCAGCCCACGCGGAAGCTGTAGTTCCAGCCGCCGAAGATCGGGTACCGGGGCTTCAGCTCCAAGTGCGCGGGGGTCTTGGCCGTGCCAGGACGGAAGCGGCTGGTCGAGACGTTGCCGATATCGTCGGTAAAGTACGGGTCGACCGAGCCTGGTTGCAGCGGGTACAAGATCTCGCGCACCGCGGACGAGGGCAGTTTCTGGTAGTTGGCGAGCGTCCACTCGACGCGCGAGAAGTGGTTGACCAGCTGCGACCCGTTGTTCCGCAGCCAGTATCGCTCCTCTGTTGCCAGGTTACCGCCCCAGTGCGACACTTCCAGGTCGCGTTCCAGAAGGTGAGCCGTTATCACCGGGTTGGTGAACTCGTACCGCACGGTGATGGGGTGCTCGGTTCCGGGGGCCACCTTGGCGGTGTCGTAGGGCCCGTATGTGTAGGTCGCGCCCTTACGTTCGGGGTCCTCGCCTGAACCAGTCTTGATGCCGGAAGTGGTTGTGTAGTCGGGCACCTGGGTGTTGGGGAACTTCAGTTTGGTCTTTTGTGTGATGGTCTGGTAGGCTGAAGGCACATAGGCCGAGAAGGTGTAGCTCAGGTACTGCTGGTCGGCCTGGTTGATGGTCGCCGGACGCGGGTGGAGAGAAGACAGGATCGAGTACGAGATGCCCAGTGTGATCTCGGCCTTCGGGGCCAGGGGCTCAGAGAGGTGTACCACAAAGTATTGGTTGCCACTGTTGAAATTGTTAATCAATTGGTCATCTGCTGGGATCATTGACACGTACCTGGCCGGATCAACCTCCGTAGCATCTACCTCGAAGCGGCCCTTTTCTGGGGCTTTCTTGTCCCGGACCTCGAAACCTCCAACGCGATCAAACACCTTTGACGGGAAAGGGATGTAGTAATCGCTCTGCGGCTGCTTGTCGACATTCTCCACGACAACATTGACAGTTTCGCGCACGTAAGCCTTCTCCAGGTTGGTGTTGCGCACGAGATTGGTGTTCTTGAAGACCTGCGGCACCTTAAAGTCGGCCGGCAGCTCCACGCGAGACGGGTTGGCGGCAATGCACAGGCTGGGTGCAAGCAGCCCGAGCAAGGCAGAGTATAGCCTCATTGTGTGAGGCTGGAGAACAGGCAATTGTTCTCCGAAGTAGCAAAGTTGGCGTGGGGTTGATGCAATTGGAGGCCACGAAAGCTGATGAGGTGTCCCCATACAACTCGCTACGGCACGCGCGGCGGCTATAGTGCGCAGTCCGCTTATCGCGATAACGGCAGCTCTTCTACTGCGTCTTTCTCTCTGCTGTACACACACGACTGGGCCACATGGGTGTGGTTCTGCTACCTGCCTGATATTTATTATTGCTTGATATATCCTCCCGCAAGATGTTTCTACGGCGGGCTGCAGCGCGCCCCAGCTGTCTCCGAGCTGCCGCATCACGACCATCGCGTCTGCGCAGCTACCATGAGCTGGCCCAAAGCAGGTTCCTGCAGGTCTCAGAAGAAGTTCGCGATGCAGTCGCCACGGGAAAGCCGGTCGTTGCCCTTGAGACGACAATTTATACACACGGTAAGTGTGTCTCGGTTCAATTTCTGGCGAAACAGCCCCCTCCATGCAAATGCGGGGAAGGCTAATTCAGGCGTAGGGTTTCCTTACCCGGACAACGTGGCGCTTGCGTCGCTATTGGAGTCCGTCGTTCGATTGAATGGCGGTGTTCCCGCGACTGTGGGCGTTTTGGGCGGCGTTGCGCGGGTTGGACTGAGTGCGGACGAGCTGATCGAGCTGGCCACGACGGCGGAAACGAAGAGCGCATTGAAAGTATCTCGTCGAGATTTAGGATATATCTGTGGTCTGGTGGGTTTTACTAAGGAACGATAGGAATGTATTAGCTGACATGGGCAGGGAATGGCTGGAAAACGCATCCATGGCGGTACGACCATTTCTGGCACGATGGTGCTGTCACTTCTTGCCGGTATCAAGATATTTGGCACGGGCGGCTTAGGTATGTTGGTAATGACTGGCAAGAATTTCTCTGACTCTTTGTAGGCGGTGTTCATCGTGGAGGGGAGACGTCCATGGATGTATCTGGTAAGAAGCAAATAAACACAAACAATTCCAGCTGCTAATGTTTTCTTCAGCCGACCTGACTGAGCTGGGACGCACCCCCGTGACGGTCATCAGCTCAGGATGCAAGAGCTTTTTGGATATCCCACGGACTCTCGAGTATCTCGAGACGGAGGGAGTTTGCGTCGGCACCTTTGCGGATGGCAGAGAGGGCCCCGTTGACTTCCCTGGTTTCTTCACGCGTGAGAGTGGAGTGCGCAGCCCCCGGGTCATTCAAGATGAAGCAGAAGCGGCTGCCATCGTTTGTAAGTGCCTTGGCTTTTCTAGATGTTTTGTTTTTAACCAGGATGCAGATGCCCAGTCAAAGTTGCCGGTTTCCTCTGGGATTCACTTTGCCAACCCTGTCCCGTTGGAATACTCTATCCCCAAGGCCGATATGGATCGCATCATTGAAGAAGCCCTTCGTCTTGCCGATGCAGAGGGCTATCGCGGCAGTGACAATACCCCCTTTGTCCTGGCCAAGATCAAGGAATTGAGCGGTGGCAGCAGCTTGCCAGCTAATCGTGCCTTGGTGGAGTCGAACGTCAAGCGTGCAACCAAGGTGGCTGTGGAGCTGGCGAAACTAGAACAGTCGGACCGAAGCGCAGGGGTCCGGTGAGTTGCGGTCAGATATGTCAAGTAGAATCAAATGCTAAGTTCGGAGATCTTCTACATAGACACATGCCAGCTGTTTCGAAAGTTACTCATGCAGCAGAAAAGAAACAAGAAACCTCAACGGCACCTCCTGAACCGGTTGCACAAACAGATATCCTCGTTGCAGGCTCCCTCGCTATCGACCTTTCCTGTGACTACACCCCGTTCGGCGACGAGCGTGCCCAAGTGGCGCCTATACCGCACACATCGAACGCAGCCGTCATCGGCCAAAGCCTGGGAGGCGTAGGCCATAACGTCGCTTTGGCTGCCAGCTATATTGGTAGCAATGTACTCTTCTGCAGCGTCGTTGCCGACGACCTCAGCGGTCGCGCCGCGCTCTCAGCCCTCGAAAAAGAAGGTCTCAGTACAGCAGGCATCCAGGTCCTTCCCGCCACACCTGGCACCCGAACAGCACAATACATAGCCGTCAACGATGCCAACAAAGACTTGCTAGTCGCCATGGCCGACATGGGTATTCTCGAGTCCCCGGAGCATGAGCTTGATTTTGACGGCTTCTGGGAGCCCCTGATGCAGCGCACTCAGCCGCGCTGGGTCGTCGTCGACGCCAACTGGCGGGCCGAGCTGCTGGCTAAATGGACCAAGCTAGCCCGCAAGTACGGCGCCCGTGTAGCCTTCGAGCCCGTGGCAAACGCCAAATCCAGGCGTCTGTTTGGTAGAAATTCCAGCGGCGCCGATGCTACTATCGGCCCTGAGCACACACTGCCCAACCACGCCATCAGCCTCGCCTGTCCAAACCGTCTCGAGCTCGCGGCCATGCATGGTGCTGCTCGAGATGCTTCCCTGTTTGACTCCCCGGGCTGGTGGCGTCTCATCGATGCAATGGGTCTATCACCGGCTGGCTCTCGGGATCGTCTCGTCGCTTTGACATCACCTGCTCTCGTTGATGAAGGCCTCCCCCAGCAATCTCTCCAGCTCCTCCCATTTATTCCATGCATTCTCACCAAGCTCGGCTCGGCCGGCGCTTTGCTCACTCAGCTCCTTCCCCCCGGTGATTCCCGACTCACGGACCCGGATGCTGCACCGTATATCCTGGCACGCACCTCGCCCTCGGCGGACGTTCCCTTCGACGGCGTGTACATGCGCCTCTTTCCGCCTGAGACTGTTGTCCAACCCTCGGATGTCGTCAGCGTCAATGGCGCAGGTGATACCCTGCTGGGTGTTTTGATTGCTGGTCTCGCGAGGAGAGAGTCGGCTCGAGTTGAGGATATCCTCCCCGTGGCCCAAGAGGCTAGCCGGAGGACTTTGGCCAGCGCTGGCGGTGTTAGTGCTGATTTGGTTGCTCTGCGCACCTCGCTGGTGCAATAGAACAGTGACTGAGCACTATGGCGTTTTTGGCCTACTAGCGCGTCTTGTATAATATACAACTTGCATCATTCATCATACATAGTTCACTACAATCAATTCATTCTGGGCACCAAACCCCCATCCAACAGCCCAACCTGCACAAGCACGCTCGCCTGGTCCCAATACACCTTCTGGCTCGCAATACTACCGGCACAGAAACTCACCACAACGACAATCACCATCTGCACATCGCGATCCGTCGGCGCCACGCCCGGTAGCAGCCACGGGATCTCTGCGATGTGGCGGAATGAAACCTGCACCTCATCAACAATCTGGCCGGCACCTACTGTTCTGGACAGAAGCCGAAGGTGCTGGTTTGCTGGGCCAGCTGGGATGAATGGGTGAGTGAAGAACGATTCGAGGGTTGGGGCATTGGTTCCTAGGGTTGATCAGCCATCCTTCTATACAACAAACAATATAACAAGAAATAAGACAGTAAAGCTCACCAGCGGCAGCAGTAGGAACACCTTCCACCCCCAAGTCCCCCGCGCACACCCCATGCCCCTCGTCCACAAGAAATTCCATCGCCGACTGCTCCTTTTCAATCTTGTTCTTTCTACTCCATAATCTCATCCAATACGCCTCCCAAACAGTCTCAATCCCCTCAACCGGCCAATGGGCTCCTACTCCAAACGAACGCCGTAGACAGCCCAGCATACGGCTCCAGGCCAGCCGCGAGTGAATCGCGTCGTCATCCAAGCCATTGTCTAAGGCAGGCCCTGATCCTGCTTCTGGGTAGTCGAATACGTAGCATCGATGCCGCTTCTTATAGGTGACGTCTCCTTCAGGACCGGCGCTTATCCACGGCCATGAACATCCACCGTTGTTGAATTCTGAATGACGGCGACCCGCGAAGTGGATCTGGATGGGGAGATAGGTTGCTTTTGTTTCGGGGGAGAATATGGTGTCTGTTTTCATGCAGGCCGGTTGATTATCACCCTCTTCGTTATCATCTTGTTCTGGGGATTGGCTTGTCTCATGTCCATGAACGCCCGTGTTTCCAGCAGTGGGGTTGGATTTGGGTGATAGGAGAGGATAATAGGCAATCAGCGCGCATAGTCGAGGAAACGGATTCGTATTACTGGCGCTCAGATGGTGCGATTCAAGGAGGAGATATGCAGGACGGTGATATGCTTTTCATTGTGAAACCGTCAGCATTTCTTCTTTCCTGTTTAGTTCCCATGAATATGTAGAAGAACATACCAACAATCGCATACCTCTCCCCCGTCTCCAACTCATCCTCCTTCTCATGCACGAGATTCTCCAATGCCTTGCGGTCCCGCTCGAGATCACCACATCCCCCAAACGGGAGGTGCGTGACGTCGAATCCCTCGGCCTGGAAGGGGTGGACGAGCTGCGAGCTGACGTTTTGCGTGTCTGACACGAGTATTAGATGGCGGGATGTGCGTTCTTCGGCGCTGCGGTCGTGGTATCGTTTGGTGGAGCTTGCGCTGGGTGTTCGGTGAATATGGGGGCGCGCATTATTGTCGGCTGGGTTGGGTGCGCCTGTCGCAGTGGAGGAGCTGGCGTTTGAGCTCGGATGGATTAGACGGTTGAGGAATTTCATTTCTGATTTTGTTTTATGGCGTATATCTGGAGTTGTGGAAAAGGAGGTCTGTGTCTTGGTGTGACGTCGACGAGACTATACTTCCGATAAGATAGAGGGGAGCTGATTTCCACTTTGGGAGGTGCGGCTCAAAACTGCTCACTATATAGAGCACAGATAGTGTAGTATCTAGTCTAATATGCGCTAAGATGATGCTCATTGTACTCTAAAATCCAACTAACCACCTCGTCTCCTCCTCAACCTCCGCAGTCACCGTCCCCTCCTCTCCAAGATAACACCGATACGCCTCGCGCATCAGACTCTGCCGCGCAACCTCGCAGTCCACCCGGATATCCTCCACCAGTGCTTCTAGCGATACATAGTCGTACTCGGGCCGGATATACCCCAGAATCAGAAGATGCAGCGGCGTGCCGTAGAAATCCGGCAGGCGCTGGAACTTGGTTTGGCCTTCTGCTGTGGGGGAGGGTTGTGTGAGGGGGGGCATGATGTGGATTTCCTGGAATCGTCGTGGTTAGAAAGAAAAGCAGGAGAGAGGGAATTGCCTTTACATATATATGCGATAAAATATATATGTAATAAAGGTGATAAACGTGAGAGGACGGAGGGGGGTGGGACGGGACATACAACGGAGCGAACGGTATTTTTATAAAATGGATTATATCCAATACTCAGCACAGCCGGGAGGATAGTTGGTTTCTCTGTTTCTTGGTCTTCGTATTTGAACTTGGTCGGATCCAGAGCCACGACACCGTAGTAGACGCCGGTCGTCAGGTCGGGATGTTTCTCGGAGAGGTCGTCGGCAGGGATGTTGGCTGTGGGGATGCCGAGCTGTACAGCGGTAATTGAGGTTAACTTGGTTTTTCCAGTTCTATTCTTTCTTCTTTGTGGAATATGCACGCATGCATGCGGCAGCAGCAGCAGCAGCACAACGCATAGGATAGGCAGGGACCGAACCGTACATCTTTACTCCCGCGTCCGAATCCCTTGATCACCGGTCCGGACAGTCGGATGGGAAATGGAGCTTCTGGGCCTGTTTCAGGGCCGGCGACGGGGTCGCGCGGTTTGTCGGGGCGCATGTTGGAGTTGGGTGTGCGCTCGAGCAAGTTCCCGAGGTGTGGTGTTGGACAAAGGTGAGGCCGGGGTGGAATGTAGGATGTGTGCTGTGCGGGCAATGGATCGTAGATCAGATCGGACAAGTAGAATAGCAGTTCTAGCAGTCCCTCGAAATCTGGAGAGAGTGGAAGAGTCTGGAATAATGGAATGAACAAGAAGAAGAGGTGAAGTGGGGTTGAGTTATCGTCGATAAGGCCGCCTGAGGCATCGCTTGACTGGACTATGGATTCGACTATAGTTACTCTCCTTCAAACAGATAATAAATAAACAGACAGTTGCAATTGCATTCAAGTTATTATCTCATACATCCAATAAACCATGGAAGATACCGCAGTATGATTTTTTTCAGTGGTCCCTTTTTTGAGCGCCGGAAATCAGATCACAAGACATATCGACAGGAACAACACAAAAACACCACAATATGTGCAAGACGGAAACAACAAAGACACGGACGAAACGGAACTAGAACGAAAAGGAAACCAAAAACAAAACAGTTGGGGGAATCATACAGTCCCAAAATCGAACATGTACACCAGAAAGAAAAAGAAAAGAAGAGACAAGGTTGGTGAAAAAAAGCCTGTCAAGGGTATGGGAATGGGAAAGAATAGAGGAAACAAAGAACACACAAGACACAGGAATCAAATACACGGCAAGAACTGTGGACGAGGTTAGCACAACAATATCTCCCTCCAGGGCACCCGAAACTCACATTCATCACAATAAGCATAGGAATGTCGAAGACATCACGCTTTACCGTCCAGCAGTACGCGCATTCGACCTTTCCATCCTTGAATCCGAGCTGATTCATACCCGCCTCGCCGGCAATACCGCCCTTGCGCAGGTGACTATTCCACTTGCCCTCGTCCGACTGCGCCAGTTCCATGTCCTCCTTGGTCTTGTACTTGAGCAGCTTGCAGCGCGTCATCACGCTTCCACGCGAATCACCAAACGCAAGCCGGGCAAAATCCTCGTAGAACTCGACCACACTGTCCTCATCCATCAGTTCGGCCAGGAACACCGGTTGGGGGCGTCCGCTACTAGTGGCATTCTCGAGCGTCGAGCTTCGCGGTGTGAAACTGCCGCGTGATGTCGTGCCGGATTGGGGCATTGATGATCCGCCAGTATTGACGTTGAGGTCCGGTTCTTTCCCGAGTAACACGTCCTTCTTCCACCCGGTCAGGATACTGAATTCTTTGCCCACGGCGGCGATCTCGCCGGTACGACGACAGACGATCGTCGGTGTGCCGCACGCATTGATGAAGTCCTCATATTCCCACAGCGTCCGCTGGAAGCACTTCTCCATGAACACGAGATCATCTCGATTCAACGTCTTGGTAGTCGCAATGAATGATGGCCGGATAGATGCGAGCGCTTTGGCAATGCGCACCGTCTTTTGTGGTGAAAACCGTCGTTGGATGAAGGCAGTCAGACTGTGGAACCCGGTGGTGTAGGCGTACGGCTCCTTCACGCTCTCATAGATCGACGACGGGTTGCGATGACGTCGTTTCGGGCCGACTTGGAGACTCTGATGCTTCAAGCTGGGTGTTGAGATCAGGGGCCGCTGTCCATTGGGCGCAAGGCTATTCGACTTGGCTCCGACCACATTGTTGAAGGAAGGATCCTCGACCCCAGCGGTCGGGACATGCGGACTACTGGCCGAGGCGGGGCTCGTGAAGTTCGCTGGGCCACTCTCGATTGCAAAAGCATGAGGCGCATCAGGTTTCATTTGGCCCGGCAGCATGCCGTTTTGGCCATACACCCCGCCGACGTTCACATGGCCCGAGGCCTGTCCACTCGACCAATCGTTGAGCATGGGATCACCAAACATGAAAGGCTGATTATTCGGGCTTTCCCCGAACCCAGGAGCTGGCGTGGAGAACTGGGCTGACCCACTGCGGCCGATCGACCCGCGCTGCGTTGCAGAATCGCTGGGAGAATCTCCAGCCCCCGTGTGGCCATGTGACCAAGCATGCCAAACTCCAGAGCACCGTATCGATTCTCAAAGTTCATGCTGGATAAGTCAAAATTGAACAGCGCTGGATCACTGGGGTCGAAGAATGGCCCTGCAAATGGATTTTGGCCCTGAGTAGTGTCCCCGGAGAGCGCGTTGTTGGGCGTGGGCTGGTTCACGGTCGAAGACAGACTGGCATTCCGGACGTTCGGGGTATTCTTCATGTTGAACGTTGGCGACAGAGGTGACTGGGTGGTAAAGGGACTCTGGGCCATCGAGGGTTCCTGAAAGACGTTGTAAGACCCTGGTTGTGACTGCGCCTGCTGCGGCGTGGGATAGAAATTGCCATTGGCCGCGGCATTCGGTGTTTGTTGCTGCGCGTTCGTATTAACTGCAGTGGTGCCATTTCTGGGCACATTGTTGCGCGCAGAGTTTTTGTTGTTGTAAAAGGCGTTGCCACCGACTCCGGGCATCAAGGCTCCGTCCGGGGCGTCGTGCAGATACTTTGCCTTTTTGCGTACACCATCATGGCAAGCATCCTGGAGGCCGCGCTTGATACAGCGCTGACATGGCCGCTCGTCGCCTACACATAATCAGTCAGCCGTCCTCAAAAGAAGTAGTTAAGTGTCACGCGTACCGCAAGTCAAATGGGCGCGCTGGCAGGCAAAGCAGGCACGCCGGGCCTTCTTCCGACGCGGTCGCGAGGGGTCCTTTGCGTTCGCCTTGGTCATTTTCCCATTTTTCGGATTCTGCCCCGAGTGCTCGGTGATATCAGGCGAGTCACGATCCCCGCTACTGTGATCCGCTGAAGGGGCCGGAGAGCCGTGTTTGACCACCGCGCTCATTTCGGCATATGCTCCTGAGTCTGACACTCTAGTAGGTCACGATCTGTGCCTTGCCACTTGGGTTCTGAAACACGCGGCTTGGTGGCGACGGGACCATCCGCGCACTCGATCTATGGGGTATGCGCGGATTCGACAGTCTTGTCTTGTCCGGAAACCGATCGCGAATTGATCGGTGGATTTGGTTCTGGAATCCTCTCAAAGGCGGGTCTTCAATCGTAATATTGCGCGTTCGCGACCAATGCTGGCGGGGAGGCCGAGTCACGGGTGTAAATGGGAACAATCGACTCGATGCACGACGGGACCAGGCTGAAGTGACGCATTGAAGGGACTGCACGGCGAGCTCGGATTTGAGGAGATCGGCGCAGCGCTGGGATGAGGTGAGGCGCAAAAGCCGAGCGGCGGGATGAACAACGGCGAGCGGATAATTGGAGTGGAGAGGGACGTGGGCAGAAAAGACTGCGAGGAAGAAGCAGCAAGACCGACAGCGCTGGATGAAGTCGAGTGAAGTTCCTGGTCAAGTCGGGCCGGGCAGGCGGGGAGGGTGGACGGGGGAAAGGAAGAGAAGTCAAGGCGCGGGGAAGAAGAAGAAGTGGTGGATGGTTCGGTTCACTCCAACAGAATGTTCCCGTGACTCTCTCTACTTTCAGTCCAGTTGCAAAGAAGAGGGAAGAAGCTGACCAAGAGGAATGACTCTGAATCTAACTTTCGGTTCTCCATACTTTCACCATTCCAAGATGGTTTACCTAATTAAATTCGCGCATTCTGAACTCAGTACGAACTAACGGTTCAGGCATCCCACTGGTTCTACCTCCACGAACTACCTAGAACACGCTACGACTATTACCAGTACTAAAACATGTCCCTCTCTTGCAGTATTACTAGATCTGTAGAGAGCACAGTGAGCTGTTGAGGCAGTGTGACGCGTCATTTTCCGCTGCGACGACCGCTGATTGGAAGCAGGCGTATTAAACCGTATTGGCGCGGTGTCCGCGGCTCCGCCGGTGGCACGTGTATGTAGTAATTTAGTGAGCCATCGAGTTTCTGAAATCTTGAATAGTTATTAGTTAGTTATTAGTTAGTGAAAGCATTATTATTCACCCGCTTTCCGGCCATCCTGAGTGGTGAGGGAGAGGCTCTTCCCGAAAAATCCCTCATTCCGTTTTGTCCCGAGGCATCTGTTCTTCGCCCCCCTCGGCGTGCCTCGGTTGACTTCCGGGTAAGCACAAAAACAGGGACACATGATGAGGATGCACGCTTCATAACCAAGCGGTTGTATATAATGATTTTATTTTGGACTGGACTGGATGTGCGTGTGGGTGGTCATCCATCCCTGGTTTCTGACAAGTAGCTAGCCATGGCGGAGAGTGTTCTCTAATGCGACTAAGATTACATATGATAATGATGATGATGATGGAAAGGACAATAATAATAGACCCGGCACGAGACCTGTTGCCTATTGCATTCCATTCTCAACTGCCGGGGCCCTGCACGCTGACTCTTTATCCGCAACGGTCATGTGGTTGAGCTGGGATCTGCAGCTTGTGCCATATCCAATGCGACCATCCTGGAATAGCGACTTTGCATTCATTGCATTCACGTCTGCGAGGTGGCAAACCGACTCTTCTTGCGGAGGCGACTCCCATATCGGAAGAAAATGTACCTGCCAGAGAAAATGGGAATCAGTATATATAGGATTAATACGTAGGGTCTGGCGGGCTGCGAGAGACCCTTGCACTCTGCATATTGCATGCAATCCACTGCGAGGATGCAGGGACTATGCAAAATCCGTGGTCATAGCGCAGTGGGTATCAAACTTACGGGAAAGGCATCATGACCAGAGTCAAGAAGCCTAGCAATGTGGTTGCCCAGTGGAAACCAAGGTTGTTATACACTACACGGCCGTTAGCAACGAGGCCCACAGCAAAAAGAAGTCTCCATGCTCTCTGGACCAAGAGAAAAGAAGCGGACCAGCCCGGTTCGACAGCAAAATGTATACATATACACTGCATGGCAGCACAGAAAAGTGCCCAACCGCCGGTCCGTGGGATAAAAATAGCAACAGGCAAGGCAAACTCACTTTGGATACCGAATAAGGGGAAGATTCCTCCAAAGCTTGAACGCGAAAAGCTATTGGCGGCCAGCGCACTCGCGGCAAATGTTGGGTATGCATCTACCAGGAAGGTGAAGACGCCCGAGTAGACCAGGATGGTCCTATGATTGCCAGTCAGTATCATCTCCACAAGAATCATGATGAAGTTGAGGTAGATCGTACCCTGCACCGAACACGGCACTGCCAATGATAGGTGCAATCCAATGCACGTCTGGGTAGATCGTCCATGCAAAGATGAAGAGCCCAATAGTGACCAGGGGTCCACCCAGGATCGCTGAGACAATTAGAAACGTTTTGTTGATCAGTCCCAAAATGGACACTCACCTGGCGGAAGCCGCCACTCCGGCTGATAGTCATCGGTCTTTTGTGTGGCCTGTTCATGGTTGCGTTCCAAACGCTGGTAATTGCGGCGCCAGATCGGATCTGACAGGATGGCGATGACCATGCCGACAAAGAGACCGATGAAACACAGTCCACGCTGCCAGAGTACCAGCCCATACACCTCGTCAAAGACTAATTGGAAGGCACCGAAAAACAGGTACAGAATGCCCAGCAGGATTGCCGAGAAAATACACAGATTCAGACACATAGGCTCCAGTGTCAGAAGGAGTAATGGACGGTACATGGAGCGCAGAACGGTTTGCGCCACCGAACGATTCATTTTCTCGATCGGAGCTCTCCACCGGTCTTCTCCGGTTTCCTTGCGCATTTTTTGCGCCTTGCGCCGTAGGAGCCTGCCATTAAAAGGATTAGTATATTGGACACGGGTTTGATTTCATCACATACACTGGGTGGTATGTTTCGGGGACCAGGAAAACCATCGAAATCAACAAGACCCCGGTCCATATCAACAGCACATAGAACGTCCAACGCCTATTAAAACCATGAATCCTAGTCATTTCCAAAATATTCAATTCGAACATACCACGTCGTAAACTGATTGATGAATCCGCCCACTCTGTTGATCATCAGGTCAATCATCCAAGGCAAACCGCGGTTGGGGACAGGCAGGAAGCTTACAAGGGACCGACTTCAGGCCCGACAAACGGACTCGCCGTATAGAGCATCATGGGAAAGGCCAGTTCATGTCGATCGAACATGTCACCCACAGTACCACCAGCCACGCTCAGAAACGCGCTGCCAGCGAGTCCGTTGAAGAAGCGGCACACGAGCATCGTTTGGATATTCTGTGCCACCGCGCATGGAATCAACCAGATCAAAAATAAACTGAATGAGACGAGATAAATGTTCCTGCGGCCGTAGAACTGAATCGCAATTAATTACTCTATCTTTCTAGGAGTGGTGGAATCTGGGACATACCTCGGACAAGGGACTGAGAAATAGTGGGCCAATTCCTGTCGAACGAGAGGGTCAATAGCTGATCCAAACAAAATCATAGAAAAACGAACCAAGACCCCAAATGAAGAACGATAGTCCCAGAGTTGCGACCTCCTGGGAGCAATTGAATTCCTTCATCAATTGGTTGTACGTGGTGGTGTACATGGACGACGTGCATGTCCTATACCCGTCAGCATCAACGATTGACCACCCAACCTACCAAGGATAGACCAAGCACTTACACACAGAGAGACCCCATTGCAACAATAATAACAATCAACCACTTCCTCGCCTTGGCCATATTCCTCGGATTCATGGGGTCATTCTCGTCCCAGCCAACCGTAAAGCGCCGTTCTTCTTCCGTCTCTATAGTCCTAACCTCACCACCGTCTTCGTTCTGCAGGTGGTCACCGCTGATACTCACACCGTCGTTTAGAGACCAGGTGCGTTCGAGGGACCGCGATTGCTGCGAGCGCAACTTGTGCAGTGACGCCTCGCGCCGTTGTTCTTCGTCGTCGGCATCAGGGACGTGAATTGGGGCAAAGACTCCTTCTTCGGATTTGGAATCGTCAAACTCGTCATCGTGGCTTTTTCTTGACCTTGCGGGTTGCTGGGCGGGGTCCATGTCGTGGATCCGCAGAGCGTGGAACTCGTGTACGAGGAGGGACTCGGCTTGAATGGATGCGGGTGAGGGTATGAAAGATGACACCCGGGCAGGGCTTTATATGCTCATGCGATTTAGCTCGGAGTCGCGCGCGCCAGTCCTGGATGATTAGCAAGCAACCTGTAACTAGCTCCCCCCATGTAGCTTGGTCACTGGAATGATGCAGGAATTGCAGCCTTGTGCTGTCGTAGTTTAACCGGAGAGAAAGAAAGCACTTGCTCTTATCTCGGCGCCGGCAAAATTGATTTGTCAGGGGCGAGCATTCCGATGGATTTTAGTATGAATCCACTTTTTGTGATAAACCGCGCAAAACCGGCCGAGTGATATCATCCCCGCTAAGGCAATCGGGCCGAACGCCGCCGATACGGGAATTATTGTTGACTGGGATAGATCTAGTAGTTACTGTATATTGGTAAAGCTTGCCAATCCCATGTAGTAGACGGACGTATGTTCAATTAACTGGCTACTCGCTAACTACCAGGCTAGTCCACTGGAAAGCAATAATAACCAAACACGGCCCTTTTCTCCAAGCCCAGCAGCACCGAAAACTCCTTACAGTCCCCGCAACGGGCCACTGTTTGCAGACAGGAAGATAACCCAATAAACCAAAAACCAAACCCCAATTCCAGTCACAGCTCCAAAGCAACCAACACTGTACATGATACCAACAAGCCATCTACAGCGCCTGCACCAGCTGGCTAGCCGAGACGCCATCGGCATTCTCCTCTGCCCAGGATCCCCACAGTGCGGGCTTGCCGCGGATCTTGAGGGGGCCGCCAATGGACTTGGAGCCTTGCTCGGCCTGGACCGCATCCTTCGTGGCCAGCACCAAGACTTCGAAGAACATCTTGGTCGCGTCCGCCTTGCTGGCTCGCTTCTCGGGCAGCA